TCTTTAGTTTCGTCTTGCATTATTTGCATAACACCACACAACACTTTACTGACAGAAACCAACAGAAACAAACTGCGACTCACACTAGGAATTCGAAGCTTCTTTGATATTATTGTTAGCGCAAAAAAGCCAATTTTCATCAACTCCCCTGAGTTAGCAAAAACAGGTAGTTGACGCTGCGACTTAGCCGGTTTATTCCTTGTTTTAATGACTTAGCCTGTATATTCCCTCTTCATCAAATTTAAGTTCCGTGTTTTCTCTTGACCTAACCGTCTTTTCCCCTTTTTATGAACATTGACAAAAAGATTCGCTTTAATTTTACCAGACTGTGTTGTTAACACGATTTCAACAAAAATTGACTTAGCCTGTTTATTCCCTGTACCCTTCAAATGTTAGCTATAATAACATTTTGAGATTGAAAATATTCATTAATATGAGTTACTTTTGGTAATATATAGTTGAGAAATAGAAAATAGAGTTTTGCATGAGGTTCAGAAAGAGTTTAGGAGATCTTTTTAACACTCTCCACCAGATGGAGCTCTATACCCGTATAAAAATTAATATTTTCGAGGTTATCTCAATAATTAATGATCGTATCAAAATTTTTTATAAATAATATTTGTTTAGAACCAAATTACAAACAATTTTTGTTAATAAAATTTTTCAAAATAACAAATTTTTAATTTCCCTCTGAACAGTACAGAGCTGTCAATGTCAATGCAAATTCAGGGATTTAAAAAAAGGTTTTTATCGAAAAATGTTTCGTATAATATTTGTTTACAATTTAATTCTAAATCGATTATTTTAATAAAATTTTTCGACATCTTCACCAGGTGGGGCTCTATACTCATATAATAATTAATATTTTTGAGGTTATCTCAATAATTAATGGTCGTATCAAAATTTTTTATAAACAATATTTGTTTAGAATCAAATTACAAACAATTTTTATTAAGGAAATTTTTCAAAATAAGAAATTTTTAATTTCCCTCTGAACAGTACAGAACTGTCAATGTCAATGCAAATTAAGGGATTTTAAAAAGGTTTTTATCGAAAAATGTTTCGTATAATATTTGTTTCAAATTTAATTCTAAATCGATTATTTTAATAATTTTTTTCTACATCTCCACCAGATGAGGCTCTATACTCGTACAAAAATTCATATTTTTGAGGTTATCTCAATAATTAATGGTCGTATCAAAATTTTTTATAAACAATGTTTGTTTAGAACTAAATTATAAACAATTTTGGTTAATAACATTTCTCAAACTATCAAATTTTTAATTTCCCTCTCAACAGTACAGAACTGTCAATATCAATGCAAATTAAGGGATTTTAAAAAGGTTTTTATCGAAAAATGTTTCGTATAATATTTGTTTCAAATTTAATTCTAAATCGATTATTTTAATAATTTTTTTCTACATCTCCACCAGATGAGGCTCTATACTCGTACAAAAATTCATATTTTTGAGGTTATCTCAATAATTATTGATCGTATCAAAATTTCTTATAAACAATATTTGTTTAGAAACAAATTACAAACAATTTCTATTAAGAACATTATAAAGGCAACTTTTTACAAAGAATTCAGTGGCGTAGGTAGAATTTTTTTCCCATCTTTTATTTTCGAGATTTTAGACGTAACTTTATTTTTTTAAATGGAAACCATAGTTGGCTATGACTTAAAATAATTTGTTATTTTCTTCTGATAACAAAATATATATATAGTTTGAGCAAGAGGCCACCAGGAATACGATGCCGTTGAAATTAGATCGATTAAAAACCCCGAACGAGTCGAATTTTGCGAAAGTTTGAAGAAAATCGATTTTCCCGGAAAATAAGAAATGGTTAGGATAATTTTCTTTTCGAATCTGAAACAAGAGGCGACCATGAACGATGCCGTTGAAATTAGATTGATTGAATACCCCGATCACGCATTTTTTTCAGTTTAAAATCTATGGCTGAAATCTATGGCCAACTTCACACGCGTTACCGAATGTGAATAACATGGGTACTTCTATGCAGACGTTTGAGGGGGCCAACGCCTCTTTACTTTCTTTATCATTAGAATTATTACTCGTAGTTATTGTTGAAGTGGTTTTGAAATCGTAAAACTAAAAAGTTTCGGGTTTAGCATTGCGTTTTCTGACGTCATTTGATGTCTTGTACCAGTTAAATGAAAAACCGTCTATCCTCACTTTGCCGAGGTCGCTTGCGGCCGAGGCAGTGGTTGTGTAACAATACCAACATTAAGCTAGTGTATGTTATTGCCTCTAGCGCCTCGTTCGCAAGCGACCTCGGCGATATTAGATAGTATTGTGCTTTTAATGTTTTTGAAAGTGAATTAAGTTTATCCTCACTCCGCCGAGGTCGCTTGCGGCCGAGGCAGTGTGTGAGTTTGTAAGCGACCTCGGCGATATTAAATAGTATCGTGTTTTTGATGTCTTGGAAAGTTAATCAAGTGTACAGCAATTGAATGAGAAACCGTTTATTTTCACTCTGCCGAGGTCGCTTGCAGGCGAGGCAGTGGTTATGTAACTATATCAACATAAAACTGGTGTTTATTATTAATTCTAGCGCCTCGCCCACAAGCAACCTCAGTGAAGTGGAGATAAATGACTACTCACTTAAGTAATATCTGAGATTTACTTACCAAGTCATCAAATATACAAAAAAGAAAAGTTAAAAAATCACCAGAAATGTGAATTTTTTCTAAAGTTTTCACCATTTCACCAGATCGCGAAAAGATTACCAGATGTGGTGAAATTTCACCAGATCTGGCAACACTGCGTAACTATATCAACATAAAACTGGTGTTTACTATTGATTGACACTTAAGTAATATCTGAGATTTACTTACCAAGTCATCAAATGGACGATGTCATCTAATATCGCCGAGGTCGCTTGCGGCCGAGGCAGTGGTTGTGTGACAATACCAACATCTTACAAAACAAAGTTAACTTTAAATTTATCTGTCGTTTTATTATTTTTTATGTCAATTCACCTAATTTACTAAATCACTAAAATACTGTCAATGTCAAACATCAATTTGACATACAAAACTTTTTTAACTACACTAAGGTTGAATTTGAAACTTAAATGATGCTTTTAACGATAGTTTTAGCTTTAATTTTTGAAATCTTTATCAAAGTAAAACTAGAACTAACACTAGACCTTTCACTAGAAATTTCGTCTATGACGCACGGCTAAACCCTTATATTTCTAGTTCTAGGTCTAGTGTTAGTTCTAGTTTTACACAAGCACTATTACTAGAATAAGCAGTTGTGTAACACCGTGTTTTATTGTCCTTTAACGTTTTGTTTGTTTATCTTCACTTTGCCGAGGTCGCTTGCGGGCGAGGCAGTGGTTATGTAACTATATCAACATAAAACTGGTGTTTATTATTGATTCTAGCGCCTCGCCCACAAGCAACCTCAGTGAAGTGGAGATAAATGACCATTCCCTACAAAACAAAGTTAACTTTAAATTTATCTGTCGTTTTATTATTTTTTATGTCAATTCACCTAATTTACAAAATCACTAAAATACTGTCAATGTCAAACATCAATTTGACATCCAAAACTTTTTTAACTACACTAAGGTTGAATTTGAAACTTAAATGATGCTTTTAACGATAGTTTTAGCTTTAATTTTTGATATCTTTATCAAAGTAAAACTAGAACTAACACTAGACCTTTCACTAGAAATTTCGTCTATGACGCACGGCTAAACCCGATATTTCTAGTTCTAGGTCTAGTGTTAGTTCTAGTTTTACACAAGCACTATTACTAGAATAAGCAGTTGTGTAACACCGTGTTTTATTGTCCTTTAACGTTTTGTTTGTTTATCTTCACTTTGCCGAGGTCGCTTGCGGTCGAGGCAGTGATTATGTAACTGTATCAACATAAAACTAGTGTACATCACTGATTGTAGCGCCTCGGCCACAAGCAACCTCAGTGAAGTGGAGATAAATGACCATTCATTTAAGTACAAAGTTAACTTTAAATTTAACTGTCGTTTTATTATTTTTTGTCAATTCACCTAATTTACAAAATCACTAAAATACTGTCAATGTCAAACATCAATTTGACATTCAAAACTTTTTTAACTACACTAAGGTTGAATTTGAAACTTAAATGATGCTTTTAACGATAGTTTTAGCTTTAATTTTTGATATCTTTATCAAAGTAAAACTAGAACTAACACTAGACCTTTCACTAGAAATTTCGTCTATGACGCACGGCTAAACCCGATATTTCTAGTTCTAGGTCTAGTGTTAGTTCTAGTTTTACACAAGCACTATTACTAGAATAAGCAGTTGTGTAACACCGTGTTTTATTGTCCTTTAACGTTTTGTTTGTTTATCTTCACTCTGCCGAGGTCGCTTGCGGGCGAGGCAGTGGTTATGTAACTATATCAACATAAAACTGGTGTTTATTATTAATTCTAGCGCCTCGCCCACAAGCAACCTCAGTGAAGTGGAGATAAATGACCACTCATTTAAGTAATATATGAAATTTACTTACCAACACATCAAATGAACGATATCATCTAAGATCGCCAAGGTCGCTTGCGGGCGAGGCGCTAGAGCCAATAGTATACACTAAATAGCTAATATTGTTTCTTAATATGATTAAATTTGATTTAAATTTAATTAATAAACATAAATTTTTATGATAAATTATTAATTAAAAAATTTTTGTAGCCAACTTCATGATGACGCGTACCATAGATATTAAAAATTAGATGATTCCATTGATATATTATAATTATTAAGGATGTGGATTAAATGATCACAAAGTAATCAAAAAACGATATTTAATCACTTTTTTAATGATTTTTTTTATTAAAACAATTACAACAATGAACAGATACACAATTTCCCTTTAATTTTTGTTTTTTTTTTTTGCTGTCATTAAGTGAATTAAATCCACTTTTTAACGTTTAATTTGAGATCCGTTCGATTTCTTTTCAATTTTACTTTTAATTAATACNATCACTAAAATACTGTCAATGTCAAACATCAATTTGACATCCAAAACTTTTTTAACTACACTAAGGTTGAATTTGAAACTTAAATGATGCTTTTAGCGATAGTTTTAGCTTTAATTTTTGAAATCTTTATCAAAGTAAAACTAGAACTTAAACTAGACCTTTCACTAGAAGTTTCGGAAAGTATACCGACTAGATATTTCTAGTTCTAGGTCTAGTGTTAGTTCTAGTTTTACACAAGCACTATCACTAGAACAAGCAGTAGTTGTGTGACAACGTGTTTTTAATATCCTTTAACGTTTTGTTTGTTTATCTTCACTTTGCCGAGGTCGCTTGCGGGCGAGGCACTGGTTATCTAACTGTATCAACATAAAACTAGTATATACTACTGATTGTAGCGCCTCGTCCACAAGCAACCTCAGTGAAGTGGAGATAAATGACCACTCATTTAAGTAATGTATGAAATTTACTTACCAACACATCAAATGAACGATGTCATCTAAGATCGCCGAGGTCGCTTGCGGGCGAGGCGCTAGAGCCAATAGTATACACTAAATAGCTAATATTGTTTCTTAATATGATTAAATTTGATTTAAATTTAATTAAAAAACATAAATTTTTATGATAAATTATTAATTAAAAAATTTTTGTGGCCAACTTCATGATGCCGCGTACCATAGATATTAAAAATTAGATGATTCCATTGATATATTATAATCATTAAGGATATGGATTAAATGATCACAAAATGATCACAAAGTAATCAAAAAACGATATTTAATCACTTTTTTAATGATTTTTTTATTAAAACAATTACAACAATGAACAGATACACAATTTCCCTTTAATTTTTGTTTTTTTTTTGCTGTCATTAAGTGAATTAAATCCACTTTTTAACGTTTAATTTGAGATCCGTTCGATTTCTTTTCAATTTTACTTTTAATTAATACTTAATCGATTTGTTTAAAGATACATCGAATTATTTTTATGATTTTTTTAATTTTTTTTTTTTTTAAGTTTAAAATTTTATTCCGATATGAAGTTTTTCCTTACATGTATAAAATAAATTAAAAGAAAATAATAAGTTTAAATCAATTCCTTTACCTCAATTCTTTTCTTTCAATTCTTTTTAATTGCATTTAATTCGACCAGGATTGATATATCACAACTAATACATAACCTCAACTTTAGCTGTCAAATAAGAAATTACTAATTAATTTAATTTAATTACTTTTTGAAAGTTGAAATTTATTTTTTTTACTCTATGTATAGAAGACATGTTGTCGAGTACACACTACCGAATGTGAATAACATGGGTACTTCTATGTAGACGTTTGAGGGGGCCAACACCCCGTTGCTTTCTTTATCATTAGAATTATTACTCGTAATTATTGTTGAAGTGGTTTTGAAATCGTAGAACTAAAAAGTTTCGGGTTTAGCATTGCGTTTTCTGGCGTCATTTGATGTCTTGCACCAGTTAAATGAAAAACCGTTTATCCTCACTCTGCCGAGGTCGCTTGCGGCCGAGACAGTGGTTGTGTAACAATACCAACATTAAGCTAGTGTATGTTATTGCCTCTAGCGCCTCGTTCGCAAGCGACCTCGGCAATATTAGATAGCATTGTGCTTTTGATGTCTTTGAAAGTGAACTAAGTTTATTCTCACTCAGCCGAGGCCGCTTGCGGCCGAGGCAGTAGGTAGTTGTGTAACAATACCAACATTAAGCTAGTGTATGTTATTGTTTCTAGCGCCTCGTTTGCAAGCGAACTCGGCGATATTAGATAATATTGTGCTTTTAATGTCCTTGAAAGTGAATTAAGTTTACCCTCACTCCGCCGAGGTCGCTTGCGGCCGAGGCAGTGGTTGTGTAACAATACCAACATTAAGCTAGTGTATGTTATTGTCTCTAGCGCCTCGTTTGCAAGCGACCTCGGCGATATTAGATAATATTGTGCTTTTAATGTCTTTGAAAGTGAATTAAGTTTATCCTCACTCCGCCGAGGTCGCTTGCGGGCGAGGCAGTGGTTGTGTAACAATACGTACATTAACCTAGTGTATGTTATTGACTTTAGCGACTCGCTTGTAAGCGACCTCGGCGGTATTAAATAATATCGTGTTTTTGATGTCTTGGAAAGTTAATCAAGTGTACAGCAATTGAATGAGAAACCGTTTATTTTCACTCTGCCGAGGTCGCTTGCGGGCGAGGCAGTGGTTATGTAACTATATCAACATAAAACTGGTGTTTACTATTGATTGACACTTAAGTAATATCTGAGATTTACTTACCAAGTCATCAAATGGACGATGTCATCTAATATCGCCGAGGTCGCTTGCGGCCGAGGCAGTGGTTGTGTAACAATACCAACATCCTACAAAACAAAGTTAACTTTAAATTTAACTGTCGTTTTATTATTTTTTATGTCAATTCACCTAATTTACAAAATCACTAAAATACTGTCAATGTCAAACATCAATTTGACATTCAAAACTTTTTTAACTACACTAAGGTTGAATTTGAAACTTAAATGATGCTTTTAACGATAGTTTTAGCTTTAATTTTTGATATCTTTATTAAAGTAAAACTAGAACTAACACTAGACCTTTCACTAGAAGTTTCGTCTATGACGCACGGCTAAACCCTTATATTTCTAGTTCTAGGTCTAGTGTTAGTTCTAGTTTTACACAAGCACTATCACTAGAACAAGCAGTAGTTGTGTAACACCATGTTTTTAATGTCCTTTAACGTTTTGTTTGTTTATCTTCACTTTGCCGAGGTCGCTTGCGGGCGAGGCAGTGGTTATGTAACTATATCAACATAAAACTAGTGTATACCACTGATTGTAGCGCCTCGGCCACAAGCAACCTCAGTGAAGTGGAGATAAATGACCATTCATTTAAGTAATATATGAAATTTACTTACCAACACATCAAATGAACGATATCATCTAATATCGCCAAGGTCGCTTGCGGGCGAGGCGCTAGAGCCAATAGTATACACTAAATAGCTAATATTGTTTCTTAATATGATTAAATTTGATTTAAATTTAATTAATAAACATAAATTTTTATGATAAATTATTAATTAAAAAATTTTTGTGGCCAACTTCATGATGCCGCGTACCATAGATATTAAAAATTAGATGATTCCATTGATATATTATAATCATTAAGGATATGGATTAAATGATCACAAAATGATCACAAAGTAATCAAAAAACGATATTTAATCACTTTTTTAATGATTTTTTTATTAAAACAATTACAACAATGAACAGATACACAATTTCCCTTTAATTTTCATTTTTTTGCTGTCATGAAGTGAATTAAATCCACTTTTTAACGTTTAATTTGAGATCCGTTCGATTTCTTTTCAATTTTACTTTTAATTAATACTTAATCGATTTGTTTAAAGATACATCGAATTATTTTTATGATTTTTTTTAATTTTTTTTTTTTTTAGACAAGTTTAAAATTTTATTCCGATATGAAGTTTTTCCTTACACGTATAAAATAAATTAAAAGAAAATAATAAGTTTAAATCAATTCCTTTACCTCAATTCTTTTCTTTCAATTCTTTTTAATTGCATTTAATTCGACCAGGATTGATATATCACAACTAATACATAACCTCAACTTTAGCTGTCAAATAAGAAATTACTAATTAATTTAATTTAATTACTTTTTGAAAGTTGAAATTTATTTTTTTTTTACTCTATGTATAGAAGACATGTTGTCGAGTACACACTACCGAATGTGAATAACATGGGTACTTCTATGCAGACGTTTGAGGGGGCCAACACCCCGTTGCTTTCTTTATCATTAGAATTATTACTCGTAGTTATTGTTGAAGTGGTTTTGAGATCGTTTTTATGACGCAACAATTTCCTTATCAATCGACCGCCGTTACTCGACCGACCCGAACCGCATCGCGATAGATGTTGTTGCTCGAATTCCGTTATGTATTGGGGTTTCGAAGTCTCGTGGTTCATCTCGAATGTGTTCATTAATTCGGGTCGTCATAAATCAGGAAAACTAAAAATACATTCAATTTCACTTATAGTATTCAATTAAACACACAAATATTCATTTTTTACCGTGTTGGGTCTTCCGCGTAATCCTTAGGTTTCGTAAACATCTCTTTGGGGATATCCCCCCGAAATTGGAACTGTTGAAAAGTGATTTTCGCAGTAACCGTGGGTAAAATCGGTATTTCCACTTTAACGGGGAACCCGTTCGGTAATTTAAAAGTGATAAAATCCCTCAGTTTCGAGAAATGCTTAAAAGGGGCGATAACCTCCAAAACGTTCAATAACATATCCACGGATAAAGGGAAATCGGAACTCATCGCGATCGTAGCTTTAAACGATTTTGTTGATTCTTTATAAACCAAGTCTCTTCCTAAACGGGGGTACCCGTTTAATTCTGAATTAAGGTATTGATCCCAAGTGATGTTTTTATCTGGAGGTGGACTTAAACTCGTTCTACGAACTGGAACTCCGTTTTGGTCTAAACATTGCAAATTTCCCCCTTTCGTAAAACTTTCTAATAAAGCCTTATTTTTTTGTAAATCATCCGTGGATAAATGTTCACGTCGTTTCCGACTCTCAAGCATTAACCCATGGACGGTGTAAAGTTCGCTTTCGTATTGCCCCGCGACTAATTCCTTTTTATCCTCGCGAAAAATCCAACCGCTTTGAGCCCGAGCAAAAGAGATACTCTTCGTTGAGATTTGAGCCGCCAAAATATCCGTTGACATCAACAAATCGACCTCGTCTTCGATTTCCATTTCGCTCTCTTCGTATTTTACGTTTTGATAAACTTTTTGAACGTTATCGAGGACGGTTAGGCTTTGATTTGGGGGTGCGTTTCCGTTGAATATAAACGATATGTCACCGCGTTCCCATCTCATATCGGAAAAATCAACCAACGTAGTGTCCAAACGAATGTTTGCACCGCTTTTGTATATTTTGCAAATATCCGACGGGAGGATTCTTGATACTAACGGAACCCAAGATTGAAAATCCCATTTTAATTCCATGTAGAAATCGTTTATACGGTTTAAAGCTTCCACTAAATTCGGTCGCCGCTCTTCCATTTGTTCGCGAGATTGTTGCCGGAATTTCCTTACTAACGATGATACTTAAAAAGAATAATTTAGGACTTATTGAATTTGTTAAGATTTAATAAATTACTTGTGGGTCTATGTCCGTAACTAACAGCTTCGGCTAAAACCGTCCATCCGAGTCCGTTTTTAACTTTAACCGGGGCGTCGTGTTTAAGTAATAATTGCACGCATTCTAAAAGAAATTGAAATAAAATTCAAATGTGGCTTAAAAATCGACGATTTCTTTTTAATCAATGTGAAATTACCCAAAAAAACACGTTAAAAATAAAATGAAAGTGCGAAAAAGTGTAGGACATAAGTTTTCAATAACATTAAATTATTTTTCAGTAATTTTGAACGACTTGCAATAGCTTGGAGTAATTTTAGAACATTTAGACAAGTTTTAAATCGTTACCAATTGATTCTTAATCACTTTGATCAACTTTTTCATCATGTAAATAAATTTTGATCAACTTTAGATGCAGTTTTAAATTGTTTTATACAACTTGGAACGGTAACGAACTTGTTGCTAATCATTTAGACAAGTTTTCAATAACACCAAATTAGTTTTCAGTAATTTTGAACGACTTGCAATAGCTTGGAGTAATTTTAGAACATTTAGACAAGTTTTAAATCGTTACCAATTGATTCTTAATCACTTTGATCAACTTTTTCATCATGTAAATAAATTTTGATCAACTTTAGATGCAGTTTTAAATTGTTTTATACAACTTGGAACGGTAACGAACTTGTTGCTAATCATTTAGACAAGTTTTCAATAACACCAAATTAGTTTTCAGTAATTTTGAACGACTTGCAATAGCTTCAGAGCAATTTTAAAACATTTAGACAAGTTTTGAATCGTGACCAACGCGTTCTTAATCACTTTGAGCAACTTTTCCAAGTTGTAAACGTGTTTTGAACAACTTTGTATGCAATTTTTAATCATTTTGAACAACTTGGAACCGTAATGCACCAGTTTCCAATAAGTTAGACAAGTTTTTAATCATCACCAATTGGTTCTTAATCACTTTGAACAACTTTTTCATCATGTAAATGAATTTTGATCAACTTTAGATGCAATTTTTAATTGTTTTATACAACTTGGAACGGTAACGAACTTGTTGCTAATCATTTAGACAAGTTTTCAATAACACCAAATTATTTTTCAGTAATTTTGAACGACTTGCAATAGCTTTGGAGCAATTTTAAAACATTTAGACAAGTTTTGAATCGTGACCAACGCGTTCTTAATCACTTTGAGCAACTTTTCCAAGTTGTAAACGTGTTTTGAACAACTTTATATGCAATTTTTAATCATTTTGAACAACTTAGAACCGTAATGTACCAGTTTCCAATAAGTTAGACAAGTTTTTAATCATCACCAATTGGTTCTTAATCACTTTGAACAACTTTTTCATCATGTAAATGAATTTTGATCAACTTTAGATGCAATTTTTAATTGTTTTATACAACTTGGAACGGTAACGAACTTGTTGCTAATCATTTAGACAAGTTTTCAATAACACCAAATTATTTTTCAGTAATTTTGAACGACTTGCAATAGCTTTGGAGGAATTTTAAAACATTTAGACAAGTTTTGAATCGTAACCAACACGTTATTAATCACTTTGAGCAACTTTTCCAAGTTGTAAACGTGTTTTGAACAACTTTATATGCAATTTTTAATCTTTTGAACAACTTAGAACCGTAATGTACCAGTTTCCAATAAGTTAGACGAGTTTTTAATCATTACCAATTGGTTCTTAATCACTTTAAACAACTTTTTCATCATGTAAATTAATTTTGATCAACTTTAGATGCAGTTTTTAATTGTTTTATACAACTTGGAACGATAACGAACTTGTTGCTAATCATTTAGACAAGTTTTCAATAACACCAAATTATTTTTCAGTAATTTTGAATAACTTGTAATAGCTTTGGAGCAATTTTAAAATATTTAGACAAGTTTTGAATTGTGACCAACGCGTTCTTAATCACTTTGAGCAACTTTTCCAAGTTGTAAACGTGTTTTGAACAACTTGGAACTGTAAAGTACTAGTGCCTAATAAGTTAAACAAGTTTTTAATCATTACTAATTGGTTATTAATAACTTTGAACAACTTTTTCATCTTGTAAATAAATTTTGATCAACTCTTTTTTGTTTTTTGACATAAATGCATCATGTTTGAACTCATTTTAAAGGTTATTTTAATAAACAATACATCATAAAAGAACACCATGAAGTTGTCCGTTTGTCTATTATATGATAACTAACTTCAGGTGTAAAATGTCAACCTCAATTTTGACATATTTGTCATATTCATTACAAATCCTTTAAAATGAGTACAAACACGACATATTTAACATCAATATTAATGAAGTTATTAATGTCAACTTCAATTTTGATATATTCTTAATCTTTATGAAATGTCTTAAAATTTGTCACAAAAACAAAAATGTAATGAAAAAAATCAGGAATTAAGGTTGGTATTAATATTTAGATATTAAATTGCTATCTTCATTGTTGCTAACTTCGAGTTTAATGTCTATTATTCTAATTTTTTGGTTTTTTGAGATAAATGCATCATGTTTGGACACATTTTAAAGTTTTTTAATTAAAAATACATCATAAAAGAAGACCATGAAGTTGTCCATTTATCTATTATATGATAACTAACTTCAGCTGTAAATGTCAACCCCAATTTTGACATATTTGTAATCTACATTAAAAATCCTTTAAAGTGAGTATAAACACAACATATTTATCTTCAATATCAATGAAGTTATAGTCAACTTCCCGTTAGAAATGTCAACCTCACTTTTGACATATTTGTAATCGTCGTGAAAAATTCTTTAAAATGATCCTAAACATGATAGGTTTAATTCCAATATTACTCGAGATATAAGCAACTTCCGGTTTGAAATGTCAATGTCATTTTGATATATTCTTAATTTTATAAAATATGTTAAAATTTGTCGCAAAAACGAAAATATAATAAAAAAGTCAAAAATTAACGTTGGTATTAATATTTAAAAATTAAATTGCTATCTTCATTGTTGCTAACTTCAGGTTTAATGTTTTTTAGCCTAACGTTTTTGTTTTTTGAGATAAATGCATCACGTTTGGACTCATTTTAAAGGTTATTTTATGAACATTAAGTATATAATAATAAAATTAAAGTTGACATTAACACCTGAAAGGTTTTCTTAGCCATGCGACAAAACTCTTTCAAAAAAAACTTGAATATTTCTAGGTCTTGTGTTAGTTCTAATGATAATGTTAGTGAAAAACTATCAAATTTAACCTAACCACAACAAGTGACGTCACGTTCGAACTTTAAAGTGATTTTTCGGTAAGTTTTCCACTTTTCCACCTTTCTTTTATAATTTGTAACGTCTTACTTGAGTAATTTCCCGTCGATTAAAAAAAATCGTCGATTTTTAAGCGACATTATAATTCTTGAATTATATCGAAATTCATTATTAAATTTACTTCATTAAAAAACGTCAAAAATAATCACCTTTTCGCCCCAACATAACGGCCAAATGCAATGCGGTGTTCCCTAAAAGAAATTAATGATTACACGTTCGAACATAACCTCAAAATTTTAATAAAACTTAATTTTTAACTTGATTAGAACGATTTTTTCGGGGAAATTTTTGTGTGGGGCAACTCACCGTGTCTATCCTTAGTTGTAACATCGTGTTTTCTTAAAAGCCGCGATAAACACTTCAAATCGTTCTCAAAAACAGCTCGATGCAAAGGATATCTGTCAACATCCATTTCCAAAACAATTTCGTTACCGTTTAGACGCGTTCCCCATTCCATTAAATAAAACGAAAATGATTAATTTAACGTTACTCCACGAAATAAATCCTTATCTTAATCTTAAAACGATCGGAAATTGATGATAAATAAATTATCTTGCGATTTTATCGGGATCTTTGAATCGGACGGTGGTGGTAAATTTTTTATTTTTTTTTGCTCGGTTGGTGGTTCTGATTCGAGGCGGTTGATTTGAAAATTTAATTTTTGGTTGAATTTATCTGGATTTGGCGCGAAATTTCTCACCTCCTCGGGTTTTCATTTCTTTATCGGGGAAAAACCCCGATTATTTTCCGCTTTTTTCGGTAATTGCGGCGGACGTTATTTTTACCTGGTCTTTTTGACGTTTCTAATCTTGGGGAACTGTCAAAAAACATTACAAAACTAAATTATCCTAAATCATCCAAAGTGAATTAATTAGATTTTTAATTATTATATTTTCTTACACACCTATTACATTATTATCAATTAATTAATAAAAACTAATTAGATTAAAAATCTAAAAACGTTCACATAAATTAAAAAATAAACTCTCTCTTAACCTCACTTTTTTACTGGTACACAAAAAAAGGAAGACAAACAATTTATTTAATGTTGTTAACTACTTGGAGTATCTTCGTTCCAAATCAAAATTAAATCAAATTCTTTATCACAATCGTACTCATTAATTCATCTTATTACAATTAGTTAAATTAAACAATTTACGTCTTCCCTACTTCGTTATCTTTATCGTCTTCGCCTTCGACGTTCTCTTTTAAATCGTTTTTGTCATCTTCGTCGTCCTCTTCTTCCTCCTCGAGCAACTTTCGCGCTAATTTCACCGCGTAAAACTCGTTATAATGCATTTTACGTTTACTTTCGAATTCCTTCCTTTTCTCTAACTCCTCGGGGGTTAAATCTTCATCCGATTCATCATCATCATCATCATCGTTTGTTTCCATCGATTTTGGTAATTTCTCAGCCCCCAACTTGATCTTTTCGGCTAAATCGGCTGCATCTAAAGCATCCACACTATCGGGATCAACATAATTAAATGGAGTTTTGGGTTCCTCGATTTTCATATGTCCATAATCTTTATCTGGGGGGTGAAGTGTCGCTATTATGTTCATTTCATCCCATGTTGTTTCTTTATTTTTTCTTAAAACGATAAAAAATTTTTTTAGGTTATCTTTTTTATCTTAATCATTATTAAAAGATTAATTTTATTTATTGATTACATAAAAGGAGTTTTTTTATTGATGGGGTGGGGTTATTACTTAAATAAATAAGGATTTATTGTAAATTAGGGTCGAAATTTATGAGAAAATTAGGTTAGGTTCTTAGGTTAATTGACGCGAAGTTAGGCGGAGATGAGGGGTGTGTTATTTTAACACTTACTTTGCGGCACAATGACTTTCTTGGGTATCGAAACTGCTTGAATTTTTCAAAATCCCTTTTCGGGGCCTTTTATTTAAATTATCAGCCATAATGTGTTCGACGTTGATCGAAAAATAAAAAAACTACATCAGGTTGGGGGCGATTTTTTTGACAGACGAGCGTTAAGTTAGTGCGCATGCGCCAGCACAACTGTCATTGTCAATCTCATTAATAATTTATATACAGGGAGATTCTTTAAAATTTCCTTTATTTATTCATTAATATTTTTACTTATACTAAATAATTCAACGGGGACTTCTCTATTAAACTCATCTTTCTCGTTTTCGTTTAATCCCCCATTTTCGTGATTCTCGTAAGCGTCAACCCCGATTTGAGGTCTTTCTGGAACGTTTTTAGCCAAGCTCCAATTTAAAACGTTTTCCATCGTAACATCGCCCTCCGCGTTGATTATTTCGGGTTGAAAATGAGATGGTCTCCTTTGGAAATTGCTCGTGTATAAATGCTGGCTATAAATCCCCCCAAAAATCTCTTCGGTTCGCCGAGTTAATGGTATTATAACAGTTTGATCCAAGGTAGGGGTCGGTTCATAAACGTGGTGGTTAAAATGCTCGATCGTCGTGTTATTTGAGAGCTCCATAACCCCAATTTGCGTCGTTCGGACGTGGTAGGGGAAATTTTTATTTGCAACCGACGGCATGGTTAACAACAAAAACATTAAATGCCCCCCAAATGATATGAATAAAAGCACCGCGTAAACTATCGATTCGCGAATCCATTTATCAATGTAATTATTAGCTGAAATTATAAAAGCGGGGCCCGCAATGAACCATAAAGTCCCTGAGATATTAAAAGGGTAATAAAAGTTGCATTTTTCTGGGTACTTTTTTAAAGTGAAAATCGTGGAGTAAATAAAAAAGCACCACGCGAATATCCTTAAAATGATTAACCCATATCCTGCAGGGGATTCATAAAGATATAGGACTTCACCTGGATCAAAAACTTTAGTTTCATAAATGAACAAAGAAATATAGGTTATGGAGTAAAGGCAAATAAAAATCGTTATTTTTATGCTGGTTGATAAAGATAATCTCCCCCTGGTTACAGTGTATCCTTTAGCAATCAATAAAAGGAGGAGCAAAAAGCATATTTCTGATATCCCCATGATCATCAATCCTAAAAATAAATAATTTAGTTTATTTAACAAAAAAAAGAATCATTTAACCCGTCATTTTAAGGTTGGGGGATCCAATTCCATTTAAAGCGTATTGCAAATAAGTCATGCTCGCCAAAAGGATCCCAAAATATTGCACAATCACCGAAAACGAAAATAATTTGTAAGTTGCATGGAGAAGTTGTCGCGATTTAAGCTCAATTGAGCAAATTACTATTGCTAAAATCAACATGGTGTAAGCGATTGTAAAAGCCATTAAAACAGGGAGGATATCTACAAAAAAAATTATTTTAATTCATTTTTAATTAATAATTAATTAAGTCGTTTACAAAATTCATCTGCTGAGAATTGTTCGTGCCAATAATCTCCAGGTGGCCCATTCGTCATTAAAATCCGATACTTCACATCAATTCCTTTTCTTCCTTTACAATTACTAATTGCAACAAACCACCACCGTTCTCTCGAACTCCTAAATCTTCTAGCATTTCTACATGTAATGAGTCGGTTATTCTTAATTTTCGTATTTCTAGTTGGAACGGCTCTTTTAATGACGATTTTGCTACTAATATTATTAAAATCATCGTAATTCTCAGTAAAGTTATCGAAAAAGGTGAAATTTTCATAAAAATCCGTAAAATTTGACGTTATAACCTCAAATTCCGATTCGGTGACAGTTGGGTTTGTTGTGATTGCCAATTTAGAAGTGGTACCAACCGTCGGATTTGAAATTTCCGAGTTTAAAGTGCACCCGGAAAATTCGCCGCGGCGAAGGGTTAAATTCACAATTTGGTTTTGTTGGATGTTTAAAACCGATTCTTTTTCAAAGCAGCTCTAAAAATTAATTAATTCATTCATTTTTAATTAAATCGGATTTGATTTACTTTGGATGTTTTATAAACGGAGTGCCATTGATCGGGGGTATCGTAATATAGAAGTAGATTAGGATGGCCTTGTTCTTCGTTGTATTCGATGAAGTAGTCGAATTGACCTTCCCCCGATAAGAAGCAAAATCTCGCCAAAAAAGCCCAATTCTAATAACAAAAAAAGTGAGGTTATGTTTCTTTTTTCTTTGTTGTCTTACTTCACTCGTTTTGAGGCGACCCTCCATATATTTACATATACTAGTACTAAATAAACTTAAATAAATAATTATTAAGGATTTATAAACGATTTTATCCATAAAAACCTTAATTTTAGCACTTTTATTAAGTTTGCAATAAAATCGCGTTTGTTTGTATCAATTTTAATCAATGGTTGCCATGGTAACGAAATTAAAAGTGCGAAATTATTTATTTATTTATTTAAAATTATTGATTATTATTAACAAAATTAATAATTATTTATTAGTTTGTAATAATCCGATTATGAATTAAATGTTATTTCTATTATTTAAATAAAAAAATATAAAAAGTGGTTGATTTAATAAACGTCAAACGTCAACTTCATAATCATAACCTAAAAGGTTGAAATATCCCTAAAATTCATCATCAAAGACACGTCTTGATGAGTCTATTTTCGTATCAAACGCGTGAAAAATCGATAAAACCGTTAAACGATACGTCGTAAATTGCGTCGAATATCATCGGGGACACGTCCCAAAAGCGAAATATATCTGTTAAAAGTAAATAATAAGATTAGTGGGGTAATGGGAAGGGTCCCGTTTCTCAAAAACTAATTCACCTCGGTTTTGATTCGAAAAATGTTTAAAAAATTGAAGGATAAAATCGCGGAAGATTTAAAATTTTCACCACAACGCATCCAACAACTTACGCAAACGGTGACTGATCGCCTCGGTGGATCGGGGGCCTCCGAAGATAACAATCTATTTTCGATTGCGGATGACGGTAAATTTGATTTAAAATTGTTTTTGTGGTGATGTGAAATTAATGGTGTTTTAAGATAACGCAATTTCTCCAAACACAATGGATAATAACTCGGAAATGTTTACGGATGTTTCGCTGCAAAGATCGCCGGGAATTGAACCCAAATCGAGGCGTTTATCTTCATCCTCGATGGCTAGCGACGTCTCTTTTTTACCAAGATACGAACCACCATCGAATTTGTATCATATGCAGGTGAAAAATTAAAATTAAAAAGAACATAACCTCAATTAATTATTTTAATCTGTCAAAACAAAAAATAACCTCAAATTTTTTTAGGTTATGTTCTTATTTAAGATTAAAATTTTAATTTTAATCGTTTTTTAGTCAGATTTAGACGTTTCGGCGAGTGAATTTGAAGACGCATCAAGTACCTCATCGCAATTGGGTCAAATTAGTAAAGAACAAGTTTATGCGGCATTTCGAAAGGCTCAAATGCGTTATCACAAATACCGAGGTCGTTACACCGATTTAGCGAATCATTATAAAATTTTAGAGCGAGAAAATGGAAAAATTAAATCGGTTTTGGTTGATACTCAAGATAAAGCGATTCGAAGAGCGAATGAGCTTAAAGAACAATGTACACTGGAACAAAGAGCCAAAGCTCACTTGGAGAATGCTTTACGTGTTGATCTGGATGAAAAGCAAATGAAAATTGATTCGTTGGAAACTAAAATTAAATATTTGCAGTCTGAAGAAGTTAATGGGGAGGGTTTGAATGAAAAAATACAAGAATTAAAGGCGAATTTGATAGTTTTTAGTACTAGGGAGGTGGAGTATAAACAAAAAATTAGTGAGTTGGAGAGTAATTTGAAAGAAAGAATGATGGAGATTGAAGGGAATAACTTAAAGATTGCTAAAACAAAGATGGAGTTACACTCGGAAATTAACAACAAAGATATTGAGATTAATCAATTAAAAGGGGAAATTGATAAAATTAAAATTGAGAATGATAAGAATGAAAAGACCAAGTTGGATGGTGAAGGTGAAAAGAAATTGGAAAATTTAAAGGCCCAAAATGGAAAATTAATTGAGAAAATCGAAAAGTTAACCTCAAAATTATCGAATTATGACACCGATTTAATTAAATTGGAGCGAAAAGAGATTGAAATGAATAATTTAAACGTTTTAATGAACGAAATTAAGGAGGAAAATCAACAATTAAAAGACGAAATTGTTGCTGTGAAATTAAAAAGTGAAAATGAATTAAAATCGGTTAGAAATGAAACTAAAAATAGTTTGCTTAGTTTGGAAAGTAAAATCGCTTCTAAATTACAAGCAGATTTCGATTTTAAAGAAGCGGAATTAAAAAAAGATTTCGATAAACGTATTGAAGATCTTCAAACATCCGGAAGCTTAGAAAAGGAACTTATCGAGACTCAGGATAATTTAAAAACGATCGAGAATATTAACGAGGTTCTTAACACCGAATTGGAAGAGTATAAATTAAAATATTTCAATTTGGAGCAGAACCATTTAGATTTAATCGATGAGAATGGGAAAAGAATTCGGAAAGAATCCGAATTGGAGAAGGAAATCGAGAAATATTTGGACGAAATTAAAATATTAAATAGAGAATTAATTAAAGAGAAGGATTTGAAGGAGAAGTTTAATGTGGAAATGATTAATTTAAAAAAAATTAATGATGACATAACCTCAAATTTTGATGTGAACGTATCCCAAATTAAAACTTTAGAGGATAAAGTTAATAGTTGTGAAAATGAAATTAAAGCTTTATTGGATGAGAATGAAGCTTTAAAAGTGTCTAAAAATGAATTGGTTGAGAGTTTAAACGAGGAAATTAAGAAATTGAAGGAGGTAAATGGTGACATAACCTCAAATTTTGACGTGAACGTATCCAAAATAAAAACTTTGGAGGATAAAGTTAAAAGTTGCGAAAATGAAATTAAAGCTTTATTGGATGAGAATGAAGCTTTAAAAGTGTCTAAAAATGAATTGGGTGAGAGTTTAAACGAGGAAATTAAGAAATTGAAGGAGGTAAATGGTGACATAACCTCAAATTTTGATGTGAATGTATCCAAAATTAAAACTTTGGAGGATAAAGTTAAAAGTTGCGAAAATGGAATTAAAGCTTTGTTGGATGAGAATGAAGCTTTAAAGGTGTCTAAAAATGAATTGGTTGAGAGTTTAAATGAGGAAATTAGAAAATTAAAAGAGGTAAATGAAAATTTTGATGTGAACGTACCCAAATATGTTGGTGAAATTAAAACTTTGGAGGATAAAGTTAAAAGTTGTGAAAATGAAATTAAAGCTTTATTGGATGAGAATGAAGCTTTAAAAGTGTCTAAAAATGATTTGGTTGTAAGTTTAAATGAGGAGATTAAAAAATTAAAAGTGGTAAATGGTGACATAACCTCAAATTTTGATATGAACGTATCCAAAATTAAAACTTTGGAGGATAAAATTAAAAGTTGCGAAAATGAAATTAAAGCTTTATTGGATGAGAATGCAACTTTAAAAGTGTCTAAAAATGAATTGGTTGAAAGTTTAAATGAGGAAATTAAAAAATTAAAAGTGGTAAATGGTGACATAACCTCAAATTTTGATGTGAACGTATCCAAATATGTTGGTGAAATTAAAACCTTGGAGGATAAAGTTAAAAGTTGTGAAAATGAAATTAAAGCTTTATTGGATGAAAATGAAGGTTTAAAAGTGTCTAAAAATGATTTGGTTGAGAGTTTAAATGAGGAAATTAAAAAATTGAAAGAGGTAAATGAAAATTTTGATGTGAACGTACCCAAATATGTTGGTGAAATTAAAACTTTGAATGATAAAGTTAAAAATTGCGAAAATGAAATTAAAGTTTTATTGGATGAAAATGAAGCTTTAAAAGTGTCTAAAAATGAATTGGTTGAGAGTTTAAATGAAGAAATTAAAAAATTGAAGGAAGTAAATGGTAACATAACCTCAAATTTAAAAGAAAATTCTTCAAAACATATTGGAGAAGTAAATATTATTGAAAAACAATTAAAAACTTTACAAAATGAATTAGAAATAAATAAAAAATTAATAGAGAAGTATGAAATTGAAAGTGAAGNAAGAGGTAAATGAAAATTTTGATGTGAACGTACCCAAATATGTTGGTGAAATTAAAACTTTGAATGATAAAGTTAAAAATTGCGAAAATGAAATTAAAGTTTTATTGGATGAAAATGAAGCTTTAAAAGTGTCTAAAAATGAATTGGTTGAGAGTTTAAATGAGGAAATTAAGAAATTGAAGAAGGTAAATAGTGACATAACCTCAAATTTTGACGTGAACGTATCCAAATATGTTGGTGAAATTAAAACTTTGGGGGATAAAGTTAAAAGTTGTGAAAATGAAATTAAAGCTTTATTGGATGAGAATGAAACTTTAAAAGTGTCTAAAAATGGATTGGTTGAGAGTTTAAATGAGGAAATTAATAAATTGAAGGAGGTAAATGGTGACATAACCTCAAATTTTGATATGAACGTATCCAAAATTAAAACTTTGGAGGATAATGTTAAAAGTTGTGAAAATAAAATTAAAGCTTTATTGGATGAGAATGAAGGTATAAAAATGTCTAAAAATGAATTGATTGAGAGTTTAAATGAGGAGATTAAAAAATTGAAGGAGGTAAATGGTAACATAACCTCAAATTTAAAAGAAAATTCTTCAAAACATATTGGAGAAGTAAATATTATTGAAAAACAATTAAAAACTTTACAAAATGAATTAGAAATAAATAAAAAATTAATAGAGAAGTATGAAATTGAAAGTGAAGCTTTTAAAAGTGAGGTTAAAATGGGTAAAATTGAGCTTGAAAAGTTCCGAATTGAAATGAACTCATTACAAGATGAAAATGAGAGTTTAAAATTATCTAAAAATGAATTAATTGGAAATTTAAATGAGGAAATTAAGAAATTAAAAGAAGAAAATTGTAACATAACCTCAAATTTCGAAGATAAAGTAGATAACTGTAAAAAAGAAACGAAATCCTTACAAGATGAAATAAAACGTATGCAAAATGAGTTGGAAAAGTTCAAGAAAGAGAATGAAATTTTAAATTCATCGAAGATTGTTGAAATTGAGAAAATTGAGAAAATTGATAAACAAAAAAATGAACTTTTGAATGAAAATAAAAAGTTAAAACAAGATTATCTCGACTTAAAGATATCTTTGGAAACATTAAAAACGGTTGAGGAAGAAAACCATAAATTAATTGATGACATTGAAATGATTAGGTCAAAATTAACCGAGTTATTAAGCGAAAATCAAGCTTTAAAAGACGAATTAAATAAATTAAAGTACCTTGATAACTTATCGAAAGAAAACGCGAATAATTTTGAGGTCTTAAACGAGAGTTATAATCGTTTAAACCAAGAAAACGTTGAATTAGTTCGAAGAAATCAACAATTATCGAGTGATTACCAACAAATTGTAACCGAAAATGAACACAATTTGTTTGAATTAGGCGAATTAAAACTAAAATACGACGAATTAACTTTAAAAATGAACCAAATCGATGGTGAGGTTGAAAAATACGACTCAAAAATAACCAAATTAAACCAAGAATTAGTTGAGGCTAATTCAAAATTGAACCGATTAGATAAAGAGAAACAAGTTTTAGAGAATCGCAACGCCTCAGATGAAAATAAATTAAAACAATTCGTAAACGACAAAGAAAATCACGAAACGTTAGAAAAAAAATTCAAATCAACTAAAACCGAGCTTAGCGAGCTTGTAAAAACTCACGAAGAAATTGTGAAGGAAAAGAAATCTTTGGAAAATCAATTCCATGAATTAGAAAAGCATTATAATGAGATTACGCATGAAAAACAATTATTATTAGATGAAATCGATGAGTTAAAAGCAACCCCCATCAGTTTATTAACTAAAAATAACCCGGAAATTGAAAATTTAAAGCGAAAATTAGATGAATATAAATCGATAGATAAAGCTAATCGAGCATCAATTGAATTTTACGAAAACGAATTGGAAAAATTAAAGAATAAAAACGATAAATTAGGCAGGAAATTGGATGAAACGTTGGTGGGGTTACCGAAATTAACGGAAAACGCCGATTTTAGTAACTCGGAGGCGATTTTGGAGTACTTAAGAAACGTCATTTTTAATTACATGACCGGGAAGGAAAGCTTGGTTCTTGCCAAAGTAATCGCGGCCGTTTGTAAATTCGATAAGGATCAAACCGAGTTGGTTTTGCAAAAGGAACAACAAAAACAATCACTTGTAAGGGATTTTATTACGAAATAATGTTTGAAATTAATTCGATTTTTGTTGTAGTTGGGTCAATTCTTTACGAGCTAACATCGGCACTTCCAATAAAAAGTATTCTTTCTTTGTAAATATTGGGTACGTGTATATTTTTGCTATCTTTATATCAGATCATTCCAAATTTAGCTTTTTTTAACTAAAACGTAGCACGCTAAAAACGAGATTACACGAAAATTATTGTAATTATTCTTATTAGTTTTTTGCGTAATCTCTCGGTGAATTAATTTTGCATTATTTATAAATAAAACATTGTTATTTAACTTAATATTAATTAATTTAAAGAATTTACCTTTACCGGCCCATTTTTCATAACCTATAATTATAGGTTGAACTGTCAAAATGAAATGGACCAATCACGATCAAGGTCGTTTTGGTTACAAATTTTAAATGCTCGTTTTAGTTTAAAAGTAAGGTTATAACGTAATAAATTGAGTTTGTCTTGAGATATTCAAGATTATTAATATTTAACCTTTCAGTACACGCGATTGCACAAAATACGTGGCGAAATTTGAGTCGGTAATTATTAAGATCGATTGACAATAGATGGCGCTAGTTTGAAATTATTAAATTTAAAATTTATTTTTTTTATTTTATAAACTTAGATATTTGCGATTAATAACAATTAAAACTATAACTAACATTAGACCTAGAACTAGAAAGTTTGAGGTTTAGCAAAATATGCGAAGAAATTTGAGTCGGTAATTGTTAATAGAATCGATTGATGATAGATGGCGCTAGTGAAGTTATTAAATTAATTTTTTTTTTTATTTTATAAGATATTGCCGGTTATGTTTTAATAAAAATATCTAAAACTAGCACTAGGAAAGCATTAATTAAGTTTTAATGTTAACTTTCATATAGATAAAAAAGTTTTAGATATAAAATTGATACGATTTTAGTGATTTTGTACAATTAGGTGAATTGACATAAAACAATAATTTGATGACAGCCGAAAATGTCAGTTAAAGTTAAAACTATTTTTTTTAATTTGTTCTTTTTAAGTGAAGTGCAACAATCTAGCGCTGAATAACAATTACAATAAATATTAGGATTGCTGTTATCACCTGTCAAGAAATTTGAATGTAAGTATTCACTCAAATATTGTCATTTAAAATGATTAGACAACAAAAGATGGCGCGCGCGTGTATTGAAAGGTTAAGGATAAGGAAATAATTAAAACGTAGCACGTTAAACGAGATTACACGAAAATTATTGTAATTATTATTGCTAGTTTTTTGCGTAATCTCTGCGTGAATTAATTTTGCATCCATTATAAATAAAACAGTTTTTAACTTAATATTAATTAATTTAAAGAATTTCTCTTTACCGGCCAATTTTTCATAACCTATAATTATAGGTTGAGCTGTCAAAACGTAATGGACCAATCACGATCAAGGTCGTTTTGATTACAAATTTTAAATGCTCCTTTTAGTTTAAAAACAAGGTTATAACATAGTAAATTGAATTTATCTTGAGATATTAAAGATTATTAATATTTAACCTTTCAGTACACGTGATTATACAAAATACCAGGCGAAATTTAAGTCGGTAATTGTTAATAGAATCGATTGACGATAGATGGCGCTAGTTTGAAGTTATTAAATTTAAAAATTGTGCAACAATCTAGCGCTGAATAACAATTATAATAAATATTAGGATTATTTTTACCTGTCAAGAAAATCGAAATGCACGTGTATTGAAAGGTTAGGGATAAAGGAAATAATTAAAACTGCATTAATTTTGATCTCTTCTTTTATTAATTTTATAATTATTACTGTATTGTTGTTGTTTTGAGAGAGAGAGAGATTCTCAATTAATAATTATTTTCTCCGTTAATAAATTAATTATTTTTAATAATATATATAGTCTCTACATAAGTCCTACATCTAGCGGTTAAAACTTCGAAACAAATTAAAAAATCATTTAAATAATCGAAAAAGGGGTTATTTTCTTCTATAAAAAAATTAAAATAAAAAAAATTAAAAAAATAAATCGAAAAATCTCTATCACAATGGTCTTTTTATTATTATTATTATTATTAATGGGTTACGAATTTGTTTTATTATTATTTTTCCTCTTGCCATTTTTTCCTCTTCCCATAGGAATCGTTGCAACTCGTAGGCCGTGTTTATAATCATTAATTTAAAAAAAAAAATAATAATAATTGGGGTTAAAAAAATTTAAAAATTAAAAAGAACTAAACGATAACGATAAAATCGACGACTAGCGTGAAGGTAAACTCATCGGGTTTGTGTGTGTGTGTCTTCAATATATTTTATACGAAATTAACCTAAAAATTAAAAAAGATTAATTTAAAATTAAAATTAAACAACATTTTTAGGTTATAAAGAAATGTCAAAACAAATTAAATTTTGAATCTGAGCGAAGTTAGGTAGAAACAAAAAACTGACGATCACCAAGACGACAACAACCGACAATACAAACAAAGTGTGACGTCACATTAGTTTTAAGCACCTTTTCCCTCTCCCTTTCTTTACTTCAGTAGTGAATCGGCTTTAAGAGTGAAATGTTGTAATTTTCTTGGTGCAATAATCGAGTGTCTTCGAGACTAGAAAAGACTTTTAACCCCAAAAGACTATTTGTGACCGGATTTTGATGAGACGTCTATTCAAAGCGATGAGGAACTTGTTTTGAAACAGGTAGGATTTTTTATATTAATTTTGACAGTTAAAATGGTGCCAACTTAAAAACTGGAAATGATAAATAAAATACTAAACGTCAATACTCCAACGCATTTAGATTCTACTAAAATAATTATTTTATATAAAAATTAAAAATGTTTAATTTAAAATTAAACACTTTTAGGTTATAAAATTTTTTTAGATAAGTTTCGACCAATCAAATCCTTTGATTTAAATTTAATTTTAAATCTGAGCGAAGTAGGCGGTGTTAGTTACCGACAAAAAACTGACAATCACCAAGACGACAAAAACCGACAATACAAACAAAGTGTGACGTCACATTGGTTTTAAGCATCTTTTCCCTCTCCCTTTCTTTACTTCAGTACTAAATCGGCTTTAAGAGTGAAATGTTGTAATTTTCTTGGTGCAATAATCGAGTGTCTTCGAGACCAGAAAAGACTTTTAACCCTAAAAGACGATTTGTGACCGAATTTTGATGAGACGTTTACTCAAAGCGACGAGGAAACTTGTTTTGAAACAGGTAGGATTTTTTTTGTATTAATTTTCGCAAAAAAATCACCATCACAGGTAATAAAATACTAAAATTTTGACTGTTAATAGCGTAAAAAGACAACATAAGGTTATAATGATAAGAAGACAAATTGAAAAGTCAAATTGACAGTTAAAATGGTGCCAACTTAAAAACTTGAAATAACATAAAATACTAAACGTATAAACCAAAATAATTCATTTACTGTGTCTTCATATAGGAAATTAACCTAAAAATTGAAGTTTCACGATTTTTCCTTTCTTTAATAACCTTAATGCACTCTTCATACCACAACAACAAAATTGACAGCTTCGGTCATCAGTCAAACTAAATAAGAATAACGATCTTGACGAAGTAAGGTGAATTTTTTTAGGATCAGAAAATGATCATAAGCAAAAGAGTACTGCAAAACCTCTCACATTACTTTGTGAGCAATTGACAGTTAAAATGACATGAAGCACCAAGGTGCCAACTTAAAAACTGAGAATAAATACCCTAACACATTTTATATTCTTCTAATTAACAATTAATTTACTTACCTTATTATTGACTAGTTTTTAATCGAAATATACATCTTATATTTTTCCAAAATCGTAATTTTTTGCTTCTTATTCTATTTTAAAGCGGCGTTTCCTTCCTCCAGTGAAAACTGTTCGTTTTCGTGCTAGGATTGGCGCCAGACGCGGACTTCCTCAAATTCGCCGCCGCGTTATCCAGTCCATTCTTAACATTCGCCACCAAGCGAAGCGCGGGATTCGTTACAATCCCATTCCTTTTTTGCTTATTATTCCCTCCGGAACTATCGGCGGAACTCCCACTTTTTTTATCATTCTTATTTCCAACCCCTGCGGAACTATTACCCAGGATAATTCTCATGTGAGTGTCGCGCGCAAAGTGCGTATCCGGCGCTTTAGCGAAATTATTGTGGCGCAAAACCGGTTGATAAATGTTCATTGCAGCTAAAAATTAATTATTAATACTTTTAGTTTGTTTAATTTAACCCTTTGTGTCCCGACGGTACTTTAAAGTACCGGTGGTTTTAAACAGTCATTTTAAACTGTAGTTATCTATTCGGCGCATTTAGAGCTATCGGTACTTTCTACTATACAAGAAAGAATCTGTATAAAAAATGACACAATCCGCACTGTAAGGTTTTTAGGTATATTTAAACTTATTCATCCAGATGTGAGGTTAGAAGTTTAATGAAAAGTGTTGAATTCTTTGAATATCTTTGATAAATGGTTATTAGGTGTGATTATTACAGATTATTTTAAAAAGAAAGCTTTGAGCTTTAATTTAAAATAAGTGTCATTCCTTAATTTCAATAAACATGGCTGCCAAGAATTTTTAAATTAGCATCTTTTTTGACTCTTTTAAATGTAAGTGTTGTTTCAACAGTTTTTTTTTTAATATTTTTCCAATCCAACCTAACAATTATTATACATCATTTGAAAGAGAAAGCTTTGAGCTTTAATTTAGAACAAGTCTCATTCCTTAATTTCAATAAATACGGCTTCCAGGAATTTTTAAATTAGCATCTTTTTTGACACTTTTAGGTTATACGAAAATGTAAGTTTTGTTTCAACATTTTTTTTCTCAATATTTTTCCAATCCAACCCAACAATTATTATACATCATTTTAAAGAGAAAGCTTTGAGCTTTAATTTAGAATAAGTCTCATTCCTTAATTTCAATAAATACGGCTTCCAGGAATTTTTAAATTAGCATCTTTTTTGACACTTTTAGGTTATACGAAAATGTAAGTTTTGTTTCAACATTTTTTTTCTCAATATTTTTCCAATCCAACCCAACAATTATTATACATCATTTTAAAGAGAAAGCTTTGAGCTTTAATTTAGAATAAGTCTCATTCCTTAATTTCAATAAATACGGCTTCCAGGAATTTTTAAATTAGCATCTTTTTTGACACTTTTAGGTTATACGAAAATGTAAGTTTTGTTTCAACATTTTTTTTCTCAATATTTTTCCAATCCAACCCAACAATTATTATACATCATTTTAAAGAGAAAGCTTTGAGCTTTAATTTAGAATAAGTCTCATTCCTTAATTTCAATAAATACGGCTTCCAGGAATTTTTAAATTAGCATCTTTTTTGACACTTTTAGGTTATACGAAAATGTAAGTTTTGTTTCAACATTTTTTTTCTCAATATTTTTCCAATCCAACCCAACAATTATTATACATCATTTTAAAGAGAAAGCTTTGAGCTTTAATTTAGAATAAGTCTCATTCCTTAATTTCAATAAATACGGCTTCCAGGAATTTTTAAATTAGCATCTTTTTTGACACTTTTAGGTTATACGAAAATGTAAGTTTTGTTTCAACATTTTTTTTCTCAATATTTTTCCAATCCAACCCAACAATTATTATACATCATTTTAAAGAGAAAGCTTTGAGCTTTAATTTAGAATAAGTCTCATTCCTTAATTTCAATAAATACGGCTTCCAGGAATTTTTAAATTAGCATCTTTTTTGACACTTTTAGGTTATACGAAAATATTAGTTTTAACTCAATACTCTTTTTCTCAATATTTTTCTTATTCAACCCATCGAACAGAAAGCTTTAAGCTTCAATTTAAAATAAGTTTTATTTCTTAATTTCAATAAACACGGTTTCCAGGAATTTTTGAATTAGCATCTTTTTTTTCTCTCTTAGATTACGAAAATAGGGGGTTTTGATAGCGTTTTAATTCTGTCACAAAGTTTCAAAATGTTTGACTTCTTGGGACACAAAGGGTTAATTAAATTTAAGTAAATTCTTACAAAACATATTTGGAGTATCATGTACAGGGCTAAGTGGAGGTGATGCGTAAATTGGGCTTTGAGGTTCGCTTTGGAGTGGTGAGAGTAGTTTGCTTAAAGGTCTCGTTTTAGCCCCTCTTGAACATTGTTGTAATTGTTGCGTAAATGATAAAGGCTAAAATGATTCGTTATAATGATTAAAATTTAATTTTAATTGACTTACTTGTACTGGTTGCGCATTTTCAACTTTTTGCCTCTCACCATGTCGACTACTTTGACTCGAACCTGTTAAATTCGAGCTACTTTTCGAATTCGAGCTATGATTTCCCAACGAAACCATCGATCTCCTTTGTTGCTCCCCCCATTCAACTCCTGGGTATAAATTCATCGGTTTACTTTCGGCTGAACCGGAAGTTGTGATCGAATTCGCACTACTACTCGTGTGAGCGGTCGTTTTGTGGGATCTTACGTTGTATTCTTCTAATAATCGCACAACCCCGCGATGCCCCGATTTGGCGGCAACTCTCAAGGCGTTTCTTCCGCACGCGTCGGAATGATTCGGATCCGCGCCGTGTTCTAATAAGGCGACTACGCAAAGTTCGTGTCCTTCTTGGGCGGCTATCCCCAAAGCGGTCGCGCCTTGATTGCAAGTGTGATCTGGGATGGCGCCGTTTTCGAGTAAAAGTTTTACGATATCACTATGACCTTGCCACGAGGCCGAATGCAAAGCTGTGCGATTTTCTAAATCGCAAGCGTCCACATCCGCCCTACCAACGGTTAATAATAAAGAAACCATCTCAGTGTGGCCTTGCCATGAAGCGACATGCAACGGGGTTCGCCCCTCTAAATCTCGAGTTTCAACATCTCCTCCTTGTTGAATAAAATATTTCGCCATCGCTAAACGATTATCCAACGATAAAACATAAAGCGTACTTCGACCATCCGCATCTTTCGAATCAATATCAGCCCCGTTTGACATTAAAAGTTGCACAACATCGTAATGCCCCTCTAAAGCTGCCAGGCGGAGTGCCGTTTTACCATCGTGAGGTCTTTGATCGCACGGGGCTTTGTGTTTCTCAAGAAACGCGTTTACTAAGGCTGTGTGCCCACCTTGAGCCGCCAACACCAAAGGGGCTTTTCCTTCATTATCGGTCTCCTCAATGCGAGCACCCGCTTCTAATAGGGCTTCACATACATCTTGATGCCCTTCAAAAGCGGCGTAATGCAAAGGGGTCCACCCGGAATTGTCGCGATGTTGCTCGTCAAGCCCCCGATCGAGTAATTGCCTCACCACTTCGACGCAACCTTGCGCCGCTGCCACAGAAAGAACGGTTCGTCCCTCCGAATCCATCGAGTCTATGCAACACCCCCAAAAAAGTAATAAAGCGACTACCGGGGCGTGACCCATACTAGCGGCTGCCCAAAGTGGACTACGACCACTATTATCGCAATGATCGACGTCTGCTTCATTTTCAAGAAGTAATTCACAAACATCTCTAAATAAAATAAAAATTAAAAAAATTTGACATATGTCAAAAAAATTTTTTTTTTAGGTTATGTTAAATTTTTTTTAAATAAACTTACTTGTGTCCTTCGAAAGATGCAACTAACAACGGAGTCATCCCTTCGTTATCTTTATGATCTACACTAGCGTTTCGTTCCAACAAAGTAGACACAACACTAGTTCCGGGAGATCTTGGAGCGCACAAAGCGGCCACCGATAAAGCGGTGCGACCATCGGCGTCCGCGTGATTAATATTCGCCCCGAAATCTAATAAATGCTCGACGATTTCCGAGTGCCCCATGTAAGCCGCAGCTATTAAAGCGGTGCGACCTTCGTGGTCCGTTAAGTTAACTTTGGCTCCGTTTTGTAGTAAAATCCTCACGATTTCTTCGTGCCCCGACCAAGCGGCCGCTCTCAAAGCGGTCCGATTCTCCGCGTCCATGCTATCTAATGTGCATCCGTGTTTAACTAAAAGTTCCACAACCTAAAAAAATTATTATTATCATTATTTTTAAATAAAAAAAAATAGCGATCTGTAATAATAAAATTTTTTTTTTGAATTTGGTACCAATGACAACTAACTTAATTGTTATGAAAAAAATTGAAATTGACATTTATTAATTGACGTTTATACTCTATTTTTTTAATTCGAAGAAGTGTTTTCAAATTGAAGCGCCAAAAAGAACGGTTTTCAGACGCACGTGTTAGTTCTAGTTTTAGTTCAATAAAAATATATAACCTTATAGTTTATTCCCGGACGCTCGAATATGATAATTTAAAGGAGGAGTTTTTATGAAGATTCCGGATTAAAAATTTACCGAAAAATCGTTCGCCGTTTATGTTTCAACGCCTATTTATTGCGGATTAAGGAGGTAACTTTAATTTTAATTGATTAAATTTAATTAATTTTTTAATGTCAAATTTGACGTTAATAGAAATGATTTAGGTTGGTATTAAATTGAACTAGACATAATTTCAAATTTGACGTTTGACAGTGTTGGAATATTAAGATTTTAGTGATTTTGTAAATTAGGTGTTTTGACATAAAAAAATAATTTAATGACAGATGATAATGTCAAAATGGGGTCATACACGATTTTTTTTTTATTATATTTTCTGAAAGTTTATATAAAAATATAGTTACCGTTATTTTTTTTTTTAATATTTTCGAACAAAGTCATTGTTAAAAAAATTATTGGAAATTTATATACCCATTTGCGCTTTTAAAATTCCCGCGTTGATGACGTACGATTCTCACTTTTGCGTCCCCTGCTCCCCGCTCAAATGCGAGAAAGAGATGAACGTCATTTAGGTTGTATTGAAAAGNAAGTTAACTTTGGCTCCGTTTTGTAGTAAAATCCTCACGATTTCTTCGTGCCCCGACCAAGCGGCCGCTCTCAAAGCGGTCCGATTCTCCGCGTCCATGCTATCTAATGTGCATCCGTGTTTAACTAAAAGTTCCACAACCTAAAACAATTATTTTTTTGAAATAAAAAAAAATGGCGATCTGTCATAATTTTTTTTTTTTTTTGAATTTGGTACCAATGACAACTAACTTAATTGTTATGAAAAAAAATTGAAATTGACATTTATTAATTGACGTATATTTTTTTAATTCGGAAAAGTGTTTTCAAATTGAAGATATAAAATTCGGATTTAGCCGCACGTCTCTCGAACCGGAACGATTCTAGTTCTAGGTCTTGTGTTAGTTCGTGATAGAGCTGGTGTAAAACTAGAACCAACACTAGACCGAGAACTAGAAACAGTTAAGGTTAAGGTCTTTTATTCTCTTTTTTGTTTTTTGAGATAAATGCATCATACATATTTTAAAGGTTTTTTAATAAAGAAGAATACATGATGAAAGAACACAATGAAGTTGTCCTTTTGTCTACTATATGATAACTAACGTCAGGTGTAAAATGTCAACCTTAATTTTGACATATTTGTAACACGACATATTTATCTTCAATATTAATGAAGTTACGGTCAACTTCCTGTTAGAAATGTCAACCTCAATTTTGACATATTTGTAGTCACCCCGTCTATTCTGACACTATAGTGTAAGCAGATCAGAAGATATACTGGAGAAAACTCTTAAATGCTATCTTTTTGAATCAAGACTTCAACGGAATGTCGAAATATACTCTTGCGAAAAATTGCATTAAAATATGTCTCTTCGCCACCTACCACTGTTCCTAGTGAACAGTTAGTTATTCAGTGCAGCAGGCCAAATTTATGCAGATCGGTGATGTAATCTACATGGCAAAAATGAAAAAAAATTGCTATTTTTAGCATACAACGTAAGGTTGTTTAATTATGAATATTAAATCAATATTTTACTTATACAGGGTGATTTATAATATACGGAGCAGATTAAATAGATACCACGGGCCAAACTGAAGATTACTACGTTTAAATTCAAACTGCGAATATTTCGGGGTTACTTAAACAATGCATAATTAGCAGCAATAATAAAATCTTTGTAATATGGTAGTTACGGCTATTTAAAAATTTGTTAAAATTTTCAAAAACTGGTGTTTGTTTGTTGAAAACCGCTGATCCATGTTGTTATTGCTGCCAATCCAATTGATATGGTTACCTAGCAGCGGACATGTCATTTAAGGGCTCCTTCAAAAATGAGGATGGCGTTGATAAGTATTTTAATTGTTCTTTACTGAATATCAGCGGTTCCCAAAAATGGACTTATTTAAAAAATTAACATGCGATATCTATGTAACTATTAAGTTTTTAACAGAACATTATTAAGAAAATCTCTTCAGTTTTACCCCAAGTACCTACCCCTTTAGTCTGCTCCGTATGTTATAAATCACCCTGTATATACAGGTGTCTCAGCGAGACCGGTCATTAGACGTTTCTGGGGTTCTGGCCAAAATAAAAATTTGAGAATGCAGATTTAAATATCAATTGCGTTCTCTTCGACTAAAATATTTTCAGATTTCTAACACTTCCGGTTATACCGGAAGTCACCACCTACTTTATTTTTTTAAATGGAACAACCTGTATATTTTTACAAGTTTGGATTTATCTGTTTTCATTAGCCCACCAGAAAGGGAATTTTCCGGGAAATACCGGAAATCGGTTATATTTTTATTAGGACATGATATTTTGACAGTTTTTCGATTAATTTATTTTTAAAATTAACTTTGATTGATTAAAATTAGGTTTGGATAAAAAATTTAATTCTTTCTCTGGTAGGCCATATAAAATTTTCAGCTTTTTTGCCGTTGAATATGGAGAAACGACAGTTCTATTTTTGACCACCCTGACGCGAAGAAAAATATACAGCAATTTGAAAAACAAACATTAATAATCGCTTAAAATTGAAGATGGCGTTGAAAGAAATTTATTTGTAGCATGAATCTAGTATTCATCAAACCATTTCATTTGATACCTTGCTCATGAAAATCGGAATGTAAGTGACAGAGTTACAGCTTAGGGCGTTTTTTATCTGACATCCTGTATATAGTACAAATAAGTTATTTAGTATAGGAGTTATGGACCCTGTATATAAACAGGTGTCCCGTATCTTCCGCATCAGAGCATTATACGGTTATAGGATACATTATTATGAAGCGATCTTTCTAATAAAATTTTTCGAAATGTTTATAATAACAGAACGATTTCGAATGTTCTAAGTTCGTTTTTAACATTTTTTCATTATCATATTTTCATGAAAAACACATTTGGCAACATAGAACAACATTTTAACAGTAAGATTTTCGATTCAGAGTCGATCGTAGAATGTCGCTAGGTGTAGATTATCCGCCAATTTCTGAACACCTGTATATATATATAAAAAAATTAAAAAATTTAATTATATTCCTAATTAAACAACCTTATGTTGTATGCTAAAAATAGCAGTTTTTATGTCTTGTATTAACTCCTTCTTTTCAAAAAAAGTTTCGGTTTCAATTTCGGCCCAAACTACGACCGCGACCGCGAATTTCGGTTTCGACTTAAAATTTTGATTCGGTCGGACACTACATATTTGTAATCGTCGTAAAAAATCCTTTAAAATGAGCCCAAACATGATACGTTTAATTTCAATATTACTCGAGATATAAGCAACTTCCGGTTTAAAATGTCAATGTCATTTTGATATATTCTTAATTTTTATAAAATGTCTTAAAATTTGTCACTAAAACAAAAATGTAATAAAAAAACAGAAATTAAGGTTGGTATTGATATTTAAAAATTAAATTGCTATCTTCATTGTTGCTAACTTCAGGTTTAATGTTTTTTATTCTAACTTTTTTGTTTTTTTGAGATAAATGCGTCATGTTTGGACTCATTTTAAAGGTTATTTTATAAAGAATACATCACGAAAGAACACCATGAAGTTGTCAATTTGTCTATTTTATGATAACTAACTTCAGGTGTGAAATGTCAACCTCAATTTTGACATATTTGTAATCTTCATTAAAAATCCTTTAAAATGAGTACAAACACGACATATTTATCTTCAATATTAATGAAGTTATGGCCAACTTCCGGTTAGAAATGTCAACGTCAATTTTGACATATTTGTAATCGTCGTGAAAAATCGTCTAAAATGAGCCCAAACATGATACGTTTAATTCCAATATTACTCGAGATATAAGCAACTTCCGGCTCGAAATGTCAATGGCATTTTGATATATTCTTAATTTTATAAATTATGTTAAAATTTGTCGCAAAAACAAAAATCAGAAATTAAGGTTGGTATTAATATTTAAAAATTAAATTGCTATCTTCATTGTTGCTAACTTCAGGTTTAACGTTTTTTATTGCAACTTTTTTGTTTTTTGAGATAAATGCGTCACGTTTGAACACACTTTAAAGATTTTTTAATAAAGAATACATCATGAAAGAACACCATGAAGTTGTCCATTTGTCTATTATATGATAACTAACTTCAGGTGTAAAATGTCAACCTCAATTTTGACATATTTGTAATCTTCATTAAAAATCCTTTAAAGTGAATACAAACACGGTATATTTATCTGCAATATTAATGAAGTTAAGGTCAACTTCCGGTTAGAAATGTCAACACTAAAATCAAGTTTTCACATTGAGATTTCGTAAATGTCTCGATAGCACCTTACGAGTTCTAAACGACATTTTGATAACATTTTTTGATACCTGCATTTGTTTAATGGTTATTGCAAATTTTGTGATCTCGTTTTGTGAAGTTAGCACCCCAAAATTATTTTACTATTATTAAAAATGGTAGAGAACAATAGAACTCAATGGGGTGCAATGGGAACTCAAAAGAAATTTAAAGTTTTAAAAAAATGATGTGCTAACTTCACAGACGTCTAGTAATAGTGTAAAACTAAAACTAACAATAGAATGAGAACTAAAAATATTTAAGGTTAATGTATTTTATTCACTTTTTTGAAATAAATGCATCATGTTTGGACACATTTTAAAGATTTTTTTAATAAAGAATACATCATCAAAGAACACCATGAAGTTGTCTATTATATGATAACTAACTTCAGGTGTAAAATGTCAACCTCAATTTTGACATATTTGTAATCTTCATTAAAAATCCTTTAAATTGAGTATAAACACGACATATTTATCTTCAATATTAATAAAGTTATGGTCAACTTCCGGTTTGAAATGTCAATGTCATTTTGATATATTGTTAATTTTTATAAAATGTCTTAAAATTTGTCACAAAAACAAAAATCAGAAATTAAGGTTGGTATTAATATTTAAAAATTATAATGCTATCTTCATTGTTGCTAACTTCAGATTTAACGGTTTTTTTATACAAACTTTTTTGTTTTTTGAGATAAATGCATCATGTTTGGACACATTTTAAAGATTTTTTAATAAAGAATACATCATGAAAGAACACCATGAAGTTGTCCATTTGTCTATTATATGATAACTAACTTCAGGTGTAAAATGTCAACCTCAATTTTGACATATTTGTAATCTTCATTAAAAATCCTTTAAAATGAGTACAAACACGACATATTTATCTTCAATATTAATGAAGTTATGGTCAACTTCCGGTTAAGAATGTCAACGTCAATTTTGACATATTTGTAATCGTCGTGAAAAATCCTTTAAAATGAGTCCAAACATGATACGTTTAATTCCAATATTACTCGAGATATAAGCAACTTCCGGTTTGAAATGTCAATGTCATTTTGACATATTCTTAATTTTTATAAAATGTCTTAATATTTGTCACAAAAACAAAAATATAATAAAAAAAAATAAAAAATTAAGGTTGGTATTAATATTTAAAAATTAAATTGCTATCTTCATTGTTGCTAACTTCGGGTTTAATGTTTTTTATTCTAACTTTTTTGTTTTTTGAGATAAGTGCGTCATCTTTGGACTCATTTTAAAGGTTTTTTAATGAAGATGACAAATATGTCAAAATTGACGTTGACGTTTCAAACCGGAAGTGATTGTATTTCCATTAATATTAATGTTAAATATGTCGAGTTTGGACTCATTTTAAAGGATTTTTTATGAAGTTGACAAATACGTCAAAATTAAAAGATGAAACTTCAGGTTTAACCTTTTTTATTTTAACTTTTTGGTTTTTTGAGATAACTGCGTCATGTTTGGACTCATTTTAAAGGTTATTTGATAAAGATTACGAATATAATAATAGAATTAATGTTTTGATTTTACTCCTCCGAATTAAAAAAAAATATAGTATAATAAATCAAATTTTTTTTACCTCTGTGTGTCCCCCCCAAGCTGCGGCTCTCAACGGTGTCCACCCATCCACATCAGCTTGATCCGCATTCGCCCCCGCTTCCAACAACACTTTAACAACGTGGGCTTGCCCCAATCTCGCCGCAACATGCAACGCCGCTTGCCCGTGAATATCTTGGAGATCAAAAATCGGTTCGGGGGATGGTTCCGAAGAAGTGGTCGCCAAAGAAATTTGGCTCTCATAATCGCATCCTTCGGAATCGCCTTGCTCAACAGCTCCCGCTTCGAGTAATAACCTCATTACTTTAGGATCCGTTGGTAAAAAGGCCCCGAAATTAACCCCCGCCATTTCGTTACCCTCCAAAAGGCATTCTTCGACGTTACAACCACTTAAAATCATCCAAAGAACTGTTAAGGTATGGACGTCGATTAAATTTTGATTCGGTTGGGTTAAATTAGGATTTTGAGTATTATCGGGTTTAATTTCGATGGATTCGATCGATTTTTTATCTTTTCGGTGATGGTGGTGATGTTTTTGAGTCTTTTCTTTCTTAATTTCGGCGTAAATGGGGAACGATTCGTTATTTTCGGTGCTTTGTTGCGTGTTTTCGATGAAGCTCGAATCCAATTTTTCTTGGTTATCATCCAAATCGAGATTTTCGATGTTATCTAAATTCTCGGTTTCATTTTTAACGAGTTCTCGAAGCGCTTTTAAGTCCGAATAGATCTCGGTGTTGGTTTTTTCTAAAGAATCGGTGATTGCGTTCCTTTCCTGGCTCATTTTGTATACTAAATTCGTTTTATTTTCGGGTTTTTCGTTCAAGTATTGTTCCATTCGGGTTAAATGGAACGCGTAGTCGTAGATTTCTTGGTTGTTTAAATATTTTGCGTGTAAAGTGTAATACATCGCTAAAATGCAATGGCCGTGGAATATGTTGCATAAATATTTTTGGGTGCAATGTTTTATGTCGAGGAGCCACTCGGAAAACGAATGATGAAACAAACGGATCGTACCGTTTCGAGAAACGATTAAAATCCTTCGTAACAAATAAAATCGCTTTTTAAAGTCTTCCAGCGTTATTTTGTTGTTGTATATTTTCACGATGTCGTATAATAAAGTTTCGTTTAACGCGCATTTCGCTGCTAAAATCACGTTTAGGAGGGGTTGAACTTTCGCGAATTGCCTTCGATTAAATAATCTTTGACTCAACCACAAATATAGCCCGTTTAAAGTCCCGGGGATTTCCCTAACCTCTCTTAAAACGATAAAATTATCCGAAACCCCATCCAAAACTTTCTCCAAATACAAAAAACACCCGTTACTCTTAATATGTAATTGATTCAACATCTCCGCGGTGTCTCGACTGATGTGTTGGCGTAAACTATTTTCTTGATCCAATCTTGCTAAAATGTACTGTTGGACGTCTCTGACAACTTGGCTCTTTCGTAAATCGTCCAAACTTAATTTGCGGAACCCCGTAAACATTTTTGCGATACTTTTCGATTGTTTTCGAGCTGTGCAAACTAAAAGTAACCATTGGGGGAATAAATGGTGGTGATTTGCGAGTAATTCGGCGATTGTTCTTGATTGGGATGATCGTTCGCGCGGTTTTGAACGAGTTAACGTCGAATTGCTATAAACGAAGGAGTGCTCATCGATCGAATCGATTAAGATGAATAAACTCGTTTTTGGGGGATCAATTTCTAATAAAGGAAAAAGAAGCGCCCTCTTTAAACAGTCATCGGGGTTATTTTCGATATTTTTGGCTCTCAATGCTATTTGTATTTCAGAATCCGATTTTAATTTATCCAAGTACGCGTCGGCTATTAAGGTTCTTGGATTTATGGGTAAATTTGGAACATTTTTTTCTTTCTTATCTAAAACGTTTACGTTTGAATAAAAATTTTCTTGCAAGCTATTATCTGCAGTTTTTAACGAGTAATCGCTCTCCGAATCTAACGTTAAACAATCCGAATTGGTGATTTTTTCGTTTTTAACGGCCTCGTTTTTTTCGGTTTCGGCTAATTTTCTTCGCATACTCCGTTCTTTGTGGCTTTCTGTTGAGTGATTTAGTATTTGCGTTACTAGGGATCGTACGAATTCGCTTAAAGATAAACTTTTTTCATTGTGACCTTGTAAGAAATGATAACAAAGTAATCTTCGGTTCAATGCGCGTTGTTGTCGCCCGCTTGGGCCTTGAGATGGCCAACAAAGTTCCGAGCAGAACGTCGTTTTTCCACAACCGGGACCTCCTAAAAGCAAAGCCCCGCACGTTTTTGAAATTGGACGTTGGTCCAAGCAATGAGAGAGTTTTTGGAAGGCCCATTCGCGGCAATGAAATTTTTTTCTGTCTTCGTTTGTCATTTTGATTCGATTTTAATGGAGTTTTAACGGATTTTGTATTCTTGGGTTGGAAATAATTCTTCGGGGGTTGATTTTAAGTGGTTAGGCATTATTTGATTCAATCTGAAAAAAAAAATCAAATTAAATATGTATATAATTTAATTAATACCTATTGATTATTTATAACAATTTAATCATTTTTTATAAATAATTTACCTTTAGAACCGCAATTGACTCAAATATAAATCTGATAAATTGAAGAAAAATATCCNTTTATCTATAATAATAATTAATTATAATTAAAGATTAAAAAATGTTCATTAGATACCTAATTAAAGTTTATTCTAAACAGAAACAAGAATTAATGAAAAACGAACTCAAAAACTTAATTATTTTTTTGATGAGGTAAATTAAAAATAAATTGTTGACATTCTGGAATGCGAACAAGTGGATGGTTTCCTCTACATAACGAAACAAGATCATCAAATTTCTTTCTTGAAATATTTATTGGGTGTTTATTCAAAGCAGCGACAGGGAAATCCAAAGGGTTCTTGAGTAAACGTTTGAGACGAATGCAGTCGTAGGTATTCTCAAAATGACTAGTTTTAAGAAACAACTTATCAGGTTCAGTTTTTCGCACTTGAATCTCCTTAATATCAGTCCATTTTATGCGTTTACCAGATTCGGATATTTTCACATTTAATATTCGAATTTCTTTCGAAAGAGCTTTGAAATCTTTGTATGTCATTGGAATGACGTTATAAGGAGACTTTTTTCGTGCTAACCGAATCACTGGGTGTAACTGTGAAGGCATAAATATACTGCCAGCTGTGGCAATAGCCTTAGAGATTGCACTATGAGCAGAATCGCCTTCGTTCTGACCATGGTTAGTTTCGAAATAGCTTAGAGTAATTTCGGTCAACGCTGAAAATTTGTTAACTGCGTACATCAGCATTGCTGCAATTATAGAGTTTTTATTTTGCCCATAACACCCATCAGAGAAAAGGTTCGCTTTCACTATTTTTTGTTTTTCACTGTATTCTTCTAAAGTCTTGAAAATGCCCTTCTACTAGCTGTTTCATCCCAAAAAAAACAATTACAGTCTTTATTTGCAATATTATAAACAGTAAAATTAAATGTCGATAAGCGGCTTTTATAAAATATGGCACTTTCTTTGGATATGGGGACGTATATAANTTTTAATGAAACGTCAAAAAATGTCACTTTAAGACGCATAGGAGATAGCGCCACCTGCCGAAAAAGTCTTAAAACATACGTTTGTAACTATCTTCTCATCATGTCAAATAAGAATTACTATTTGTTTTTCTTTATAACGCAAAACGTGTACGAGTGACTAAAACGAACTTCTAAGACGCAAATTTCTTTTTAGTTTTATTTCTAAAACTGAGTGAGTTAAATAATTTTTTTTAATGAAACGTCAAAATAATGTAGTTTGAAAAAGTGAGGTTAGGTTGTGTTGAAAAAGTGTGGTTAAACATCCTCAACATTATTTTTCTACTCGCATTTGTGAGAATGAACATTTCGTGTTCTCGGGGGCGGCCGATGTCTTCGAAAACGGCCGTGTTAACTTAAAATTAAAATCTATCTGTTCGTCCCAACCTCACTTTTCCAAGTGACATTTTTTGACGTTTCATTAAAAAAAAATTTATTTTACTCACTCAGTGCGTCCTGGAAGAAATTTTTTTCTGTCTTAGTTAGTCATTTTGATTTGATTTTAAAGGATTTTGTATTCTTGGGTTAGAAATAATTCTTCGGGGGCTGATTTTAAGTGGTTAGGCATCATTTGATTCAATCTGAAAAAGAAAGTCAAATCAAATTTATAATTAATTTGACATTTCAAACAGATACCAACCTAAAATTAAATAAAAAAATTTTTTTTTTATTATTTGCTAATTTAATTAATACTTATTCATAATTAATAACAATTTAATATTTTTTTTTTAAACAATTTATCTTAAGAATCACAATTGACTCAAATTAACCATATAAATCAGATAAATTAAAGACGTCAAAATTTTTGAGGTTATATTTTTTTAAACTCGCAAATAGCGAAATTCTTACGCAATATTCTTGAGCCTACGACCTCAACTGCGACGTTTATTATTAGATAAATAAACTGGCGAACAGCTGTTGTCCGCTTGTGATATACGAGCTTTAACTTTCCGTCTTCACTACTTTAATAGATTCAAAACAAAAGTAGGATCATATTAAGCATTAACTTAGGTTGTATCATATAAAACGATCTTGGCAAACTTAATTGGGGGAGATTAATTAAGATAATTACGTTTCCCCAAAAAAAGTTTGGTTAAAAATCGATTATGACTCATTTTATTATTTTTTTTAATAAATTACTGATGCGAAAAAGGGGGAGATCAATTTAAACGCGATATGAATTGAGCAATTAGGTTCTTAGAGATCCTTATAAAGAGATCTATTGTTTTTATACCGAAACTAAGACGGTTAACGGGGATAATCGAGTTTTGAAGCATTTCCGGTTAAAATAAGCGCGTACTTACGTGGATTTATCCGTGTTACTCCGTTTAAAACAGTAATTAAGCGAAAACACCCGGTTTTTTTCCTCTAAAAGACGTACTCTTGTAATCCGCACTAGTTTACCAAGTTTTATTGGTTATGACATTTTTTTGACAGATGGGACCGAAGTGAAGTTGGATATCAGGGTTGCCAACTTAAAAAAAACTTAGATTATTTATAAACTCATATATTTTTCTTCAATATATTTCGGTCAAACGTACAATGAACATATAATTAGTTTGACAAAGTTAATAACTACTTTAATAACGTCTCGTATTACAATAAAGCGATATAAATAATCTAAGAAATAGATAAAGAACATTTTTTTAAATCTTTTTAACTCGATACATCTTATTCGAAACGTCTAGATGTCGCTTGTTGGGAAACCAAAAACGCAAAATTAACAATTTTTCGATTATTAACCAAATTGAAAGTAAAAAATAGGAAAATATAAAAAACGTTAAATCTAACTGATTTTCCTTACTTATTTATTTTTAATTTTTTTCTCTAAAAAAAAGAGGAAGGGGTTGGATTCAAAAATAAACTTAATTTTAGTTGCAGAGAAAATCGAAAAATCAATAACTTTTCTCTCCTTTTTAATAGAAAAAAAAAAAAATAACGAGTCGTATATAAAATATCTATATACACACACAGATGTGTCATTTAATATCGAAAAATCCCCAAAGATTTTTAGATTTTCCAATAAATAAATAAACACCCTGCACAAAAACGTTCTTTTAAAACCGAAATCGACAATAAAATAAAATAAAACAAATATCCTTTTTGTTGTTGTTGACAAAGTAATAATGAACTTACTTTTAATCGTCAGCGATTTTACTTTCAAGCTGGGCGATTTGTTCGGGGGTCAAAAAGGGCACCCTTTTTAAGTGTTTAAAGAGGATGTGAAGTGGTACCGGGTCCATAGGATGAGCCACATTCACCGCCGAACTCAAAAGATCCACCAAAGTGATCAAAAAATTAAACCACGTCTCTTTTTGTTTTTCCGTTACGTTATCCGATGATAACAAATATTCCGTACGAACCACCAACATAGCAACGGTTGAAATACCCAACTAAAAAATAATTTCTAATTAATCAAAATTTATTAAGAAAATATTCAAGAATCATCATGTGGCTTAACACGTTAAAAATAAATAAAATTAATCGTTAAAATTAATTTTAGAATCAAAAATCGTTTCATTTGAGCCCAAACTCGACTTAATTCGGATTAAAATTAATCAACTTCCGGTTAAACCGGAAGTAAGGCTTTTTTTGCGATTTATTTTAAATCGATTTAAAAATTAAAAATCGTTTCATTCTAACATATAAATCGTCTTAACTAAATATTGATAAACCGGCCCTTATAATAATTAATTGAAACGTCAAAATTTCAAAAAACATCAATTTAATGTATTTTTTTTAGGAATTTTTAAAGATTTGACATTAAAAAAAACAAACAAATTCCTTTTTCGTAGTAGTTGATTTAGCATAAATATTCTTAAAAAGAAATGACGTTTCATAAAATTGACATTTATTTTGACAAATTGTTGTNTTATTAAAGTGAGGTTAGGAATCTTCAACATCATTTTCGAGTAACAACACGGCCGTTTTCGAAGACATCGGCCGCCCCCGGCCATCCCAGAGGCTACAATATTAAAGAACCTCGTATTCTTGGGGGCGGCCGACGTCTTCGAAGTCGGCCGAGTTCACTTTTTGTAACAAAGTACTCGTCGATTTGGATTTAAGTCTTTGATGCACGGCATAACCTCAAAAATTTCTAGTTTTAGTTCTATTTCTAACGCAAAATGAGTTAAATAAATTTTTTTTAATGAAACGTCAAAATAAAATGTCATTTGAAAGTAAGGATAGATTATGTTATTAAAGTGAGGTTATGAATCTTCAATATCATTTCCGAGTACCAACACGGCCGTTTTCGAAGACATCGGCCGCCCCCGACCATCCCGGACGCTACAACATTAAGAACCTTCAGTTCTTGGGAGCGGCCGAAGTCTTCGAAGTCGGCCGAGTTATTAAAACGTCAAAATAAAATGTCATTTGAAAGTGAGGTTAGATTGTGTTATTAAAGTGAGGTTAGGAATCTTCAACATCATTTTCGAGTAACAACACGGCCGTTTTCGAAGACATCGGCCGCCCCCGGCCATCCCAGAGGCTACAACATTAAGAACCTTCAGTTCTTGGGGGCGGCCGATGTCTTCGAAGTCGGCCGAGTTATTAAAACGTCAAAATAAAATGTCATTTGAAAGTGAGGTTAGGAATCTTCAACATCATTTTCGAGTAACAACACGGCCGTTTTCGAAGACATCGGCCGCCCCTGGCCATCCCAGAGGCTACAACATTAAGAACCTTCAGTTCTTGGGGGCGGCCGATGTCTTCGAAGTCGGCCGAGTTATTAAAACGTCAAAATAAAATGTCATTTGAAAGTGAGGTTAGGAATCTTCAACATCATTTTCGAGTAACAACACGGCCGTTTTCGAAGACATCGGCCGCCCCTGGCCATCCCAGAGGCTACAACATTAAGAACCTTCAGTTCTTGGGGGCGGCCGATGTCTTCGAAGTCGGCCGAGTTATTAAAACGTCAAAATAAAATGTCATTTGAAAGTGAGGTTAGGAATCTTCAACATCATTTTCGAGTAACAACACGGCCGTTTTCGAAGACATCGGCCGCCCCTGGCCATCCCAGAGGCTACAACATTAAGAACCTTCAGTTCTTGGGGGCGGCCGATGTCTTCGAAGTCGGCCGAGTTATTAAAACGTCAAAATAAAATGTCATTTGAAAGTGAGGTTAGATTGTGTTATTAAAGTGAGGTTAGGAATCGTCAACATCATTTTCGAGTAACAACACAGCCGTTTTCGAAGACATCGGCCGCCCCCGGCCATCCCAGAGGTTACAACATTAAGAACCTCGGGTTCTTGGGGGCGGCCGACGTCTTCGAAGTCGGCCGAGTTCACTTTTTGTAACAAAGTACTCGTCGATTTAGATCTTTGACGCACGGCATAACCTCAAAAATTTCTAGTTTTAGTTTTATTTCTAACGCAAAATCATTTAAAGAAATTTTTTTTAATGAAACGTCAAAAAATGTCACTTTAAGACGCATAGGAGATAGCGTCACCTGCCGAAAAAGTCTTAAAACATACGTTTGTAACTATCTTCTCATCATGTCAAATAAGAATTACTATGTGTTTTTCTTTATAACGCAAAACGTGTACGAGTCACTAAAACGAACTTCTAAGACGCAAATTTCTTTTTAGTTTTATTTCTAAAACTGAGTGAGTTAAATAAATTTTTTTAATGAAACGTCAAAAAAATGTCATTTGAAAAAGTGAGGTTAGGTTGTGTTTAACATCCTCAACATCATTTTTCTACTCGCATTTGTGAGAATGAACATTTTGTGTTCTCGGGGGCGGCCGATGTCTTCGAAAACGGCCGTGTTAGCTTAAAATTAAAATTTATCTGTTCATCCGAACCTCACTTTTCCAAGTGACATTTTTTGACGTTTCATTAAAAAAAAATTTATTTTACTCACTCAGTGCGTCCTGGAAGAAATTTTTTTCTGTGTTCGTTAGTCATTTTGATTTGATTTTAAAGGATTTTGTATTCTTGGGTTAGAAATAATTCTTCGGGGGCTGATTTTAAGTGGTTAGGCATTATTTGATTCAATCTGAAAAAGAAAGTCAAATCAAATTTATAATTAATTTGACATTTCAAACAGATACCAACCTAAAATTAAATAAAAAAAATTTTTTTTTATTATTTACTAATTTAATTAATACTTATTCATAATTAATAACAATTTAATATTTTTTTTTTAAACAATTTATCTTAAGAATCACAATTGACTCAAATTAACCATATAAATCAGATAAATTAAAGACGTCAAAATTTTTGAGGTTATATTTTTTTAAACTCGCAAATAGCGAAATTCTTACGCAATATTCTTGAGCCTACGACCTCAACTGCGACGTTTATTATTAGATAAATAAACTGGCGAACAGCTGTTGTCCGCTTGTGATATACGAGCTTTAACTTTCCGTCTTCACTACTTTAATAGATTCAAAACAAAAGTAGGATCATATTAAGCATTAACTTAGGTTGTATCATATAAAACGATCTTGGCAAACTTAATTGGGGGAGATTAATTAAGATAATTACGTTTCCCCAAAAAAAGTTTGGTTAAAAATCGATTATGACTCATTTTATTATTTTTTTTAATAAATTACTGATGCGAAAAAGGGGGAGATCAATTTAAACGCGATATGAATTGAGCAATTAGGTTCTTAGAGATCCTTATAAAGAGATCTATTGTTTTTATACCGAAACTAAGACGGTTAACGGGGATAATCGAGTTTTGAAGCATTTCCGGTTAAAATAAGCGCGTACTTACGTGGATTTATCCGTGTTACTCCGTTTAAAACAGTAATTAAGCGAAAACACCCGGTTTTTTTCCTCTAAAAGACGTACTCTTGTAATCCGCACTAGTTTACCAAGTTTTATTGGTTATGACATTTTTTTGACAGATGGGACCGAAGTGAAGTTGGATATCAGGGTTGCCAACTTAAAAAAAACTTAGATTATTTATAAACTCATATATTTTTCTTCAATATATTTCGGTCAAACGTACAATGAACATATAATTAGTTTGACAAAGTTAATAACTACTTTAATAACGTCTCGTATTACAATAAAGCGATATAAATAATCTAAGAAATAGATAAAGAACATTTTTTTAAATCTTTTTAACTCGATACATCTTATTCGAAACGTCTAGATGTCGCTTGTTGGGAAACCAAAAACGCAAAATTAACAATTTTTCGATTATTAACCAAATTGAAAGTAAAAAATAGGAAAATATAAAAAACGTTAAATCTAACTGATTTTCCTTACTTATTTATTTTTAATTTTTTTCTCTAAAAAAAAGAGGAAGGGGTTGGATTCAAAAATAAACTTAATTTTAGTTGCAGAGAAAATCGAAAAATCAATAACTTTTCTCTCCTTTTTAATAGAAAAAAAAAAAAATAACGAGTCGTATATAAAATATCTATATACACACACAGATGTGTCATTTAATATCGAAAAATCCCCAAAGATTTTTAGATTTTCCAATAAATAAATAAACACCCTGCACAAAAACGTTCTTTTAAAACCGAAATCGACAATAAAATAAAATAAAACAAATATCCTTTTTGTTGTTGTTGACAAAGTAATAATGAACTTACTTTTAATCGTCAGCGATTTTACTTTCAAGCTGGGCGATTTGTTCGGGGGTCAAAAAGGGCACCCTTTTTAAGTGTTTAAAGAGGATGTGAAGTGGTACCGGGTCCATAGGATGAGCCACATTCACCGCCGAACTCAAAAGATCCACCAAAGTGATCAAAAAATTAAACCACGTCTCTTTTTGTTTTTCCGTTACGTTATCCGATGATAACAAATATTCCGTACGAACCACCAACATAGCAACGGTTGAAATACCCAACTAAAAAATAATTTCTAATTAATCAAAATTTATTAAGAAAATATTCAAGAATCATCATGTGGCTTAACACGTTAAAAATAAATAAAATTAATCGTTAAAATTAATTTTAGAATCAAAAATCGTTTCATTTGAGCCCAAACTCGACTTAATTCGGATTAAAATTAATCAACTTCCGGTTAAACCGGAAGTAAGGCTTTTTTTGCGATTTATTTTAAATCGATTTAAAAATTAAAAATCGTTTCATTCTAACATATAAATCGTCTTAACTAAATATTGATAAACCGGCCCTTATAATAATTAATTGAAACGTCAAAATTTCAAAAAACATCAATTTAATGTATTTTTTTTAGGAATTTTTAAAGATTTGACATTAAAAAAAACAAACAAATTCCTTTTTCGTAGTAGTTGATTTAGCATAAATATTCTTAAAAAGAAATGACGTTTCATAAAATTGACATTTATTTTGACAAATTGTTGTGAAGTTGGTTACAGTTGGTAATATTGAATTTGTGTCACATTGACGTTTAAACTTGATTCAAAAATTTATTTTACTCACTCAGTTGATTAATAATATTAATTAAATAATAATAAAATTTTTTATTTTTAGATCTAAAAATACTAAATATACTAATATATATATATATTAATATATCGAATTTGATTAATCTAACATCGGATTCGTAATCTGCATTCAATTCCCTTTAAAATGAGCCCAAACCCGGTCGGGTTATCTTAAAAAACAACCAACGGTTGTCACTTTTTTGAGGTTATGTCAAAATTAAATGTGGGATATCTCGGGTGTTTTTTTAAGATAATTGGGTCGTGTTTGGACTCAAATTAAAGCACTTTTAATTTCCCACGTGATTATGCACAAAGATAAAACCTAAGCTTACTTTGTAAACGTCAAATTAATTTTATTCGTTATTATCCGCCATTTTAACGCAATGTTTTGTTTTTATTGACTTATTTTTTTTAGTAACCGTCGAATTATTTATTGCCAACCATAAAAAAACAAAAAAAATTTTATTGAAATTTGAAATAATGAGGACATTTCTTATTTTGGTAGGTGTACATGAAATATTTTTTTTTAGGTGAACACATTTTGTGTTTTGACAGTTTCTAATTGTCAATTCAAAGTTTCTATTTTCACGTGTTACCAACTGCTACATACCTATTTCCCTACATTGTCAATTTACAGAATCGCAACCTCAAGAAACAAAATATTACTGGTTTTTGTGTTGTCATTTTCTACCAATAATTTATCTTTATGTTCAGAACATTTTTTATCGTAAATATATCGGTAGTTCTCAACAACTTTAATTAATTTTCCATCGAATTCACTCATTTTGTTGGCACAGAAATTAACAACAGTTGAGGTTAGGTTAGAACGCGCTAATAACCGCGGCATAACCCTAAAATATCTAGTTTTAGTTTTATTTCTAACGCAAAATCACTTAAATATTTTTTTTTAATAAAACGTCAAAAAATGACACTTGTTAAAGACGCGTAGGAGATAGCGCCATCTGTCGCAAAAAGTCTAAAAATATACGTTTGTAATTTGTAACTATCTTCTCATCATGTCAAATATTTTAACCTAATTTAGAACCATGATAGACACGAATTACTATTTGATTTTCTTTATAATGGAAAACGTGTACCAGCGACTAAAACGAGCCTCTATGACGCAAATTTCTTTTTAATTTTATTTCTAAATCTGAGTTAAATAAATTTTTTTAATGAAATGTCAAAAAAATGTCATTTGAAAAAGTGAGGTTAGGTTGTCTTGGAAAAGTGTGATTAAGAACTCTCAACATCATTTTCGAGTACCAACACGGCCGTTTTCGAAGACATCGGCCGCCCCCGGCCATCCTAGAAGCTACAACTTTAAGAACCTTCAGTTCTTGGGGGCGGCCGACGTCTTCGAAGTCGGCCGAGTTCACGTTTTCCAGTTATACATTTTTGTTTTCATTAAAACGTCAAAATACAACATCATTTGAAAGTGAGGTTAGGTTGTATTATTAAAGTGAGGTTAGGAATCTTCAACATCATTTTCGAGTACCATCACCGGGTTATAGCCTCTGGGATCCCAGAGGCTATAACATTAAAAAACTCGACTTCTTGGGGGCGGCCGACGTCTTCGAACTCGGCCAAGTTCACTTTTTATAACAAAGTACTCCTCGATTTAGATTCAAGTCTTTGACGTATGGCATAACCTCAAAATTTCTAGTTTTAGTTTTATTTCTAACGCAAAGTCTCTTAAATAATTTTGATTTAATGAAACGTCAAAAAATGACACTTAATAAAGACGCAAATGAGGGAGCGCCATCTATCGGAAAAAGTAACTATCCTAATTATGAACGTATCCTAATTATTTGACGTTTACAATAATATCGTAACTTCAGATGCTAAAAAATCAATTTATATCTTGTTATTATCAAAAATAATTTTAAAGAACGCACGGCATAACCTCAAAATTTCTAGTTTTAGTTTTATTTCTAACGCAAAATAAGTTAAATAAATTTTTTAATGAAACGTCAAAAAATGACGTTTCATAAAATTGACAAATTGTTGTGAAGTTGGTTACAGTTGGTAAGATTGAATTTGTGTCACATTGACGTTTAAACGTTATTCCAAAATTTATCGCGTTAATTTCTCGCGACATAAACATATTAAAGTGATTTTTCGGTAAGTCTTACACTTTTTTTTAATTTATAACTCCTTACTTGAATGATTTCCCGTGAATTAAAAAAAACATAGTCGATTTTTAAGCAACATGATGATTCTTAAATTACACCTTAATCAATAAATTACCTTATTTCCAATTATAAAGTATAAAGGAGCCTTCCCCTGATGATGTAACGGCGTACTACGACTGTTTTGGTCTTGTTTAACAGTTTCGGAAATGCTCGCAATAATATCGACGATATCGGACATAGTACACATTTGAACGTATCTAAAATAAAAACAATTAATTTAAATTAAATCGGTTAAATTAAAAATACCGTTTAAAAAATGGATGTAATTTGGGCAACATGTTATCCCCGATCGCGTCTCTCCTCCCGATTATAGGAATGCTCAATAAAATTTTAATCCACAAATCCAATAAGTGACTCGAATAAGTTTCTTGCGTTAAATATGGTAAAACTCTCAACAATAACCCTTTGCCTTTCCTCACACTAAAAAACGCAATGAATTTATCATCTTGACTCAATCCGGTGACTAATTTCATCAAATAATCATTGGGATTCTCTTCAACAGGGACACTTTCTTTCTGCAACAATTTAAAGACTTCTTGTTTTTGTTCCGGAGTTTGCGCGGCTTCTAACTCCCTCAATCGTTGTTTTTGTTTCAACTCTCTCAATTTTTCCGTGTTCGTTATCGCGACGGGATTGCGTAAATCCTCCATTTTTAATAACAAAGCGTAAAAAGCTTCGATTTCTAAAAGAACTTGCTTCGTTTTTCTCGTATCTTTCGCGTTCGTTTGAATTGTGGAGTTATTCGCGTCTTGGCCGTTATCTAACGTAACAACATCGGTATCGATGATTTTTCTTGGAGCGGTAACCGATCCGCATTGTAATTTCCCAAGGGAATTTTCAAACTGCAAAGGGGTGTAAACTCGAGCTTGAAGAATCGAACTTCCACTGCTTGTTGAGTCGTGACGTTCCCTCGAGTTATTGTGGTGATTATTACCACCTCCACCTCGTTTATTATTCATGTTGTTGTTATTGTTTTGTTGATATTGGTAATAATTGCTTTTATTTTCTTGGTTCGTTTTGTTTTCGCTTTTATTTTTATTCCGACTTTTATAAACGGTGTAATAGTAATCGTCGAAATATGGAGTTCCCGTGTTTAATTGTAATAATTGGATGTTTAGGAGCCATTGTTTTTCTCGGTTTGTCATCAAACCGGCGTATTCGTCCTTTACAACCTCTGATTTAGCTGGTCGTTGTTGCTGCGCATTAATTTGTTGCCTCGGTTGTTGCGCTTGTTGTTGTTGTTGTTGTGGGGGTTGATTTTGAAGTGGAAAAACGCCTCGTTGTTGCGGTTGTTGTTGGTTTCCAGGGCGGAGTATTGGAGTTGTAAGGTTTTTAGGATAATTAAATGGATGAGTCACCTAAAAAGATAAATAAATTAATTAGTTTTTAATTATTAATTAAAATATCGGGTAAAAGCACCAGTTGTGGCCACTTTAAGAGAATTCACAACTTTGGGTGGACATGAAATGAGTATTTTTAACATTATGTATATCGTCCCCTTTCTCACGTAGTGGCGTATCTGACATGCACACAATTTTACAGGAGATGCAAAAAACTAAAACTCTATAACCATAACTTATTAAAACACAAGTAATAATAAAGATGAGGTTATTAAATTTGGACAACAGGATTTAGAAGGTTGCTANTAAAATGTCATTTGAAAGTGAGGTTAGATTGTGTTATTAAAGTGAGGTTAGGAATCTTCAACATCATTTTCGTGTACCAACACGGCCGTTTTCGAAGACATCGGCCGCCCCCGGCCATCCCAGAGGCTACAATATTAAAGAACCTCGGATTCTTGGGGGCGGCCGACGTCTTCGAAGTCGGCCGAGTTCACTTTTTGTAACAAAGTACCTCGTCGATTTGGATTTAAGTCTTTGACGCACGGCATAACCTCAAAATTTCTAGTTTTAGTTTTATTTCTAACGCAAAATGAGTTGAATACATTTTATTTATCATTAAAACGTCAAAATAACATGTCATTTGAAAGTGAGGTTAGATTGTGTTATTAANTCCTAGTATTGTGTTGGGAATTCAGATACGCCACTACGTGAGATGGTGTGGACGCTTTAAACTTACTTACTGCCGGTATATCTCATTTTTTGCTAGATACGTCACTACGTGAGAAAGGGGACGATATGTATACATCATGATGATAAGTAGGACTGTTATCTTCTTTATTTTCTGGAATATTTTTTTCAAAATTGATTTCTGGGCGAATTACATAAAAATAAGGCAGATGGTACAATAAAAACATTGCATATTTTTCCAATTTTTTTGATTGACGCATAAATTGGCCTTTTACTGCGTATTTTGTCATTTTACAACGATTCATAGAAACATGCGGGGAATCCCTAGCGTTGTTGAGTTTAAGTTTAAGGAAATCCCCAACCATAGTTATTGTGGCTGTGTTCAGTGTGAGTAAATATTAATCTACCAATCTATAACAACAATGCCTAAAGTGATATCGTGTCTTGTATCCTAGTGGATAAAAAGTTATCCCGAACTAAATTTAATTAATGAGGAATTATTTTGTAAATCTTGTGCCAAAGTTGAAAGTATTTTTTTAAAAATTATGTCGTAGCGTTTTGGCCAAAGATTTAAGCTAAAAATTAGAGTTTTCAGAGGAGTTGCCAATGGTTTGTTCCGAAATTTTCCCAATTTTTTACATATGTTTCTAGATAATCGACAATGAAAAATACGAATCTGTTTTATAGGCTCAGAATTAAATTTTCATCTGTTAGAGTATCTGTGGCTAACTTTTTTAATTATTCTTTTTTAAGATAACGTGTGAGAGGAAGAAAATAAATAGAACAACATGTAAAAAGTGCAAAACATATACAAAAATATGATAGAAATAGATTGATAACAACTATAAGAAAGGTATATGTTTGCATATTTCCTATAATTTGACTGCATAAAAATCCGAGCTCCAATGATAACTAACTTCAGGTGTAACATGTCAACTTCAATTTTGATATATTTGTAATCTCCATTTAAAATCCTTTAAAGTGAGTACAAACACGACATATTTATCTTCAATATTAATGAAGTTATGGTCAACTTCCGGTTAGAAATGTCAATATCATTTTGATATATTCTTAATTTTTATAAAATGTCTTAAAATTTGTCACAAAAATAAAAAAATAATACAAAAAAAAACAGAAATTAAGGTTGGTATTAATATTTAAAAATTAAATTGCTATCTTCATTGTTGCTAACTTCGGGTTTAATGTTTTTTATTCTAACTTGTTTGTTTTTTAAGATAAATGCATCATGTTTGGACACATTTTAAATGTTTTTTAATGATGAATACATCATGAAAGAACACCATGAAGTTGTCCATTTGTCTATTATATGATAACTAACTTCAGGTTTAAAATGTCAACCTCAATTTTGACATATTTGTAATCTTCATTAAAAATCCTTTAAAATGAGTACAAACACGACATATTTATCTTCAATATTAATGAAGTTATGGTCAACTTCCGGCAAAGAATTTCAACCTCAATTTTGACATATTTATAATCATCGTGAAACATCCTTTAAAATGAGTCCAAACATGATACGTTTCATTCCAATATTACTCGAGATATAGCAACTTCCGGTTTGAAATGTCAATGTCATTTTGATATATTCTTATTATTTTTTATAAAATGTCTTAATATTTGTCACAAAAACAAAAATGTAATAAAAAAATCAAAAATTAAGGTTGGTATTGATATTTAAGAAATTAAATTGCTATCTTCATTGTTGCTAACTTCGGGTTTAGTATTTTTTATCCTAACTTTTTTGAGATAAATTCGTCATGTTTGGACACATTTTAAAGGTTTTTTTAAATAAATAATACATTATGAAAGAACACCATGAAGTTATCCATTTGTCTATTGTATGATAACTAACTTCAGGTGTAAAATGTCAACCTCAATTTTGACATATTTATAATCTTCATTAAAAATCCTTTAAAGTGAGTACAAACACGACATATTTATCTTCAATATTAATGAAGTTATGGTCAACTTCCGGTTAGAAATGTCAACCTCAATTTTGACATGTTTGTAAGCGTCGTGAAAAATCCTTTAAAATGAGCCCAAACGTGATTCCGATATTACTTGTGATATAAGCAAATTCCAATTTGAAATGTCAATATCATTTTGATGTATTCTTAATTTTTATAAAATAAATACCGACTTCGAAGACGTCGGCCGCCCAGAACATACGAAATATCCATTCAACCCAACCTAACCTCACTTTTTTAAGAGACATTTTTTACAACTGCCGACAAATAAGAAATAAAACTAAAACTGGAAATTTTAGGGTTATGTAATGACATTACGTCTTCGAAAACGGCTGTGTTAGCTTAAAACTGTGCTGGAAAATGTGTTATTTTTGTTTATCTATCTGTTCGTCCCAACCTCACTTTTCCAAGTGACATTTTTTGACGTTTCATAAAAAAAAATTTATTTTACTCACTCAGTGCACCCTCGAAGATTTTCTTTCATATTAGCGATCTCGCTTGAAACAGCCACAAAAAGTAAACTCACAAGATACGAAATATCCATTCAAACCAACCTAACCTAACTTATTCAAGTGACATTTTTCACAACCGTTACTGCCGATGGAATAAGAAATAAAAAAAAAATTTAGGGTTATGCATAGACGCGTCATAAACGCACGGCATAACCTCAAAATTTCTAGTTTTAGTTTTATTAGTTTTTTTAAAATCACTTACATAATTTTTTTTTAATGAAACGTCATAAAATGACACTTGATAGACGCATAGATAGTGCCATCTGTCGCAAAAAGTCTAAAAATATACGTTTGTAACTATCTTCTCATCGTATCAAATATTTTAACCTAATTTTGGAATCAGGATAAATACGGATTATTTGATTTCTTTTATAACGCAAAACGTGGACTAGTCACTAAAACTAGCTTCTATGACGCAAATTTCTTTTTAGTTTTATCTCTAAAACTGAGTGAGTTAAATAAATGTTTTTAATTAAACGTCAAAAAAATCTCATTTAAAAAAATGAGGTTAGGTTGTGTTGGAAAAGTGTAATTAAAAATCTTCAACATCATTTTCGAGTGCGGGCGCTAAAACATTGAAAACCTTGAGTTGGATCTCTATTCATATTTCTGAGAATGCACATATCGTGTTCTCGGGGGCGGCCGATGTCTTCGAAAACGGCCGTGTTAGTTTAAAACTATGCTGGGAAATGAGCTATTTTTGTTTATGATTTAAGCATAAATTAATATTCGTAAAAAAACATGACTTTCATGAATTTGACATTTAATTTTGACAAATTGTTGTGAAGTTGGTTACAGTTGGCAACATTGAATTTGTGTCACATTGACGTTTAAACATTATTCCAAAGTTTATTGCGCTAATTTCTCGCTTTGCTCGTGACATAAATACAGGGTGTCTCAGCGAGACCGGTCATTAGACGTTTCTGGCAAAAATAAAAATTTGAGAATTCAGACTTAAGTATTATCAATNGTCAAAATAAAATGTCATTTGAAAGTGAGGTTAGGAATCTTCAACATCATTTTCGAGTAACAACACGGCCGTTTTCGAAGACATCGGCCGCCCCTGGCCATCCCAGAGGCTACAACATTAAGAACCTTCAGTTCTTGGGGGCGGCCGATGTCTTCGAAGTCGGCCGAGTTATTAAAACGTCAAAATAAAATGTCATTTGAAAGTGAGGTTAGATTGTGTTATTAAAGTGAGGTTAGGAATCGTCAACATCATTTTCGAGTAACAACACAGCCGTTTTCGAAGACATCGGCCGCCCCCGGCCATCCCAGAGGTTACAACATTAAGAACCTCGGGTTCTTGGGGGCGGCCGACGTCTTCGAAGTCGGCCGAGTTCACTTTTTGTAACAAAGTACTCGTCGATTTAGATCTTTGACGCACGGCATAACCTCAAAAATTTCTAGTTTTAGTTTTATTTCTAACGCAAAATCATTTAAAGAAATTTTTTTTAATGAAACGTCAAAAAATGTCACTTTAAGACGCATAGGAGATAGCGTCACCTGCCGAAAAAGTCTTAAAACATACGTTTGTAACTATCTTCTCATCATGTCAAATAAGAATTACTATGTGTTTTTCTTTATAACGCAAAACGTGTACGAGTCACTAAAACGAACTTCTAAGACGCAAATTTCTTTTTAGTTTTATTTCTAAAACTGAGTGAGTTAAATAAATTTTTTTAATGAAACGTCAAAAAAATGTCATTTGAAAAAGTGAGGTTAGGTTGTGTTTAACATCCTCNAGAGTTCTCTGATTTTTTTAACAAATGTCTGCTGGAGCAGATTTTTCTAGAAAAATTCGAATAACTCGAGAACGGCCGAATCAAATTGCAAAAAGTAAAGTTATTTATAAACCTTCAAAACAGACAAATCCAAATATGTAAAAATATACAGGGTGTTCCATTTAAAAAAATAAAGTAGGTGGCGACTTCCGGTATAACCGGAAGTGCTAGAAATCTGAAAATATTTTAGACGAAGAGAACGTAATTGATAATACTTAAGTCTGAATTCTCAATTTTTTATTTTGGCCAGAACCACAGAAACGTCTAATGACCGGTCTCGCTGAGGCACCCTGTATATTAAATTGATTTTTCAGTAAGTGTTACACTTTTACGCATTTTTTTTTAAACCCTAATTAAACTTCAATGATTTCCCGTCGATTATTTTCAATATTAATGAAGTTATGGTCAACTTTCGGTTAGAAATGTCAACCTCAATTTTGACATATTTGTAATCATGGTGAAAAATCCTTTAAAATAAGCCGAAACATGATACGTTTAATGTTCTGTGCTTCAGGTGTAAAATGTCAACCTCAATTTTGACATATTTGTACTCTTCATTACAAATCTTTTAAAGTGAGTACAAACACAACATATTTATCATGAATATTAATGAAGTTATGATTAGTTCTAGGTATAGTGTTAATTCTACATAGTAACATTGCTAGTGTAAAACTAGAACTAACAACTTCCGGTTAGAAATGTCATCCTCAACTTTGATATATTTGCAATCGTCGTGAAAAATCCTTTAAAATGAGTTCGTTTAATTCCAATATTACTCGAGATATAAGCAACTTCCGGTTTGACATGTCAATGTCATTCTTATTTTTTATAAAATGTCTTAAAATTTGTCACAAAAACAAAAATATAATACAAAAAATCAAAAATTATTGTTGCTAACTTCAGGCTTAATGTTTTTTATTCTAATTTTTTTGTTTTTTCAGATAAATGCGTCATGTTTGGACTCATTTTAAAGGTTATTTTATAAAGATTACGAATATAATAATAAAATTAAAGTTGACTTTAACACCTGAAAGTTCCACCAAGACCTTAATATCTTGATGGAAATGTTCACCCTGCTTTTCTCTAGTACTCCCCAAATGTAGAAAGTGAAGTTATATGCGACTAAACTTTGAGAAGATCATCGACAATGCTGATATAATTAGGGTCTTTGAAAGCATTCCAAGCTTTTTTTTCAACATCTCACATTGTGTACTGAAATTTCTCATCTAATATTAATTTATGTCTGTCAGAATCCACAAAAATTCCTTCTTTTAGGTTTGCCTCTGACAAATGTAGAAACTTTAACTGGGATTGACTAAAGCTTAGTGGAAAACCTTCTTTTCATTGGCTTTTTAGTTATTTTAGTCCAGTGTTCAACTTTCAGATCGCCACAAACTATTCAATTATGATCTGTATATTTATAATTGTGCAAGAGTACAGCCTTCTTTTTGAAGAATCAATGAAATGCCTCCATTTATCAGCTGTGTCTTGCTGAGCTGCTTCTTGTTTGAAATAGTCATGATCTCTAAATCTGTACTGATAGAAAGATGTTCCAGCTTTTTCTCTTTTAGTCTAGAACCCAAGAGTTCAGCATTCTTCTTGGTAAGTCTCTCACTGCATCATAATCTGCAGAATCTTGAAAATCATCTTCATTCACATCAGATTCCCTAGAGCTGATCTAACCTAGAGTTGCAGGAAGCTGATTAAAATCATAGTAGCAAAAATAAGTCATCACTGTGATTTTTTGGCCAAATTTGAATGATTTTTTTGACCTGATGACCACTTCCTGAGATCTTCTACACAAATATAACACACTGACTCATTCACAACTAATTATATTTATGATTCAAATCCTTTTATTATAACCAAAGGAAATAGAAAAATGTAAAATACTGATTTTCCACTTAAAATTTGTTAAAACTTGTTGAGACATCCAAAAAAAAAAGCAAAATTTGCGAAATTATTCATTATTTTTCTTGAATTCAGCACCCAAAAATCAATAAAGATTGCCTTTTCAGTTATTTTTTAAATTATTAATTAAAATTAATTAAATTAACCCACCGGAAAAGGTCCACTTCCATGTTGCATCATTCTATGTGGATGCATTTGCCCTGGTCCTAACCCTGGGGGATAAGGTAGCATCATTGGAAACGAATTGGGCATCCCCATTGGGGGGATATTCCTTAACGGGGGTCCTGCCAAATTCATTGGATGCAAACCAGGCGGTATTCTTGGAATTGGTTGCGCTGGAAACAACGGATGATGTATAACTTGAGGGTTTGGGAAATTTTGGGACGCTTGAAACGGTTTTTGGGGCCTCGGTGTCATTAACCCCCTCTCTAACTCCTCCACGGTGCATATTTTTTTCGTAACTGGTCCAATTGGGGTTGGTTGCTTTGTGGCTTTAATTTCCGGGTATAAACTTTGAACTTTTTGAACCGCATTGTCGATCACCTCTCCGTTTCGCCCCAAACCACCTCCTTTGTTGTAGCTCCACGCGTTTTCTTTCTCCGTAATCGGGAAATCATCGTCGTCCAAAACCAATTGGTTTAAAGAGTTCTCTAATTGTCTGGAACTTTCCGCTATTTCAGCTAATTGTTCGTGTTGTTGTTCCCAGTCTTCTAGGTTATTATCGTCTTCTAATGTGCCGAATGTTTCGTCGTTAAGGGCATCATATTCCTCTTCTTCCGTTTCGATACAATCCAATTCGTCGGTCCCCAATAAATGATCCCCATGCTGTTTATAACAAATTTAAAGAAATTACAAACATAACCTCAAATTTTTTTTTTTTTAATCGTGTCTTACAGATTTAACTCAAATTCTTTTATAACATAATAAACGAATTTGACATAATAAACGTTTTAAGAAACGTTCGAGAACTTTATAAGAGTTGAATGAAAAAAAAAATGTGGGAAAGTACCCGATTCCCTAAGGATTTTTTGGAGAGTTTTGGGAAGCTTTGAGGGATTTTTTTTGGTGGTTTTGGGTAAAACGGGGTTTGTACTCACGTTTATAGTCGTGTCAAATCCAAAAAACGTATCAGCCATTTGGTTTTAGGAGTTTCTTTAACATTATGCAAAACACAGTAGACAGTACTGACATTCACTGTGAAGTTCGCGCGCTGTCATCGTCCCGATTTTATAACGCGAAGTTGCACCCACTCCAAAAAATCATAATTAATTAATTATTTTTGAAATTTAAACATTTTCAAGTTAAATTAATTTCATTTTTTAAAGCAATCATTATTAATTGCTTTTTTTAATTAATTTATTTTTATTTATTAAATAAAATTAATTTTAGTTCAAAAATCTCTCAATAGATGGCGGTTATGTATAAAAAAAAATCTATTTTATTAAGAATTAAAATTACTAATTAATCATTTATTACCGTATAATGAGTTACATTCCTTTTTTAAAGCAATCATAATTAATTACTTTTTTAATTAATTCATTTTTTATTATTAAATAAAATTAATTTTAGTTCAATAATTCCTCGATAGATGGCGGTTATTAACTAGTATTTTTTAGTTAATAATTAAAATTATTAATTAATCATTTACTAATGTATAATTAGTTACATTCATTTTTAAAAGCAATCATTAATTGCTTTTTCATTTAATTTACTTTTAATTATTAAATAAAATAATTTTAGTTCAATAATCTCTCTATAGAGGGCGGATATTAATAAATATTTATGTTATTAAGAATAAAAATTATTTACTAACGAATAATTAATTACATTCCTTTTTTTAAAACAATCATAATTAATTGCTTTTTATTTATTTCATTTTTATTTATTAAATAAAATTAATTATATTTCAATAATTCCTCGATAGATGGCGGTTATTAATAAATACTTTTTTCTATTAATAATTAAAATTATTAATTAATAATTTACTAACGTATAATTAATTACATTCTTTTTTTAAAACAATCATAATTAATTGCTTTTTATTTATTTCATTTTTATTTATTAAATAAAATTAATTATATTTCAATAATTCCTCGATAGCTGGCGGTTATTAATAAGTACTTTTTTTTATTAATAATTAAAATTATTAATTAATCATTTACTAACGTATAATTAATTACATTCCTTTTTTAAAGCAATCATAATTAATTGCTTTTTTAATTAATTCATTTTTAGTTATAAAATAAAAATAACTATAGTTCATTAATTCCTCGACAGATGGCGGTTATTACTAAATATTTATTTTTATTAATAATTAAAATTATTAATTAATCATTTACTAATGTATAATTAGCTTCATTCCTTTTTAAAAGCAATCATAATTAATTGCTATTTCATTTAATTTATATTTAATTACCTAATAAAATAATTTTAGTTCAATAATTCCTCGATAGATGGCGGTTATTTATAAATATTTATTTTTATTAATAATTAAAATTATGAATTAATCATTTACTAATGTATAATTAGATTAATTCTTTTTTAAAAGCAATCATAATTAGTTGCTATTTCATTTAATTTATTTTTAATTATTAAATAAAATAATTTTAGTTCAATAATCTCTCGATAGATGGCGGTTATTAATAAATACTTTTTTTTTATTAATAATTAAAATTATTAATTAATCATTTACTAACGTATAATTAATTACATTTTTTTTTAAAGCAATCATTATTAATTGCTTTTTTATTTAATTTATTTTTAATTATGAAATAAAATTAATTATATTTCAATAATTCCTCGATAGATGGCGGTTATTAATAAGTATTTATTTTTATAAATAATTAAAATTATGAATTAATTACGTTTTAACGTATAATTAGTTACATTCCTTACAGTTTTAACCTCTCACGTAATTTTGTCCATAAATTTTTTTTTACACAAATGTCATTCGTATAGGTTATGTTTAAATTTATCTTGAATCACGCAGCACACAAATTATGTTCTTTTCTTATTAAAAGCGATGAAATTAAGCACCGGGGCTAAAATAGGATTGAGTTGGTGAGCATTTCCCATTTAATTAATAAAAACATCATTAAAAATGAATTAAAAAAAAATTAAAAGTATTAAATAAAATTGATTTTAGTACAATAATTTCTCGATAGATGGCGGCTACATTTATTTTATTAAGAATCAAAATTATTAATTAATCATTTATTAACGTATAATTAGTTATATTCCTTTTTTAAAGCAATCATTATTAGTTGCTTTCTTATTTAATTTATTTTTAATTATTAAATAAATTAATTTTACTTCAGTAATATCTCGATAGATGGCGGTTATTAATAAAATTTTTTTTATTAATAACTAAAATTATTAATTAATTACGTTCTAACGTGGTTCTAACGTATAATTAGTTACATTCGTTATTACTTTAACCCCCCACGTAATTTTATCCATAAATAAATTTATTCTTCCACAAATGTCATTCGTATAGGTTATGTTTAAATTTATCTTGAATCACGCAGCACACAAATTATGTTCTTTTCTTATTAAAAGCGATGAAATTAAGTACCGGGGCTAAAATAGGATTGAGTTGGTGAGCATTTCTCATTTAATTAATAAAAACATTAGAAAATGGATTAAAAAAATTAAGAGTAGACATAACCTAAAAATTTTGACCCGGTTTATTATTTCAATTAGGGCCGCAATTGTAGCAGGAGGAATTTACGCGTTCTATCTATCAAAAACAAGCATCGATAGCAAACGTTACGAGCTTATGAAAGTTCGTGAACGAATCAGTAAATCGAACGAAGGTGATTACGAGCCAAGCACAAGAAAATTTCCCGAATTAAAATAAGCTTGTATCATAAAAATGGCCGCTCAAGTTGAACAGCAAAAACTGCAGCTTTTGCAAGAGTTGGAAATTGAGATGATGGCCGATATGTACAATAAACTAACAGCGGCTTGTCATAAAAAGTGTATTCCACCGAAATACGGTGATAATGAAATAGCGAAAGGTGAAGCGGTATGTTTGGATCGATGTGTGGCTAAGTTTTTAGATATTCACGAGAAAATTGGGAAAAAACTCGGGCAATTATCGATGCAGGATGACCAATTATTGAAAAAGTAGTCAGTTTTTTATTAGTTTTTTGTTAAATGTAGTAAATAAATCAAAGTAACTAAAATAACTATTTATTTCTCAACATCCCCCTCATCAAAATCGGTTGTTCTAATATCTTGTTCCTCCCCGTATTGTAAAGCGGTATCAACAGTGATTAAAACCGAATTTAAATTATCCACATCTTTTAAATTTAAAGGTATAAACCTCACCAAAGAATAATCCTCAATTAATCTTCCAATAGCTTCTGTTAATTTGCTATGTTTTTCGTTAAATCGACTTGAGTGGAACTCAATGTCGCCTAAAATTGCGTGACAATCAGGTTCTAAGAATCGATCTAATTGTTTTTTATCGCCTTTCGATAATAAATCCATTTTTGATAATAAATTAACGTGGGGGACTTCCAAATTAACCATAACACTCAAAGCAGCCATCGTTCCCGACAAAAACTTAGTTCCTTCAATCATGAATTGAACATCCAATAAAAAAACGCTGCAAATATTAAAATTCCACGATTGTAAAGTTTTTATTAATTTTTTTATTGTTGTTAAATGGGTGTATAATTCGATTTGACCCGGACAATCGATTAAGAAGTAATCATCTTCTTGATCGCCTAAAAATGAATCTTTTTTATACAAGAAATTAATGTTTATGTTTGTATTAACCCAATTTTTCTTGTAACCAATCGGAATTTTCTAATAGATACTCCATACAATAAATCAAACCGCCGTTTGGCCCAAAATGAAGTTCCTCATCTTCCATTGTATCGTTAACGTGAATTAAGTCCCGTATATCGGCGATTGGTTCGTATTCGAAATGTTCCGCGGCCGGGTCTAAATTAACAACGTCTATTGTGCGTTTACAATCGATTGCGTGCTCAATTATTGCGTTACAATACGTAGACTGAAAAGTGAGGTTATGATATATTTTTTGAATATTAAAATTAAATTAATTACCTTCCCGCTTCCTGCAGGGCCTATAACTAATTGAGCGTATCTCATTTTTAATTAATTTTAGCTTTTAATTATTGAAAAAATTAAATTTTTTTAACCAATATAAACATAACCTCTAAATTTGGGGAAAATATGTTTGCGATTAGCGCCATCTATCGGAGTTAATAAGAAACTTTTTTTTTTAAATTAATTTAATTTATATTTATTTAACTTACAAATATTTATTTAATGATTTAAATTAATAATAAACTTTGAAAAGCTGTTGAAACGACGCTTTTGAAAAGCTATAGTTCATTTTTTTTTTCTAAAGTTGGCAAAATTAATAGGGAGTTTTGTTTTATCATGTTTTGAAATAGATATGTCACTCTAACGTTTGAGCTTTCGTTATTCTTATTCAAAAAGAAAAGGTGCATAAAAAGTGTTGTGGGGTGTTTATTCGCCATTTATTTCCCTAGAAAAGGTATTTTGTTCTATTTAATTACTTTGTAGCACGTTTTTACAACAAATATGTACTTCGTTAAAATCGTATTTGTTTAAAAATTTATTAGTATTTTAACCTCAACTATTTAGTTACTGAAAATGTTACTAAAAATCAGGAAAACAACATAAATTATATCTATAAATAAGGAAAATATACGGTTTTATGTCAGCCCCAGGGATCTTTGATTGGGACTGATTGTATGTAGAAATCCCACCGTAAGATGGCATTAGCGTCTATACTGAAATAATTTAATTAAACTAACAATTTTATTATTAATAGTGGGAATGATAAGAGACAGCAATAACAATTATTACCAGTATCATTCTTTTAATTTAAAAAGTATAGATTCCAATTCGTGTTGTATTTTTAAATTTGCCGCTAAGAATTTTAAAAGTTGAAGTTTGTTCAGAATGACAGATGTCATTTTAAAGTGTTTTTTCGGTAAGAGTAGAATTAAGTATTAATGGTATGATTAAATAATTAGATTATAATTGACATTATAGCTTTGTTTCAGCTAACGTTATAAGTTGTTGGAAGCTCGTCAGATGCAATATCACATGTCATATGATGCAGTGATATTAAAATATGTGGCGGCATTATTTAACAGGTGTAATTGCCATAAGTAATTGCATCTGAGGAATTCCCAACCAGTCGGAACGTTAATTTATCACTTTCCAAACAATTATTCTGTGGTTGAAGCTTTTATATATAAACCCAATCCAACCTGTATTCTAGTGGTTCGGTTCTTAGCTGAATAATTCCAAAATATCCCCAACAGATGGCGCCACATGCATTCAATTTTTAATGTTTAGCTACTTTCTATCTTAAAAGACTTAGGGCTAAACCTAAATGTTTCTAGTTTTAATGTTACTTAACTCGAATGATATAACTTTGACGTTTATGATTTTTTATTTTTATAATTTTTAATTAAAAAATACAGATCTTAAACGCTATAAGTACCCTAATTAATAACCTATAAAATAAAAATTGTTCGTTTATTTATTTTTAGAACAATTAGCTTCTTTCACAAATTAGCAAAAATATAAAAAGTTACTACCAGAGGATTTTTTATATTTATTTACCATTTCTCCTCAAGTTTCATTATTACACTTTATAAACTTTTACATTTTTAATTTTAATACAATATTTTTATTAATTTATTTATTATTATTTTTTTTTGTAAAGTTTTCGTTCGTTTTTGTTCATTTTTTTGTTGTTTAAATAACCACCAGCGTTCATTTTTAACTTGGAAGGAAACGTTCAGAAATGCTTCGTTATCTTTTTTATATAATAAGTTGAAATGAAATCATCCCCAATTTTTTATTTATTTAATACTGCTCTTTTCTTTTTATTAATTATTTTTAAAACAACAAAAATAAGTGATTTTGGGATGATTTCATTCGTTTTTCACAAAGATTTGATTACGAAAATAATTTTAAGCAATGAGCAGTTGTTTAATTTCATTGTTTTCTGCTGAATCTATGTAGTTTTTACCATCAGGAGCAACACCTTCTTTGGTAGCACCCTAAAACGAAAAATTTTTTATAAAACATTTCTCCATTTCCATTTCTTACCTTTGCCAATAATAATTTAACACAATCTTTATGTCCTTCCCATATAGCAGCTAATAAAGCGGTTATTCCATGTTTATCTTTAGCCTAAAAAGAGATTTAATTAACGATTCAATTTAATTAATTAATTAATAACCAAAAATCTTACATTCACATTAGCACCATTATTAATAAGGTACTCAATCACATCGGTTTGACCATAATCGGCTGCGTATAAAATCGGGGGGCGCCCATCGATATCCGCGTTTATATTTACAGCCTAAAATTTTTAATTTAAGGTTAACTTTAGCGAGGAAATTAGGGAAAGAGGGGGGTTAACGAACCTTTTTCTCCACGATATCCTTTACTTGATCCAAGTCCCCGTTTTTAATACCCCAAACCAATTCGCTCATTGTTATCTTTTATACTTAATTTATTAATTTTTTTTTCGTCTCGTTTCCAGTTGGTTGGAGTTTTCGAGGAAAGTCGCACCACGGAAAATTCGCTACCCCGATTTTTGACAGCTGTCAAAATGATTCGCGTTTAGAGGATTTTGTTTGTAACCAACTTCGGGTTATAACCAAATGGCGACATCTAACGGTGAGTGAAATAACTATATTTATAGGTTACTAATCAAAAAAGACTCAAATTAAATAACAACTAATTTAATTCTTTAATTATTATAATTTTATCTAGAATGCATATAATAATCGATAGCTGTCGAAAAAGCTGCAAATCCCGCAGCTCCAAATATCCCAGCTTTCACTCCGGCTAAAATAATCCATTAAAATTATTAAAAAAATTACATTTTTAGTAATACCTCTTAATCCAATTGCTCCTCCGGTAACAGCCCCGGCGTATGTACCGTTTTTCCAATCGCTTTTTCCTCGGGACTAAAATAAAATAAAATTAATTTAAATAAATCAATTGATTTTGCTCACCGTTTCAATTGCACATTCAACGGCGGAAAATAAAGCACCGATCATGGCGAAATTTTTGGCGTAACTTAACGTGGTTGTTTTCATTTCTTTAAAAACTTGTCGCGCGGTTTGTTGTTCTACTTCTAAACCGGTCGTGGGGCCCATACTAGCCGAAAATAAACCTATGGCAGCTCCCAAACCGTAACCTAAAATTTTTTTATGATTAATTTTATTTATAAATTACGATTTTTTTGATAATGTACCTATTACACAACTCATAATCGACTTAAAAGCACAACTTTCCATCGCGCTTTCAACCATTTTCTCTTCGTTACTTTTTATTTTAACAGGACCAAGATTTTTTGGAATTATTATTGTGTCTCTGTATCGAGTGTTGTTTCCAATGAAATATTTTGTTAGATTGGTCCAATCTTCTTCGGAGAGTTTTCGTTTCTCATCCATTTTCTGATTAAGAAATTATTTGGAATAATTTTTAGGTTATGTTTACTTGACTTACGTTTTTTTTTATAAGATATGCCGCTTTTAAATCAATAAATGTGGCGTTTTTGCGTGGGGAAACTCCAAATTAATTCAATTTGTATTCATGGAGACACTTTTTTTGATTTATAATATAATTTAATTATTATTCCATCAAATTAGTCCTAAAAATTGATTGACAGGTTATAAAATAAAAGAAATCTATTTTACCGACGCTTATTTTATTTTGCAATAAATTAATATAAAATAATGATTAATTACGAATTTTATTAATTTTTAAACAATTTAATTATTAATAAATGAGTAATAAGAAAGATGAAATTATTTACTTGTATTCCTTGGGAAAATAGATTTTTTGAGGTTATGTCGAATTGTCAAATTATAACAATTTTAATTAACAAATTAAAATAAATTCAACAAAATTCATTTATTCGGACAAGTGGGGCGAGTGTAACCTAAAAAGTTTCCAAAATTAAGATTGAATCATTAAAATCATCTCACCTTCTTATTAACAAATCGTACATTTACATTTCATTTTTGCTTTATTATCATAATAAGGAGTTTTTTCTTTTATTTTTGAGCCGTCTACTTTTATAATTATTACCACATCCTCCTCCACGATCATCCCAACATCATCACTCATTTGATGATTAAATTACTTTTTTTTAGGATTATTATTGTATCTCTGTATCGAGTGTTGTTTCCAATGAAATCTTTTGTTAAATTGGTCCAATCTTCTTCGGAAAGTTTTCGTTTCTCATCCATTTTCTGATTAAGAAATTATTTGGAATCATTTTTAGGTTATGTTTACTTGACTTACGTTTTTTTTATAAGATATGCTGGTTTTAAATCAATAAATGTAGCGTTTTTGCGTGAGGAAACTCCAAATTAATTCAATTTGTATTCATGGAGACACTTTTTTTGATTTATAATAAAATTTAATTATTATTCGATCAAATTAGTCCTAAAAATTGATTGACAGGTTATAAAATAAAAGAAATCTATTTTACCGACGCTTATTTTATTTTGCAATAAATTATTGATTATTAATATAAAATAATGATTAATTACGAATTTTATTAATTTTTAAACAATTTAATTGTTAATAAATGAATAATAAGTAAAGATAAATGATTTTGTTGTATTTCTTGGTAAAATAGATTTTTTGAGGTTATGTTAGATTGTCAAATTAAAATCATCAAAATAACCTCACCTTCTTGTCGATAAATCATACATTTCCGTTTCGTTTTTGGATTATTAGCATAATAAGGAGTTTTTCTTGTATCTTTCGACCATTTACTTGCATAATTATTACCATGTCATACTCCACGATCATCCCAACATCATCACTCCATTTAAAAAATCATCAGCAAGGTCACTCTTTCTTAAATCGCCTTATATTTTGCAATTTGATTCCTTCTAACTCCATCATGGTATTTTCGCCCCTCGCAAATTAATTAAAGCGAAATTTTTGGCGTAACTCAACATGGTTATTTAAACCAGGGCCTTTACTAGACGAAAATAAAGCTATTGCAGCTCCCAATCCATAAAATTTGTTTATTATTAAATTTTATTTCAATTAAGAAATAATTTGGAGTTATTTTTAGGTTATGTTTACTTTTCTTAAATTTTTTTTTGATAAGGTGTTTTTAAAGCAATGAATGTTGCGGTTTTGCGTGGGGAAGCTCCGAATTAATTCAATTTGTATTCATGGAGACAATTTATTATAAAATTTAATTATTCCATCAAATTTGTCCTAAAAATTGATTGACAGGTTATGAAATAAAAAGAAATCTATTTTACCGACATTTTATTTTGCAATAATTAAAATAATGATTAATTAAATTTTATTAATTTTTAAACAATTGAATTATTAATAAATGAGTAATAAGGTGAAATTATTTACTTGTATTCATTGGGAAAATACATTTTTTGAGGTTATGTCGAATTGTCAAATTAATGTCAATGCAACAAATTTAATTATAAAAATATATTTCTTTAAATTATAACAATTCTAATTCACTAATTAAAAACAAATTCAACAAAATTCATTTATTCGGACAAGTGGAGCGAGTGTGACCTAAAAATTCCCAAAATTAATTAACATTAAATCATTAAAATCATCATAACCTCACCTTCTTGTCGACAAATCGTACATTTCCGTTTCGTTTTTGCTTTATTATCATCATAAGGAGTTTTTCTTTTAGTTTTGGGTCGTTTACTTTTATAATTATTACCACCACGTCCTCCTCCTCCTCCTCCACCACCACCTCCACCCCAACCATCACCCCCACGACCATCCCCAACATCATCACTCCATTTAAAATAATTACAATTTTCGCCCATCGGTTTTGGGCAAGTATAAAATTGCCTCCCTTTATTCGGACCTTCTTTATTAACCGTTCTTAAAACGGCGGCTAAATCACAGTTACATTTAATATTTAGATTATTTAAGTTTGTGGTGGTGTTTAGTGAGGTTCTCGATGACGATGAGTCGTTGTTGGCCCATAAAAAGAAATTGCAACTACTTTTTTGGCACGTATAGAATTGTTTCCCTTAAATAAATTTAAATATGATTAAATTGATTCGTTTTAAAGCGATTAATACCTTTATTTGGCCCGTCTTTTTGTACCGTGCGTAAAACGGCATCTTCATTACATGTACATAACACTTGAAGGTTTTCATCAACATCGTTTTGATTCAAAGATGATGGACCTGGCGCGGGGTTTAAAAATGAATTATTTCGACCTGATGAGGTGTTTAAAAAGGTTCGGGTGTTTTTTGATTTACTTCTTCTTGATGAATTATTATTATTATTATTAGTTGTAGGATAATTTTGATTATTAAAAAAGTTTTCGACGTTTCGAGTTATTACGTTGTTCTCTGAGATGCTCCTCCTCCGCACGTTATTTATGTTGATGTCTAAGGGGGTTAAAACGTTTTCGTCGCAACCCCCTATGCATAATATTCGGGGGTTTGGGTATCCGGGGAAAATGTTTTGTTTGAATTTCATTTTTAATTTGTGAACGTTTGAGCCACACTAAATCAAAAAATTAATTAATTAATTAATAATAATTAATAATTAAATTATTTACTAACATCCAAACAAGTCTCATCTAAAACTTCAACACTTTCAACATTACTAGACAACCAAATGGCGTTGTTACAAGCTGGATATGAGACGCAACTCAAATATTTCCCTTGTTGATTAACCCTGTCTTTAAGAACCATGTCGTTTAAACACTTTGGGCATTTAAGAACCGGTTTAAACTCGACGCGGGGTTCTTCTTGGTAATCCTCAGGGCGATCATTAAGTCGATTAGCGAGGCTATTATCAATACACCTCATTTTATCCATAACCGTCTCATAAATCGCCTTATATTTCGCAATTTGATCCCTTCTAACTTCATCTGGGTCTTTTCGCCCCTCGCAAATTAATTTTAAATCGTTTTCAAACTCAGCTCGCAATTGAGGCTTCGCCAATGATATTTCCAAACCAATACTATCATATCTAAAATTAATTAAATGATTAAAATTTCAACGTCATTAAATTAATTATTTTTGACTCACCCCTCAACTAACCCCATCCCTAAAATACCAGGAACGAAATAAGTATTTTGTTGTAACCCTACATAATCTCGTGATTTAATCGTGTCGATATGTTCCGCATGGGTCGCGTCAGTTCCAATTCCATGTTTTTCCATTAAAGCGATTAAATCGGCTTCGGTGAGGAGTTTTGGGGGCGAAGTTACCCCTTCCACCTAAATTGAAAGCGTTAAAAGTTCGATTTTGTTTGAAATAAATTAATTAGTATACATTACGATGTCTAATTCGGTCGGATTGAAGGTGTCCCCTCTTTTATAATCGTTAATTTCTTTTGCGTTCCATTTCTCGTAAATGTAAACGTCCAAATAGTTTCGTTCTAAAATTACGAGTCCTTTCGCGGTGAATTTTTCATTGGAAATATCTACGTTGACGATTGTTTCTTGGCCAAGGGCGTCTTTGCTGACGCAAGCTAAAAAGTGTCTTACGATGTATTCGTAGACGCGTTGGTCGTTTCCGGTGAGGTTTGGGGCGTGTTTTGTGGGATGAATTGGGGGGTGAGCCTAAAAATAATTTTTTTTTATTTGTTAATTAATTTAAATTAAAATTAATTGATTACTTGATCCGATTTTTTTCCATATCTTGGGTTGGGGCCCCCTTCTTCTATTATTCTTGCGGCGAAACCCCCCCATCGGGTATCCCCTCTTTGCATTTCAACTAAAGTCGCTAAATTTAATTCTTTCGGGAAAATATTCGTCTCAGTTCTGGGGTAACTGATAAAACCTTGCGTGTATAATTTCTCGGCGATTTTCATCGCATCCTTTGCTGTTATTCGTAATTTCCTCGAAATATTCTTTTCCATTTCCTAGAAAACAAAGTTAACTTTAAATTTAATTTAACTGTCATTTTATTTTTTTATGTCATTTCACCTAATTTACAAAATCACTAAAATACTGTCAAACGTCAATTTGGCATCTAAAATTTTTTTAACAATATTAAAGTTGATACAATATAATCTATCTAATCTATGAGTTGTTATTAAAACTTAATTGATGCTTTTAATGTTAGTTTTAGATTTAATTTTAGATATTTTTATCAAAGTAAAACTAGAACTAACACTTAGACCTAGAACTAATCTTCTTAACGTTTTGAAAAGTGAACCAACTTATTGGATCTGTTTTATGGGTTAATTCTAAATTTTTTTTGTAAGATATATTTTTTTCCATCGGTTATAATTAATGAGTTATAAAAGAAAATTGTGGAAACGTCAAAATTTCTATTTTTCTTGGGTTGGGTTGGTACTACTGATCGATGGATTAAAATAACTTATTGGATATATTTTATGGGTTAATTCTAAACCTTTTTTATAAGAAATATTTTTTTCCATCGGTTATAATTAATGAGTTATAAAAGAAAATTGTTGAAAATGTCAAAATTTCTATTTTTTTTGAGTTGGGTTGGTACTGCTGATCGATGGATTAAAATAACTTATTGGATATGCTTTATGGATTAATTCTAAACCTTTTTTGTAACAAATATTTTTTTCTATCGGTTATAATTAATGAGTTATAAAAGAAAATTGTTGAAAATGTCAAAATTTCTATTTTTCTTGGGTTGGGTTGGTACTGCTGATCGGTGGATTGAAATAACTTATTGGATATGTTTAATGGATTAATTCTAAACCTTTTTTGTATGAAACGTTTTTTTCCATCGGGTATAATTATTAAGTTATATAGTAAAATGGTTGAAAACGTCAAAATTTCTATTTTTCTTGGGTTGGGTTGGTACTGCTGATCGGTGGATTAAAATAACTTATTGGATATGTTTAATGGCTTAATTCTAAACCTTTTTTATAAGAAATGTTTTTCTCCAACGGTTATAATTATTGAGTTATACAAGAGAATTGTTGAAAACGTCAAAATTTCTATTTTTTTATGTTATGTTGGTAATACTGATTGATGGAATAAATATCTTTATGCAATACGTTTTATGAGTTAATTATAAACGTTTTTTGTTTAAAAAGTAATTCTCCATCATTCATAATTACCAAGTTGTAACCGCAAACTGTCAAAAATATTAAAATTTGGTTTTATTTTTGGGTTGGATTGGTTCTACTGACCGATGGATTAAAATAACTTGTTGGATATGTTTGATGGGTTAATTCTAAACCTTTTTTGTAACAAATATTTTTTTCCATCGGTTATAATTAATGAGTTATAAAAGAAAATTGTTGAAAACGTCAAAATTTCTATTTTTCTTGGGTTGGGTTGGTACTCCTGATCGATGGATTAAAGTAACTTATTGGATATGTTTAATGGATTAATTCTAAACCTTTTTGGTAAGGAATGTTTTTTTCCAACGGTTATAATTATTGTGTTATAAAAGAAAATTGTTGAAAACGTCAAAATTTCTATTTTTCTTGGGTCGGGTTGGTACTGCTGATTGGTGGAGCAAAATAATTTATTGGATATGTTTTATGGGTCAATTCTAAACCTTTTTTGTATGAAACATTTTTTTCCATCGGCTATAATTATTAAGTTATATAGTAAAATGGTTGAAAACGACAAAATTTCTATTTTTCTTGGGTTGGGTTGGTACTGCTGATCTATGGATTAAAATAACTTATTGGATATGTTTGATGGGTTAATTTTAAACCTTTTTTGTAAGAAATATTTTTTTCCATCGGTTATAATTAATGAGTTATAAAAGAAAATTGTTGAAAACGTCAAAATTTCTATTTTTCTTGGGTTGGGTTGGTACTGCTGAACGGTGCATTAAAATAACTTATTGGATATGTTTCATGGCTTAATTCTAAACCTTTTTTGTAAGAAATGTTTTTCTCCAACGGTTATAATTATTAAGTTATACAAAAGAATTGTTGAAAACGTCAAAATTTCAAAATTTTTAAAGTTATGTTGGTAATACTGATTGATGGAATAAATATCTTTATGCAGTACGTTTTATGAGTTAATTATAAACGTTTTTTGTTTAAAAAGTAATTCTCCATCATTCATAATTACTAAGTTATAACCGCAAACTGTCAAAAATATTAAAATTTGGTTTTATTTTTGGGTTGGATTGGTTCTACTGACCGATCGATTAAAATAACTTCTTGGATATGTTTGATGGGTTAATTCTAAACCTTTTTTGTAAAAAATATTTTTTTCCATCGGTTATAATTAATGAGTTATAAAAGAAAATTGTTGAAAACGTCAAAATTTCTATTTTTCTTGGGTTGGGTTGGTACTACTGATCGATGGATTAAAATAACTTATTGGATATATTTTATGGGTTAATTATAAACGTTTTTTATAAGAAATATTTTTTTCCATCGGTTATAATTAATGAGTTATAAAAGAAAATTGTTGAAAATGTCAAAATTTCTATTTTTTTGAGTTAGGTTGGTACTGCTGATTGATGGAATAAATATCTTTATGCAATACGTTTTATGAGTTAATTATAAACGTTTTTTGTTTAAAAAGTAATTCTCCATCATTCATAATTACCAAGTTGTAACCGCAAACTGTCAAAAATATTAAAATTTGGTTTTATTTTTGGGTTGAATTAGTTCTACTGACCGATGGATTAAAATAACTTCTTGGATATGTTTGATGGGTTAATTCTAAACCTTTTTTGTAAAAAATATTTTTTTCCATCGGTTATAATTAATGAGTTATAAAAGAAAATTGTTGAAAACGTCAAAATTTCTATTTTTCTTGGGTTGGGTTGGTACTACTGATCGATGGATTAAAATAACTCATTGGATATATTTTATGGGTTAATTCTAAACATTTTTTATAAGAAATATTTTTTTCCATCGGTTATAATTAATGAGTTATAAAAGAAAATTGTTGAAAATGTCAAAATTTCTATTTTCTTTGAGTTGGGTTGGTACTGCTGATCGATGGATTAAAATAACTTATTAGATATGCTTTATGGATTAATTCTAAACCTTTTTTGTAACAAATATTTTTTTCCATCGGTTATAATTAATGAGTTATAAAAGAAAATTATTGAAAACGTCAAAATTTCTATTTTTCTTGGGTTGGGTTGGTACTGCTGATCGGTGGATTAAAATAGCTTATTGGATATGTTTAATGGCTCAATTCTAAACCTTTTTTGTAAGAAATGTTTTTCTCCAACGGTTATAATTATTAAATTATAAAAGAGAATTGTTGAAAACGTCAAAATTTCCAGTTTTGACAAGGCCTACTAATCAAAAAAATAAAATATTAACAGAAATGACAGGTTTCTTATATTCAGGTTATGTCTGAAATGTCTATCAAGTTTATTTTTTTCCTTTTTTTGATTTTTTTTTTTCAAAATAAAATAGTTGTAGATGTTACCCACTTCAACCAACTTCATCTTCGTGGGTAACAGCCGCCATTATACGCTTGTTGAATAATATACTATTATGCAAAACGTTTTATGAGTTCATTATAAACGTTTTTTGTTTACAAAGTAATTCTCCATCATTTATAATTAATTAGTTATAACCGAAAATGGTCAAAAACATTAAAAAGTGGTTTTATTTTTGGGTTGGGTTGGTACCACTGATCGGTAGATTAAAATAACTTATTGGTTATGTCTTATAGGTTAATTCTAAACGTTTTTTGTGTAAGGCGTAATTCTCCGTCATTCATAATTAATTAGTTATAACCGAAAATTGACAAAAACATTAAAAATTGGTTTTATTTTTGGGTTGTGTTGGTACTACTGGTCGGTGGATTAAAATAACTTATTGATTATGTCTTATGGGTTAATTCTAAACCATTTTTGTTAGAAATATTTTTTCCCATCGGTTATAATTGTTGAGCTATACAAGAAAATTGTTGAAAACGTCAAAAATTGTATGTTTCTCGGATTGGGTTGGTACTACTGATTGATGGATTAAAATAACTTGTTGGGTATGTTTTATGGGTTAATTCTAAACCTTTTTTTGTATGAAATGTTTTTTCCCATCTGTTTTCATTATTGAGTTATACAAGATAATTGTTGAAAACGTCAAAATTTATATTTTTCTTAGGTTGGGTTGGTAATAGTAATTGATGGAATAAATATCTTTATGCAATACGTTTTATGAGTTAATTCTAAACGTTTTTTGTTTAAAAGGTAATTCTCCATCATTTATAATTAATTAGTTATAACCGAAAATTGTCAAAAACATTAAAAAGTGGTTTTATTTTTGGGTTGGGTTGGTACTAGTGACCGATGGATTAAAATAACTTATTGGATATGTTTTATAGGTTCGTTGAAAATATCGTAAAGCCAGCAAGTGCAATTATATTGGTTATTATTATAGGTGGAGTATTATAACTAAGACATTATATGGACACTTTTTTACAGAGAAATTTGGTCGGTTTTAGATTTTGAAATACAGTTTCCTGTAAATTATAACTAAAAATTAGAAAAAACATATTTCTCATATTTGAAACAAATACATAAGTTAAACTATTTAATTTATATTTGTTTTACACAAAAGTTGGAACAGATTGCATTATTTCACATTTTTTATTAATAATTAATATTATTATTAAATGACTTAATAAATTATTGATAGATGGCGCTCATATATTTTTTTTAATTCAAGTAAATAGCAACATTTGTTTGTATTCAAAAATTTTCTGAAGTGTTGAATTAAAAATAGTGTTTTTTAAGACGGATTATGAAAAGTTTAACATGTTAGACAATTTTTAGTAGAATAATTATTAGTTATAATACCGTAATTTACAGGAAACTGTAAATTTAATTTCTTTGACGACACTAAAAAAAAGTTTATTTTTACGCTTTATTCTAAAACAATAAGAAATAAACCTGTCGAACCCTATATTTTTGTAATCAGAAAAAAATTACGAATTTAATAAGCGAGTGGTTTTACAATATTTTCAATTTTGGCCAATAGGGGACCTACTAAATTGACAACTAGTAGAATGGATTTCAATTATAATTCTAGTTTTAATTGTTATTCAGCTCTAAATTAATGTTTATTTTTATAGAACTGAAACCAGAACTAGCTCTAAACTTCGAACTTAGACTTAGAACTAGATTTTAATTACTTACAACTGTATCCAAAGGTAAAGGCCTCCATTTACTTTTTGGTTTACTTTCAACAGATTCAACCCTAGCCAAAGGATTTTCTTTACAAATAGATAAAATAGCTTCAACAGCATTTTTATCAAACAACCTATCACGTTTCCAATTAAAATCGGTCGTTAATTCTTTAACAGTGTGATTCACTAAAAACAAATTATTTAATTTAAATATTTCCATTAAAATTAAACATTACTTTTAATCCTCCAAAATAATTCGGCGATAAAATCTTCGATAGCTTTGTACCGATCCACAACAAACCCCAAAGTAGGAAATTGACACGACCCATAACTAATTAATTTATCAGCTAAATGTCTTGGAAAGACTTTTTGTAAACGCAAAGTTTGTAATCGCGTAAACGCAGCCCCCGTTCGTAAATCGAGCTCGCTTCGAACATCAACAGCATCGCTTACTCGCTTATTTGGTTCCCCCAAATTATTTAAGGCTCGAAACACCGATTGAGCGGTAATTTCGGAGAATTTCGCGCGTAAAATCCGCAGGTTTAGCTTGATTTGGGTGCAAACTTGGATTATTTCGAACCCGATGTTTTCGCCTTCTCGATCGCAATCCGTCCAAATAATTAAACCTTGGCAACTACGGATTTCTCGTTCTAACGTTTTTTTAATACGGGTGTAATCTTCGAGGCAAATTTTTGAAATAGGCGCGTCAAATAGTGCTAAGGGGCTACACGATTTCCAGTTTTTAAAGCTTGAGGCGAAAGCGTAGTTTAAAAGGTGTCCTGAAACCGAAGTCATAACCATTCGGGATTGTTGACCGTTTACGGTCGCGTCGAATTCGTAAATTTTATTATACGTCGATAAACCTTCTCTCTAAAATTAATTAATTGATTAAAATGATTATTTAAAAAGGAGTTAACTTACTCGTGTGGAATTTCCTCTTGATAATATAGCAGCTATGTTTTTAGCGGCGTCGTTTTTTTCGGCTACGTTTAAATATTTCATGATTGTTGTGGTTGCGGGTTTGTTACAAAAATATCGTTTAGAAATTTGTTTAAATAATCCATTTAGCATAATTAAGCGGTTAATCTTTTTTGAGGTTATATTATTTGAGGCTATCTTCACGTTGGATAAAAGTAAATAATTTCGGAAATAAACGAAAAAATTATTTAATTGATTAATTTAATGTTTTTTAATATGATTAAATTTGATTTAAATTTCATTCAAATACATTAATTTTTATGTTAAATTAATAATTAATAATTAAAAAAATTTGAGGCCAACTTCATGATGACGCGTACCATAGATATTAAAAATTAGATGATTCCATTGATATATTATAATTCTTAGGATATGGATTAAATGATCACTAAATGATTACCAATTGATCAAAAAACGATATTTAATCACTTTTTTAATGATTTTTTTATTAAAACAATTACAACAATGACAGATACACAATTTCCTTTTAATTTTTGCTTTTTTGCTGTCATTGAGAAACCGTTTATTCTCACTCTGCCGAGGTCGCTTGCGGGCGAGGCAGTGGTTGTTTAACAATACCAACATCCTACAAAACAAAATTAACTTCAAATTTAACCAATCAACTTTAACAATCTCAAAAAAATTTTAGATATCAAATTGACGTTTGACATCTAAAAAAAACTTCGTACTAAAAATTGAACGCAAATTGGCGCCATCTGTTGGGGATATTTTGGAATTATTCAGCTAAGAACCGAACCACTAAAATACAGGTTGGATTGGGTTTATATATAAAAACTTCAACCACAAAATAATTGTTTGGAAAGTGATAAATTAACGTTCCGACGTTCCGAAAAAACACTTTAAAATGACGTTTTCATCTGTCATACTGAACTAACTTAAAATTTTAAAAGTTGAAGTTAGCGGCAAATTTAAAAATATAACACGAATTGGAATCTATACTTTTTAAATTAAAAGTATGATACTGGTAATAATTGTTATTGCTCTCTCTCATCATTTCCACTATTAATAATAAAATTGTTAGTTTAATTAAATTATTTCAGTATAGATGCTAATACCATCTTACGGTGGGATTTCGACATACAATCAATCCCTGGGGCACAGAGTATACTCTGTGCCCTGGGGCTAAAGACGCACGGCTAAACCCGAAACTTTCTAGTCTAGGTCTAGTGTTAGTTCTAGTTTTATTTTATCAAGAATATCTAAAACTAAAACCAAAACTAGCATTAGAAAAGCAATAATTAAGTTTTAATGTTAACTTTGATGTCGATAAAAAAGTTTTAGATATAACATTGACGTTTGACATTGACAGTGTTGAAATAAATTTTTAGTAAATACTTCGTATAGTAAACTCTTTGTTCTTAACGCCTAAATTTTAAGTTAATTTGCATAAATAATAATAACCTAAATTTGCATTTATGAAAATATTTAGCCGAGTTTCAAACCGCAGCCACTAGCTAGCTTCGCGACGTCGATGGCGCCATCTAGCGGACAATTTGAGCATGAATGATTTTAAAAAATTAATTTTGCTCAATCCAAAATTTGGAAAAAATCTTAAAAAACTAGTATTGTAATGAAATGGGAAATGGAGGAATTGTTTTTTTTTGCAATATTTGCTGTTTTAGATTGTGAGAAATTTGATGCAGTTCAAATTAAACTGATTAAAGATTTTGCTCAACCTAAAGGCGGTTTTGCAAAGAAATAGGAACTGTCAAAAATGGGTTTCTTTCCTTATTTGTTATCATTTAATTAAAATTATTAATCAAAATGGCGGAAAATATCAAATAATATTGATTTGACGTCTATAAAGTGAGGTTTATTCATTCACCATCATATGCGGAATTAAAAACGCTTCAAATTGAGTCCAAACTCGACCCGATTATCTCATAAAACAAGCGAGATTTTCAAAAATTTAATTTTAACATAACCTCAAAAAAGTGACAACCGGAAGTTTGTTACTTTTTTAAGATAACCTCATCGAGTTTGGGCTCATTTTAAAAGGAATTTAATGTAGGTTACGAATACAATGTTAGATTAATCGAATTCCATTAAAATAAAAACAAAATGGCGTATGATTAAAAAAAATTGTTTCGATTTTAACGAAATAAATTCGCGGGGTGCTTTTAGATCTAAAAATAAAGCTTTTCGTTATTGTGTATTAATCAAGATGGCGGAAAATATCAAATAATATTGATTTGACGTTTATAAAGTGTGGTTAGGTTTTTTTATTTATTCACCATCGTGTGCGGAATTAAAAACGCTTCAAATTGAGTCCAAACTCGACCAGATTATCTCAAAAAACACGCGAGATATTCAGTAATTTAATTTTAACATAACCTCAAAAAAGTGACAACCGGAAGTTTGTTGTTTTTTAAGATAACCTCATCGAGTTTGGGCTCATTTTAAAAGGAATTTAATGTAGGTTACGAATACAATGTTGGATTAATCAAATTCGATAATAATAAAAACAAAATGGCGAATTATTTAATAAAAATGATTTGACTTTAACGAAATAAATTCGCGGGGTGCTTTTAAATCTAAAAATAAATAATTTCGCTGTTATTTAATTAAAATTATTAACCAAAATGGCGGAAAATATCAAATAATATTAGAAATAGTATCTGGAAAAAACGTTTTTTTCCTTACTTGCTGATTTCGACAACGAAAAAATGATGCAGTGCAAATTGAGTAGATGGAAAATTCTGCTCAGGTTGAAACTTGGATAAAATTCAAAACAATCTAGTTTTGTAACGATATGGGATATGTCAAAAGTATCTTTTGCTGTATTTCATGTATTAGAAATGATTGAGAATGTGATAGAGTTCGAATTGAGTTGATGTAAAATTCTGCTCAGCTTGAATCTTGCAAAAATTCAAGAAAATCTAGGTTTGCAAATTAATAAGATCTGTCAGAAATGGGTTTCTTTCCTTATTTGCTGCTTTGGACCAAGAGGAATACGATGTAGTCCAAATTGAGTTGATGGAAAATTCTGCTCAGGTTGAAACTTGGATAAATTCAAGGGAAACTAGTTTTGTAACGTTATGGGATATGTCAAAAGTATTTTTTTGCTGTATTTAATGTATTAGAAATGATTGAGAATGTGATAGAGTTCGAATTGAGTAGATGTAAAATTCTGCTCAGCTTGAATCTTGCAAAAATTCAAGAAAAACTGGTTTTGCAAATTAATAAGAACTGTCAGAAATGGGTTTCTTTCCTTATTTGTTGCTTTGGACAAAGAGGAATACGATATTGTCCAAATTGAGTTGATGGAAAATTCTGCTCAGGTTGAAACTTGGATAAAATTCAAAGCAAACTAGTTTTGTAACGATATGGGATATGTCAAAAGTATTTTTTTGCTGTATTTGATGTATGAGAAATGATGAGAATGTGATAGAGTTCGAATTGAGTTGATGTGAAATTCTGCGCAGCTTGAATCTTGCAAAAATTCAAGAAAAACTGGTTTTGCAAATTAATAAGAACTGTCAGAAATGGGTTTCTTTTCTTATTTGTTGCTTTAGACCAAGACGAATACGATTACGAATACGACAATGGGGTCATACACGATTTTTTTTTTATTATATTTTCTGAAAGTTTATATAAAAATATAGTTACCGTTATTTTTTTTTTATAATTTTCGAACAAAGTCATTGTTAAAAAAATTATTGAAAATTTATATACCCATTTGCGCTTTTAAATGTCCCGCGTTGATGACGTACGATTCTCACTTTTGCGTCCCCTGCTCCCCGCTCAAATGCGAGAAAGAGATGAACGTCATTTAGGTTGTATTGAAAAGAGATAGAGTGTTTGTAGGTTATGTTTATTATGTTTTGTTCATGGATGTAATAGAGACACTCTATTACATCCATGGTTTTATTTTGACACTGTCACACCGCAAGCGCTATCTAACGGACAATTTAACTTGTTTTAGGCAGTGCGGTTCCTATGTCACAGAAAAGCCGCGAAATTATTTCGTTTGAATATTTGCTATTTTTCACTTCAAATTACGCAAAATATAAAATTGATCAAAATATTTCTTTTACTTTGTGTTCATGCATATACTTGCATATATTGTTTGACATAAAAATTTTCTCTAAATTTAATAAGTGTGTATGACCCCATTGTGCTCAGGTTGAAACTTGAATAAATTACAGGAAACTAGTTTTCTAACGATACGGGTTATCTCAAAAGTATCTTTTGCCATTGAAAAATTCTGCTCAGCTGGAAACTTGCAAAAATTCAAGGAAAACTGGTTTTGCAAAGAAATAGGAATGTCATCAGGTTTTTCAACATATTATTTAAAAATCGAGGCAACCTAAAAGTAATGCATTTGTTAAAAAGATTATTTTATTTTAAGAACTAGAACTACTGCCTCGGCAGCACGGATGAAGAGTTTTCTTATGGAAAACCTTGAACTACTGCCTCGGCTTCTAAGGAATGTGTTTGTATTAAAAAGAACTTTACTCTGTTTTATGTACTAGAGTTACTGCCTCGGTTTCTAATAATATGTTATTAGTGAAAATCTTGAACTACCGCCTCGGCAGCATGACTGCCTCGGCTTCTGAGCTATATGTTTGTATTAAAGAGAACTTTATTTTAAGTATTGAAGCCACTGCCTCGGCTTTTATAAGCAATGTGTTTGTATTAAAGAGAAATTTACTCTATTTTAAATACTAGAGATACTGCTTCTTCAGCACAGCTGCCTCGGTTTCTAATAATATGTTATTAGTGAAAATCTTGAACTACTGTCTCGGCAGCATGGCTGCCTCGGCTTTTAAGCAATGTGTTTGTATTAAAGAGAATTTTACTTTGTTTTAAGTACTAGAGCTACTGCCTCGGTTTCTAATAATATGTTATTAGTGAAAATCTTGAACTACTGCCTCGGCAGCATGGCTGCCTCGGCTTCTAAGCTATATGTTTGTATTAAAGAGAACTTTATTTTGTTTTAAGTACTACGGCCACTGCCTCGGCAGCATATCTGCCTCGGCTTCTAAGCAATATGTTTGTATTAAAGAGAACTTTACTTTGTTTTAAGTACTAGAGCTACTGCCTCGGCAGCGCAGCTGCCTCGGTTTCTAATAATATGCTATTAGTGAAAATCTTGAACTACTGCCTTGACAGCATGGCTGCCTCGGCTTCTAAGCAATGTGTTTGTATTAAAGAGAACTTTACTCTATTTTAAGTACTAGAGCTACTGCCTCGGTTTCTAATAATATGTTATTAGTAAAAATTTTGAACTACTGCCTCGGCAGCATGGCTGCCTCGGCTTCTAAGCAATATGTTTGTATTAAAGAGAACTTTACTCTATTTTAAGTACTAGAGCTACTGCCTCGGCAGCACAGCTGCCTCGGGTTCTAATAATATGTTATTAGTGAAAATTTTGAACTACTGCCTCGGCAGCATGGCTGCCTTGGCTTCTAAGCAATGTGTTTGTATTAAAGAGAACTTTATTTTGTTTTAAGTACTACGGCCACTGCCTTGGCAGCATAGCTGCCTCGGCTTCTAAGCAATATATTTGTATTAAAGAGAACTTTACTTTGTTTTAAGTCCTAGAGTTACTGCCTCGGCAGCACAGCTGCCTCGGTTTCTAATAATATGCTATTAGTGAAAATCTTGAACTACTGCCTCGGCTTCTAAGCTATATGTTAGTATTAAAGAGAACTTTATTTGAAGTACTAGAGCCATTGCCGTTTTCTAAATAATGTTATTATTGAAAACCTTGAAGTATTACCTCGGCAGCTTAGCTGCCTCGGTTTCTAAGTCTAAAGACGCACGGCTCAACCCAAGGCTTCCTAACTCTAGGTCTAGTGTTAGTTTTAGTTTTACTTTAATAAAAATAACCAAAACTAGCCCAAAAAAGCGTCAATTAAGTTTTAATATCAACTTTGACATAGATAGCAATATTTTAGATATCAAATTGACGTTTGACATTGACAACGTTGAAATAATACGATTTTAGTGATTTTGTAAATTAGGTAAATTGACTCAAAAAAAAAAAATAATTTAATGACAGCCGAAAATGTCAATTAAGTTTAAGGTTAACTTAATTTTTATATTCTTGCTAATTTGCGAATCCCATTGTTTTAAAAATTTTTAAATATTTAAAATTATTTTAAAAGAACAATAAAGATTTAATTGAATATAATAAAAGCGATAAAAGAAAGATAAATTCGAATTTTTCTGGAATTTCTATCGAGTTGACACAAAAAGTGCTGTTTGCTTTTCTGTTTCGTTGATTTTATTTATCTGGACCCGGTTAATGCGACCTATGACATTGATTTTGGACTTGTTATCGCTCTTAAACTTTAACATTTGCATAAAACATTTAAACATTAGTCAGTGGTAAAATCCGATAAAACCAAAAACGAAGGTTAACATTCGAACCCCGCTCGCGTTAAGACAACATTACTTTTTTTTATATTTTCGTTTTTCTTTCCAGCTCTATTCGCCGATTACGTAATCGTTTTGCAATCACAATTTCGCCAGAATTAAAAAATCGAAGATAAACAATTTCGATAAAGTTTTAATACAAAAAATAATTTAAATCTAATACGCACCCGTTTGCACTTTTTTCTAAATCTTCGTAAAAATTTCTTTATCTCGAAGAGGAGTCACTTTTAAGATAATCTTTTGGGAATTTTTTTTTTAATATTAATAATTTATTAAATTTATTAAGTTATCCTTTTTAATTATCATTAATGTTTACTCATCACAATTTTATGATTACATTTTCTTCTTTTTGACAGATTTGACACATCAAGTGTCAATTTAATTTTTGAAATGTCATTTTCACATTTTTGAAATATTTTTGTATATTTGGAATTAAGGGAAGGTTTTGTTGGATACTTTCATAACTTTTTTTCATTTAGTTATAAACACAATTTCATGGTTTTAGGTTAGGTTGGGTTTTTCTCAGCTTCCATTTAGGCTTTATGACATCTGTTGGGTTGCTTGAGCCTAGGTTTAAGAAAGTTTCCATAATCTGTGGCTAAATTCACAAAGTATCATGGGACTGTTGAATGTTCTGAATGAATTGATCCCAAAAACGCATCCAAACATCAATTTTGTTGGAAAATGACCCTCATCTCAGTGCTTTCTAGAAATTTACTACTCAAGGCCTGCATAGCAGAGCTCCTCTAAGTTTATGATGAATTATATCCGTTTTACCCTTAATTTTCATGTTAACAAGACTCCTACTATAAATGGATGTCAAAATCCTGTCAAACGTAGATTAATTTAATTGTGCAGAATTAGCACTGGTTTGGGAAATACTCCTACGGCTGTAGATGAAATGGTTGATGATAATTTGGCATAAGAGGCGATTATATAATCATTAAAAATCATTAAAAATCGTTAACTAATAAGACAAGCAGTGTTACCAACATTAAATTTTACACTTTAGAACGTACCCTAAAAGTGACGCCAAACCACGCCAAACATTTAGGGGTTATGTTTTGATCCTTTTTATTTTAACAAATTAAACAATGCAGGATTTATCCAAGTTTATGTATCTATGTGGTATTAATTGTAGCGCCTCGCCCGCAAGCGACCTCGGCTTATTCAGGAAGATTAGATGTAAATTCTCCGTTCCATGCTGTTTATAAATTAATTAATTGTTAAATTTCAGGCAAAAACGAAGAAAACTTGGGGTTGGAGGTTGAAATAAACACTTTATGAGAAATAATAACTCTTATAGCGATGAAGGTAGGTGAAGAGAACAAAAAATCGAACATTAAGAGTCGAATTTAAATCTAAAATTCCTTTAATGCTCCTTTATCATCTTGTATTTAATCTGTTTTTAATGATCCGAAACAAACTTCACATTCGGCGTAAACAATTAAAATAAATGTTTACTCACTTTAATAAAAAAAATCGATTAAAATAACTAATTTAGAAGCAAATAACTTTTTTTTGTAAACAATTAATTATTAATAATTGTAATCTTAATCATAAAATTTTTTCTTCATAGATAATGAGCAAGAATAACTCAAAAAGAAAGAATCGTAGAAGAAAGAAGAAAAAGTGATTAAAATGAAGCAGGGAGGGGTTAACTCTATATAAAAGCGCCTGAAATGAGGCAACTCTCAGTTCGGTGGTCGTCATGTTGCTTAAACTGGGCCCCAACATGCTTGCGGCTATCATCTTTGTGTTAGTGGCAACAAATACAGCTAGTAAAGCTGAGGAAGGTAAGATTTCGAATTAGAATTAAATTAGAATTCTTTTTTTGGTTAAATTAATGTCTTTTTTATTTATTGAGATGGTTCAAAAGGTCACCAACGGCCGTTAAAGGGATTCTGATTCTTTTTGATGATATGCACCGCGATTATTCACTTTGTCTTAATAAGAAAATTACCTCTCTGATTCATTTCCTTTGTTAAAGTACTTCCTTTTTGGGGAAAAAATAAGCGCAACAACGAAGAGAAAGAAATTTCTAGATAATTTTTTTTTCTTTCTGTCTTAAGTTGATAAAAATTTGCAAAAATAGCACAAGACCTTTGTGCTTAATTTAAACCTCCACTAAAGGTTATCAATTAATTTCTTCTTGATTAAATAATTATAAAAAGAATCCTTCTTTATCATCAATTATTTTTAATAAATCAAAATTAAATAAACACCTGGAAAATTTTTCTTTTTTAGTGCAATGCCGAAGCGGATGTGGAGGGTATTCCCCGGTTCCTCAAACGTTTAAATTCGCGGAGGGTACCACTTATCAATACGGCTATGAAGGCGTTTTGGACGTTTCTTTGTCGAGTAGCAAAGGTCAACAAAGTGAGACGAAGGTCAAAGCGACGGTTCTTTTGACGCAGCAATCCGAGTGCAATCAAATCCTTCGAATTCAAGGACTTCAAATCCTCGGGGATTCCAAGGTAATTCATTTTTTCTTCCACTAAAAACAAAATTAATTAATTTCGAATTAATTTTTTAGAAATTTGGATCTCTCTCCGACATAGAAAAGCCTGTAAGATTAAATTTCCATGATGGGCACTTAGAAGACATCATCTGTGTAGAAAATGGGGACTCCCAAAACTCCCTCAACGTCAAGCGAGCCATCGCCTCAATGTTCCAAGTAAATATTTATTTATTTTTTTTATAACCTTGAAACTTGGAATTGTGTTTCCAATGATGAGTTAATACGTTAGGATTGATTAATTATGGTGTATATAACAAATCATGGTCTATTTTTTCAATTTAAACGTTTTTGTTAAGATTTACATTGCAAAATAGTTTTTTTTTCTTAAATAATTAATTCTAACCAAAAAGAATCTTCTAAAAAATACGTCGATTTTGCTAAAATCAATAAAACGTATTAATTTTTTATCATAACTTAACCACATCACCTTTTTAAGTTTCTAATTATTAATTTTAAAAGTGAGGTTAAAATAATTTTTTGACAAGTTATTGTTGTCATTAGGATTATCAAACGTGTAAAGAAAAATTGTGATTTTGTTAAGAAGATTTTTACAACTTTTTTTGTTGTTGTAGTAATTTTGAGATTTATTAGCTGTTTGAGAAGGAGAATTATTGAGGTTGTAAAGTTCCTTAAACACGTTTTGGAGGTTAATTTTGTTGTCGTCGGTATAGTAGCGTTCTTGGTTAAACGCGTATAGTAGCGTTCTTGGTTACCGACACTAAAAACGTCAAGTTTGACAACAACGAAAATCGTTGAGTTATTCGCGTTTATTAAGTTTTATGATCAAAAATGATTTTGCGCGGAAAATGGGAACTCCCTCAACGTCAAGCGAGCCATCGCCTCAATATTCCAAGTAAATATTTATTTATTTAGTTTTTTTATCACCTTGAAACTTAGAATTGTGTTTCTAATGATGAGTTAATACGTTAGGATTAATTAATTATGGTGTATATAACAAATCATGGTCTATTTTATCAATTTAAACAATTTTGTTAAGATTTACATTGCAAAATAGTTTTTTTTCTTAAATAATTAATTCTAACCAAAAAGAATCTTCTAAAAAATACGTCGATTATGCTAAAATCAATAAAACGTATTAATTTTTTATCATAACTTAACCACATCACCTTTTTAAGTTTTTAATTATTAATTTTAAAAGTGAGGTTAAAATAATTTTTTGACAAGTTATTGTTGTCATTAGGATTGCCAACCTAAATCAAACGTGTAAAGAAAAATTGTGATTTTGTTAAGAAGATTTTTACAACTTTTTTTGTTGTTGTAGTAATTTTGAGATTTATTAGCTGTTTGAGAAGGAGAATTATTGAGGTTGTAAAGTTCCTTAAACACGTTTTGGAGGTTAATTTTGTTGTCGTCGGTATAGTAGCCTTCTTGGTTAAACGCGTATAGTAGCGTTCTTGGTTACCGACACTAAAAACGTCAAGTTTGACAACAACGAAAATCGTTGAGTTATTCGCCTTTATTAAGTTTTTGATCAAAAATGATTTTGCGCGGAAAATGGGAACTCCCTCAACGTCAAGCGAGCCATCGCCTCAATATTCCAAGTAAATATTTATTAATATAGTTTTTTTATAACGGCATTAAAACGTAGATGAGGAAGAATCAATTCGAACCAAAAAGAATCGTTTGATAACTTCTAAAAAAGACGTTAATTATGCTAAAATCAATAAAACTTAACCACATCACCCTTTTAAGTTTCTAATTATTAATTTTAAAAGTGAGGTTAAGATAATTTTTTGACAAGTTATTCCTGTCAATTTTAAATCAAGTAAAAAAGCAATATTGTTAAGAATAAAGTTTATTACAACTTTATTTTGTTGTAGTAATTTTAAGATTAAATAACTGTACGATCAAGAGAGTTAATTTAAAATCGTTAGTTTAATTTAGAGGTTAATTTTGTTTTATATAATAGCGTTCTATGTTACCGACACTAGAAACGTCAAATTTGACATAAATAATTCTGAATAACTTTTTAATCAAAAAGTGATTTAGTTTTTGCTTAAAAATGATTTTGCGCGGAAAATGGGGACTCCCTCAACGTCAAGCGAGCCATCGCCTCAAAGTTCCAAGTAAATATTTATTAATATATTTTTTTATAACGGCATTAAAACGTAGATGAGGAAGAATCAATTCTAACCAAAAAGAATTGTTTGATAACTTCTAAAAAATACGTTAATTATGCTAAAATCAATAAAACGTATTAATTTTTCAAGATAACTTAACCACATCATCTTTTTAAGTTTCTAATTATTAATTTTAGAAGTGAGGTTAAGATAATTTTTTGACAAGTTATTCCTATCAATTTTAAATCAATTAAAAAAACAATATTGTTAAGAATAAAGTTTATTACAACTTTATTTTATTGTAGTAATTTTAAGATTAAATAACTGTACGATCAAGAGAGTTAATTTAAAAGAGTTAGTTTTATATAATAGTGTTCTATGTTACCGACACTAGAAACGTCAAATTTGACATAAATAATTCCAAACAATTTTTTTAATCAAAAAGTGATTTATTTTTTAATTAAAAATGTTTTTAGGCGGCGCTAAAGCACCACAACACCGAAATCGACATCTTCGGAAGCTGCCCGACCGAGTTTTCGTCCCACAAAGACGGCCAAACCCTCGTCATCAAAAAAGCTCGCAACCTCAACAAATGCTCCCACCGCGAATCGATCGGACAAGACTACATGAGTCTCACTTACGACTTAACCAGCGATTTAAAAACGTCGCCCCTCCTCCAAGGAAGTTACAACGCCGAGATGAAGATTAAGGGAGGAATTTTGGACACGTCCGTTGTCCACGAGGATTACCTCTACGTTCCATTCTCCGTCGGGGAAGAAGGCGCGAAAGTCAACGTCCACAGCAAATTAACCTTCGAAAAACAAACTAAGGAAGTCCCGAAATATTCTTGCGCAACCCCCAAATCAATCATTTTCGAAAATCCGCACCCCACAGTTTCAGAAAAAAGCATCTCAAAGGCTTTAATGGATTCGGTTAAAAGCGCAGCCAACGACATCGATTTAACCCTCAAAGAAAATTCGGCTGAGAAGTTCTCGAAAATTGTTATGTTGATGAGGAAATCGAAAAAAACCGAGTTAATAGGAATTTATGGCCAAGTTAGAAGCGGGGCGGGATTCAAGAACCAACAAGTAGCAAGGAGGGTCTTTATGGATGCTTTATTCCGAGCCGGAACCGGGGAATGTTTCGAAGCTGTCATGGAAATGTACAAAAACAACGAATTAACCGAGTTAGAAACAAAACTCTTCTTTTTAAGATTATCCTTCGTTAAACACCCGACTTTAGGATCAATTAAAGGCGCCACCGATTTATTAAACAAACCCGATTTACCAAGAGAAGCCACAATTGGATTAGGAAACTTAATTGGGAAATATTGCCAACAACATCCATGCGATAACATCCCAATTTTAACCGACTTCCTCAACAAACTCCTCACAAAATTAACCAAACCAACAAAATCAACCGAAGACCAAGTTTTAGCCGCCCTTAAAGCCGTTTTAAATTCCCGCAAAACAACCCCAGGGATTGAAGCGAAATTAGTCGAGCTCGCCCAAGATAAATCGGGACCTTTAAGAATCCGCTCCGCGGCTTTAGAAGCTTTCAAAGCGAACTCTTGCAGCGAAAAACTCCGAGATGGCGCTTTAAACATCTTAAACGACATCACCCATGACTCCGAATTAAGAATTGAAGCTTATTTATCCCTCGTTGAGTGTCCTAATGGAAAAGTGGCGAGTGCCATCAAAAATTTATTGGAGAAAGAGGAAAGTTATCAAGTCGGGGGATTCATCGTGTCTCATTTAAGAACTTTAAGAACATCAACTAATCCAGATAAAGCTTTGGCGAAATCACAATTAGAAAATATAAGGACAACCAAGAAATTCCCGGTGGATTGGTTTAAATATTCGAGAAATATCGAAGTTTCAAATCGATGGGATTCGGTCGGATTGGGGGGATCCATGGAGGCCAATTTGATTTATTCGCCGAAATCGTTCATCCCGACCGCGACTCATTTAAATTTAACGACTCAACTTTTCGGGCATACCTTTAATTTCTTGGAGATTGATACGAGACAGGAAAATCTTGATGAGATTATGGAGCATTATTTGGGGCCGTTGGGCGCTTTGAGGAAGGAGAGTCCGAATAATTTGTTTAAACATGGACAAGGAACGTTTAAAAAGATTGCTGAGAAGATCTCCGAAAGGGTTAATAAAAATATTGGTAAGTTTTATTATTTTTTTTATAAAATGATATTAATTAATGTAGGTTCTCTTTTTGTTGGTTATTTTTAACCCTTAAGTTTTATTACCAACTTAAATTAAGCTAAAACGTCTTTTTCTCAAAAGTCACTAGATGGCGTTGACAATTCGAATATTTTAAAGTCCCTAGATTTACAAAGTACCGCGGTTCATGACGCCTGTTTTCGAGCCAAACTGGCGGTTTGACAACTTGTCACTGCATCTCACCACTTATTTACAAAAATATTGCCGTCTTGTTGCCAAGAATGGAGTTTTGGCGTAATGTTATCAATAGAACGACATAGTTTTAAATTTCCCGCTTGACGTTTGAGCCAAAATGGCGGCAAACCACGGTACTTTGTAAATCTAGGGACTTTAGAATATTTTAAAGTCCCTATAAGTACTCTATTTTTTAATTTGGAGGAATAAAGTGAAAAGTCACATTTACATAGGGTAATTTTTCAAAGCTATTTTTTGGCGGGAGTTTTAAAACAGAATTTAATTACTTATTTGTTTAAACAATAAAAACCAGGGTAAAGTAAGTAGGTACTTACTTTGTCCCACATAAAATGCAACATGTCAATATAATTTGATATTACTAGAACAACTAGGAAAAATTTTCAGGTGTTAATGTCAATTTTAATTTTATTATATTCATAATCTTTACAAAATAACCTTTAAAATGAGTCCAAACATGACACACTTATCTCAAAAAACAAAAAAGTTAGAATAAAAAACGTCAAACCCGAAGTTGGCAACAATGACGATAGCAATTTAATTTTTAAATATTAATACCAACCTTAATTTCTGATTTTTTTAATTACATTTTTCTAGGCATTTTATAAAATTAGGAATACATCAAAATGACTTTGACATTTCAAACCGGAAGTTGCTTATATCTTGAGTAATATTGGAATTAAACGTATCATGTGTGGGCTCATTTAAAAGGATTTTTCACGGCCATTACAAATATGTCAAAATTGAGGTTGACATTTCTAACCGGAAGTTGACCATAACTTCATTAATATTGAAGATAAATATATCGTGTTTGTACTCATTTTAAAGGATTTTTAATGAAAATTACAAATATGTCAAAATTGANAATTGAGGTTGACATTTCTAACCGGAAGTTGACCATAACTTCATTAATATTGAAGATAAATATATCGTGTTTGTACTCATTTTAAAGGATTTTTAATGAAAATTACAAATATGTGAAAATTGAGGTTGACATTTTACATCTGAAGTTAGATATCATATAATAGACAAATGGACAACTTCATGGTGTTCTTTCATAATGTATTCTTTATTAAAAAACCTTTAAAATGAGTCCAAACATGACACACTTATCTCAAAAAACAAAAAAGTTTGAATAAAAAACGTCAAACCCGAAGTTGGCAACAATGAAGATAGCAATTTAATTTTTAAATATTAATACCAACCTTAATTTCTGATTTTTTTTATTACATTTTTGTTTTTGTGACAAATTTTAAGACATTTAATAAAAATTAAGAATATATCAAAATGACATTGACATTTCAAACCGGAAGTTGCTTATATCTCGAGTAATATTAGAATTAAACGTATCATGTTTGGGCTCATTTTAAAGGATTTTTCACGACGATTACAAATATGTCAAAATTGACGTTGACATTCTTAACCGGAAGTTGACCATAACTTCATTAATATTGAAGATAAATATGTCGTGTTTGTACTCATTTTAAAGGATTTTTAATAAAAATTACAAATATGTCAAAATTGAGGTTGACATTTTACACCTGAAGTTAGTTATCATATAATAGACAAATGGACAACTTCATGGTATTCTTTCATAATGTATTCTTTATTAAAAAAAAACCTTTAAAATGAGTCCAAACATGATGATTTTATCTCAAAAAGCAAAAAAGTTAGAATAAAAAACGTTAAACCCGAAGTTGGCAACAATGACGATAGCAATTTAATTTTTAAATATTAATACCAACCTTAATTTCTGATTTTTTTTATTATATTTTTGTTTTTATGACAAATTTTAAGACATTTTATAAAATTAAGAATACATCAAAATGACGTTGACATTTCAAACCGGAAGTTGCTTATATCTCGAGTAATATTGGAATTAAACGTATCATGTTTGGGCTCATTTAAAAGGATTTTTCACGACGATTACAAATATGTCAAAATTGAGGTTGACATTTCTAACCGGAAGTTGACCATAACGTCATTAATATTGAAGATAAATATGTCGTGTTTGTACTCATTTTAAAGTTTTTTTAATAAAAATTACAAATATGTCAAAATTGAGGTTGACATTTTACACCTGAAGTTAGTTATTATACAGGTGTCCCGTATCTTCCGCATCAGAGCATTATACGGTTGTAGGATACATTATTCTGAAGCGATCTTTCTAATAAACTTTTTCCGAAATGTTTATAATAAGCGAATGGGAACTGTTTAAAGTCTCTCCAATAGCGATTCACTTCAATAGCGTAAAAAGTTTATTTCTCTTTCCGTGTCAAATCTATTGGTGAATACACGTATGAAACTAGTTTAAAACGGCGCGGTGGACCGCCTGGGGTGACACCGATTACCTGAGTGTGATTTACGATCTCCGAAGCTTTTCTTGAATTGCTGTTGGAGGTGAATTGTATTTGTAATCTTCATTAAAAATCCTTTAAAGTGAGTACAAACACGATATATTTATCTTCCATACTAATGAAGTTATGGTCAACTTCCGGTTACAAATGTCAACCTCAATTTTGACATATTTGTTATCTTCGTGAAAAATCCTTTAAAATGAGTCCAAACATGACGCACTTATCTCAAAAAACAAAAAAGTTAGAATAAAATATGTTAAACCCGAAGTTGGCAACAATGACGATAGCAATTTAATTTTTAAATATTAATACCAACCTTAATTTCTGATTTTTTTTATTATATTTTTGTTTTTGTGACAAATATTAAGACATTTTATAAAAATTAAGAATATATCAAAATGACATTGACATTTCAAACCGGAAGTTGCTTATATCTCGAGTAATATTGGAATTAAACGTATCATGTTTGGGCTCATTTTAAAGGATTTTTCACGACGATTACAAATATGTCAAAATTGAGGTTGACATTTCTAACCGGAAGTTGACCATAACTTCATTAATATTGAAGATAAATACAGAGCGTTCAACAATGATTGTAAGGTGTTTGAATTTCCCGCTTTATCGTTTAATTTTTAGGTTGGTATGAGAAAACTAATAAGCATAGGCGTATCATAGGAAAAATTAGGAAGGCATTAAAAATTTATTATTATTATATTATTTATCAACAAAATTTAAAAATGTGTATGAAATCAATTGATATTTTATCACCTTTTGTTACAATAAATGTTGAAGTTTGTTAACTCGAAAGCAATTAAAACATACTACGCCACTGATTGTTAAAAATACGTCGAAAACACCAGCCGGTACCAACGTTGTTTGTCAAATGTTACTAAAAGTCAAGCGCGCCAAATTCAAACACCTTAATCATTGTTGAACGCTCTGTATGTCGTGTTTGTACTCACTTTAAAGAATTTTTAATGAAGATTACAAATATGTCAAAATCATTCTGGTTTAACCATACTGAGAGACAACATCTCGAATTTTCCTAGTGTAATTTTTGCTTTAAACTGACCAATAGCAACCCTTCTTTTTTGCGCTTCAATTTGAAAACACTCCTCCGAATTAAAAAATAGAGTATAGATTATCAAAGCACCGCTATTCATAATAAAGCTTGTATATTCGATCCAAAATGGCGGTTTGACAGCTTGTCAGTGCATGTCACCACTTATTTACAAAAAGTGCACGTGTAATAATTCCATCTCGTTGCTTTTGGAGTTGTAAAAATAGCAGTAAGAAAGGCTTTCGACTCTTGAGAGTACTACGAGAATAAAAAGAAAGGAAATTTGGTGTAATTTTATTAACAAAAACGACAGTTTTATTTTCCCGGTCGACTTTCGAGCCAAAATCGAAACGTCAAAAAATATCACTTGTAAAAGTGAGGTTAGATTTAATTGCAAAAGTGAGGTTGGGACGAACAGATAGATAAACATTTTCCAGCACAGCTTTAAGCTAACACGGCCGTTTTCGAAGACATCGGTCGCCCCCGAGAACAATGTTGAGGATTTTTAATCACACTTTTCCAACTCAACCTCACTTTTTTAAATGACATTTTTTTGACGTTTCATTAAAAAAATTTATTTAACTCACTCAGTTTTAGATTTAAAACTAGAAAGAAATTTGCATCATAGAAGCTCGTTTTAGTCACTCGTACACGTTTTATATTATAAAAAAGATTAAATAGTAATTCGCTTTCTCGTTGCTTTAAATTATATTAGAATATTTGACATGATGAGAAGATTTTAGACTTTTTGCAACAGATGGCGCTATCTCCTATGCGTCTTAAAGTGACATTTTTTGATGTTTCACTAAAAAGAAATTTATTTAAGTAATTTTGGGTTAGAAATAAAACTAAAACGTTATTTAAAATTATTTTTGATAATAACAAGATATAAATTGATTTTTTAGCATCTGAAGTTACGATATTATTGTAAACGTCAAATAATTAGGATACGTTCATAATTAGGATAGTTACTTTTTTTCCCGAATCCCGATAGATGGCGCTACCTCATATGCGTCATTTTTAAGTGACATTTTTGACGTTTCATTAAAAAAATGTGTTTAACTCATTTTGTGTTAGAAATAAAACTAAAACTAGAAATTTTAGGGTTATGCCGTGCGTCAAGTGGCGGCAAATCGCGGATTTTTTTATTTTAAACTAAAACTATTAAATTAATTAATTTATTTTTTTTAGTAAAACGCGAAGCATCCAAACAACAACTCGAAACTTTCGGAAAATCAATCAACCGCAAAGAAAACGAACTCAACAAAGATTTAGAACTCGATTTGAGCATAAAAATGTTCGGCTCGGAAGCGCTCTTCCTCAGCATCTCCGAAGACATCACCAAATACACCCCAGAAGCTCTCGTTGACAAAATCTTCGACAAAATCGACATCGCCGTCAATAAATTAAAAGGATTCGATGAGAACCTCAACACGAACATGATCTTTTTGGACACCGACATCTCTTATCCAACTTCGATTGGTTTTCCTTTGAAATTATCCGTTGAGGGAGTCTCAAGCATGCATTTAAAAACGAGTGGTAAACTCGAATTGGGGACACTTTTAGGAAGAGGCGATGGGGATTATAAATTATCTTTGATCCCAAGCGTCAACATCCAAATCACCTCGAAGATGGTCGTCGAAACCCCCGTTGTGACACGCGGGTTGAAGTTAAACGGGAATTTGTTCACTGCAACTGGACTTAACATCGATTTGTTTATATCCCCGAATAATATTGATTTGAAATATTCCCTTCCTGTTAATAAGCAAGATATAATTACGGCTACTCACGAGATTGTGTTTGAATCAATTGAGGTTGATGGGACTTCTGTTAAAACGGCGTTGAAGCAACCCCAAGCGAAAGATGTCACGGTGTGTTTAGATCAATTAAATCCTTATTTAGGGGTTGTTTTATGCGCGCATCTTAACCAGCCTAACATAGTAAACGATAAAGTCGTTTTGCCTTATCCTTTAAACGGAAATTCTAAGCTGTCGATTATCATGGAGAACTCCGATTTGGGGATGATTCATTTTACAGCTAAGAAATTTGATGGAGTTGAAAATGGGGTGCCTAAAACGGGGGTTGAGTTAGAAACGAAAGCCTTGTGTAAGCAGAACAAATTAAAATCGGCTTTAAAAACCGAAATCTTCATTCGCCCCGAAATGTATTTCTTAACAACATTCACTTCAGATAAGAAAAAAGCCTCTGCGGAGTTCAGAGCTGTTATAACACAAAGTGAGAATTCAATTTTCGCGCGGGCTAAAATCGATGAGATCGAGTATTACGCAAAAATTGGGGGATCAATCTCTGGAGCGCCTCCAAGAGAAATTTATAAACCCATCATGGAGTACAAAGCAGGAACAGGAAGCGTACAAAAAAGTCCTTACCGAATTGAAGGCCAAATAATCAAAGAAACATCCGGCGAAACCAGCAAATACATCTTCGATAACCTCCAAGTAATCGGCGCCCCAAAACTAATTAAAATCACCGGGAACATCGCAAAATCCCCATATTCATTAGAAGGCGACGTTTCATTAAGCGACGGCGAGAAAAACGCCCAATTAAAAGGAAAAGCCCACTACAAAGACCAACAATTAAACTTAAACGCAATGGTTAAAACAAATTTCAATCCAAACGCAAACTTCGACATCACCTATTTCTTAAAAACCGGCGAAAACACCATCGATTCGAAATTCCAATTCCAACACGGCGATTTAACCAAAAAAGAAAACATTTTTAAACTCAACAACATGTTTAAACGAGACAACGCCAAAGAACTAATCCCATTTTCGACTAAAAACTCGATGAGTTACCCCAAATTTGGAATTGATAACGAATTCGATTTAACGCTAACCGAAAAAACCATCAAAATGAACGTTGAATTAGGGTATCAAAAAATTAAAGTTAAAACTGAGTTGGATGCTAAAGTTAATCAGAAGAATTTTGGCGATTACGACATCGAATTCGAATTTAACGGATTTGATAATAAAGTTGAGTTGGATTTGGTTAGGGCCGTTGATAGGACTAAATCGAAATTGAAAAATACTCTCGAGATTAATGGAAAATCGATCAAGTTAAACGGGGATGTTACGCATAACTTTGAAACTAATAAAATCGATTTCGTGACGGATTTGAATCTAAAAATTGTTGGATTTATGAAGGTTAATTCCGATTTAAAGTAAGTAATAATCAATTAATTAATATTAATATAGTAAAACGTCAAACTTAAATTTACCTGTCATTAAGTCATTTTACCTAATTTACAAAATCACTAAAATCGGATTATTTCAATACTGTCAATGTCAAACGTCAAATTGATGTTTAAAATATTTCTATCAGTTTCAAAGTTGACATTAAAAGTTAATTGGTGCTTTTTTAGTGCTAGTTTTAGTTATTTTTATTAAAGGAAAATTAGAACTAACATTAGACCTAAAACTAGAAAGCTTTGTGTAATATTTTAGGTTTTCAATAATAACATACAGGGTGTACAAAAAGTATGGAATAATGGTTCTACGCCTAAACTTAAATTTACATTAAAAAAAGTTTTAAATACAAGTTACTTGACACTATTTTCCGCATATCTTGGCGTAGAAATAAAATAAATATGATGACGGCAGTCACCTGTATATTTTAAGGTATTTGTATTCCTTTTGACAAAGTGTTGCAAAATGCAATAAGGTTTTAATGCTTTAAACTGCATAGTTTTCGAGATATATACTTTTTGTACACCCTGTATAATTAAAAACCGAAGCAGCTGTACTGCCGCGGTAGTGGCTATTTTTGCAAGATTCAAATTGAGCAAAACTTTATTTGAACTGCATCGCATTTCTCGATATCGAAAACAAAAAGTAAGGAAAAAAAACGTTTTTACCAAATTCTATTTCTTTCCGAAACCAATTTTTGCAAATTTCAAGCTGAGCAGAATTTTTCATCAAGTTAATTTGAACCCTATCACATTCCCCATCATTTCTAATACTTCAAAAACAGCAAAAGATACTTTTGACATATCTCGTATCGTTACAAAACTAGTTTTCCTCGAATATGTACAAGTTTCAACCTAAGCAGAATTTTTCATCAACTCAATTTGGACTACATTGTATTCTTCTTTGTCCAAAGCAGCAAATAAGGAAAGAAAACCATTTTAGACAGTTCCTATTCATTTGCAAAACCAGTTTTTCTTGAATTTTTGAAAGTTTCAATCCGAGCAGAATTTTTCATCAACTCAATTCGAACTCTATCACATTTTCAATCATTTCTAATACATCAAATACAGCAAAACATACTTTTGACATATCCCATATCGCT